AGGAGATGTAGAAGATTCAAGGGCTTCATCGCTTCCGCGGCATTACCCGAACCCTGGGTATCTCGGAATGTCAAGTCATTCCACTATATTCAACCAGATCTTTTCATCTACGACGCCACATATTCAGCACCGCGGCAAGATGTGCAGCTTCCTGCTCCGCCCTTTTCGCCTGCTCTAAATGATTCCAACCAGGACTTGGCCATACTGAAAAGGGTTTGTTCGCGTTAAGTCGCTTGGATCAACTCGAAATACTAGACTTGCATCTTTGGTGCAATCCTGGCTCGAGAGGGTGTCAATCTCCCACTGGCTGGGCCATTCGTCGTAATGCTCAACGGCAGTCGCAAATTGGAGCAAGCGAAAACCTTCCTGGAATAGCGAATATTATAGAACTGATACCCATCACCGGTTCAGAGTTCTTCTGGAAAGTACCCGGAAGCTCATTGTCGTACAGCAGGACTCAACGTTTGAATTATTTCTCAGTCAGATGCTCCGGGGAGAATTTGATTGGAGGCCGTTGGCATTTCCTCACAGCTGCAGCCCGAGCCACTTTGGACACTTGCTATTTTCCGCTGCTCTTCACAACGGATCGGCAGCGTCGTGAGCTCATTAAGGACATTTCTCTTATTGGAGACTGGTGCTTGGAGACATACCTTACACTCGATTGCTTGAATGATCTTCAACTGGTTCGCCACAGTATGAAAATCTTATATTACCTCCCAAGTCGACGGAGATCGGGAGTCAGTCACTCCACGCTATATGTTGCCAATATTACAACTTGACGTTCGGGATGAACAAAACTTAGATCGAAGGCTACCACTCTTGGCGAAGGATGGGGAGATGTCGCAAGCTCTCTCTTTGCACTGGGATACCATGAGAAGATTGACGAGGGCGTCCATAACATTCCATCATTCCTTGCTGAGTTACGGAGGGCATGTTTTGCCCGTATCTATGCCGCCGATAAAAGTTTAGCGATATTCCTTGGGCGACCTCCACGAATCGTTAAGGATTACTGTTTCCTCAGCTCCCAGCCCCATCCAGGGATACGAAATAACGAATACATAGCCCATTCTGACAATGTTACTCAATCAATCCGTTCGGAAACTCGCTGGGGGATCCAGCGACGGAAATAATGACTTCCCTCAACCTCAATTACACTGCAGACACGTTGCTCGGCCTTGTTCGCGTCACTGAAGGAGGAGTCTTGTTAATGTTCCGTAAGCGCCACCTCAACAGGAAAATAGAAATGATAAGGTCAGCAAAGCCATACCCAAGAACCTTTACATACCCGTTGCTGATTTAAAAGTGAACTTCGATCACGTGTTGTCGAGCAATGGCAGGTTGCCAGCTCACTTTCGTCTACCCAGCAGTCTGAAGGATTGCGATGGGGCTGCATTGAACAGGACTTTCTTGCCAGGACTAGAGCTTGATTATCTTCACATCCTCCTTTTACTCGGACTGGTCTCACAAAAGAGCGTCTGAACTAGACAAGGAGCTCTTTTAGAGGTTGCCGCTTGAATCACTCTCTATCACAGTGGAAGTAATCATTCTCCGTGATCGTTTGGTGAATTCTGGGACGTCCCTGATCTGGAAAGTGAAGTATCTCACATAAACCACGTTGGCCTGACCTTCTGATCAGATATTAGGTTGCACAGTATGGTCTTCCAGCAGCAGGAATTGTTTCACTGGCCCTTTTGCATCCGATAAGCGCGGATTGTGGGCCATTCCCACGGTCAAAGATGTTACAAGACTTGAGTACGCTTGTCGCAGAAATCTCCATCAGGAGGCATGGATCCAAGCCGGGAGCCCAATTTTGCCCTTTTACTCGCGCTACTCAAACCATTCGGAGCTTGCTAGATTCTCTGACTGCATGGAAACCACATACCGAATTCTGCAGTTCACATCAAAATGGGAAACACTGATCTCACAGAAGACTGGAATGCGTTCATTGACTCACAGCCTTGAGGAATTCGAGATGGATTTCTGGGCTAATTTGTAGAACATCCAACTTTAATTGGTTGATTGTTACCAATTAGGTGACCATTCATCATCGTGCCCATGAATACTGCGTCACTTCTTAGCAATTAATCATTTCCAAGAACTTTGGGAACAGTGGACCACCTGTGAATTACTGTATCTGGATCGCTTCCGGTTTAGCTCTCAAACAGCTGTCATATAACCTCTCCTAAGAGTTGTGGATGTACGTCTAGCCCGGACTCAAATCTACAGCCCGATGTACTTGGCCCCGGATCGGCTGCTCTAGGCCCTTGCCTATGGCTGCCACACCCCTCCCACCATAGCTAGCTCCTTGGCATTGGACGTGCGTCACTCCCAGACTGGCTTGCCTAGGTTACAAAGCTTAAAGAGCGAGGCATGGTTAGCACGAAACCCTTCTTTTCTTCGGTGAATGCAAAATTGGTTCCGTCTTTCTAGGTTCGGCCACGTAGTTAGAAAATATCCATATGAGGGAACGGATGCAGTCAGCGAGCAGGCCAGCGCTTTTTTGCAGCTGCGGGAGCAATTGGATAACGAAAGCGCCGTTGTCAATAACCACTACTGCCTTGTATGTTTCAGATGGAAATTCTAGTTATCTTACATTACGATTATTCCAAAATGAGTCCCTATTCAAGTTTTTCCATTGTCCCAGCCCGAGCTGTCCATTAGGAGATGCTCTGCTGTGCGACCTCGCGTAAAATTCGCGCGATCGCCACTGTCAAAAGAAAATCATATACGACCACTTGACCCGATTTGGAGCGTGAAGCATTAGGGTAATCTGGTACAAAATATATTGTCTATTTGCCAATATTTGTTACATGATGCGCTTTTGGAATATAGACTTTAGATGGAGGAATAAGTCCATGAGCCATGCCGCAAAGATAAGCACAGTCATGGCTGTTTGCAACCAGCTATAGCGTTGGTTTCCAGCTCCTCGCCAATGTAAATCGTGGCAATTGTGAAGCCAACATTGGGGAAGATGATGGCCCACCAAGGAAGTGTGAAGCTCATCTGTGGCTTCAAGCATACTATTGCCCCATTTAGAATCATAATGGGTAGAGTGAGCGACCAGCGCAATCGCGAAAAGCCAGAATGTGAAGAGCCAAAGGAATATGCCTATCCACAATGCCACAACGTTCAGGGTTTCTGAAGCAGTAGGGTGATTCGCAAAATATCCGTATTCGTCGGGGATCGCCTTGGCGCACCCAATGAGAGCTACAATGGTGTATCCTGATGAACCTACGGGTATGAAGAGTCAGGTCTCTGGGACTGCCGGGCCAACCCGTTTATTAAAAGCATGTTACCCACGAAGAGCGGAAGGAATAAAATGCACAAGATCCACCCAAGACCCTGAAAAGCAATGCCTGCAACGATGATGGCCATTCGTTGTGACGAAGGCTGATATGCTGCAATAGACGACGCCACAGTACCGGTCAGCATGGCGTTAAAGATCATTAGAAACATTGGTGGGCTCATGGTGCCGGGCTTGAGGGGACAAACGACAAACATGACGACAAAAGATGATGATGTTATACGCTAGGGTGATAGTAGCATAGGCCCAAGAGAACCCGGAGGGCGACGATGGCCAAAGGACCGGCGTGAAGGACACCAAAACGTTGCATGCATATGATGATGGTCGCTATCGAGAGCCATAGAGAGCCTGCCAAAACCTGAGCTTCCGGGGAGTTCGTGACGGATTTGCGTAAGCTGGAAGGTCTCCGTACGAACCGACAGATAATGGCTGTGATGAAAAGGACAAACAGAACTAGGTTGAGGATGAAGACTACGACACCGGCGGTCTGCAGCCCGCGAAATTGATGTGGGGTTTCGGATAGGAGAATGGCCACGCTGCCGGTAGACTGAGTGCAGGTGAAGATTGGCCACGTGCAAACGATCGAGCGGTCGGACTTGCTTGGCGGCGCCAACGTCTTTCGGTTCCGCATTGTCAGGTCGAGCGGTGTTCCTCGTTGAGGCATCATTCTGCTCACTCGTCTGGCACTTGGCAGAAGATCTGTGGGGATTAAAGGCAGATCTCGACCGAGCGGGAATGGCTGATTCCGGGATAATGAAAAGAAACAAAGAGGTGGGGGTTGCAGATAGCCGGGGGTAGACCAATCTCGCGAGGGGTAGCTATACAGGGGAGGGGGAATTTTCATTGCCTAAGCGAGAATAAAATGGCAGATAGTTTAATTAAACAGCTTCGGTCACCCTCGGCCATGTTTATAAAGCTGCAGTCAGAAACTAGGACGCCATTTCTTTAAATATATCCGAAGCGCTTTTTTGTAAATACTATCTATTGTTCACAAAAAATTGATTTTACTGAAATATATTAGTCGTGTTCTTTAGATTATACCAGGGGCATTAATTCAAAGCCAGCCCTTCTAGATAAATATCATTCACTTGGAAAAATTAGAGTGAACGGGAGTCAAGCGTATCGAAGGTCTACAAGCTCACCAATCCCCTAAATATAAAAGCGCCGCGGGGATTAATTATGACTGAATGATTGTATTTTAAAGGATGAGTTAATACTAATGGCAGTACCACCATTAAGGACAGATAATCTGATCTTTAAAAGGTTAAGGATCAATTGATAGAGACATGATGGACGTACCTTTTCCTAGGTGGTATTATAATGTAGCCTGAAACCACAATTACTAAGACGGTGATTGAGCCATGAGCCAAAGAGAGTTCTATTGTCGTGGCGATCCGTCGCCCGTCCTTTTTCTTATACATGCCACTACATCTTACATTCGAAATTTGTTCTTACAAAACGTCTTACAAAACGTTATGAATATGAATATGTATCCAGAGAAATATGATTTCAGGAGACGTTGGTTTTGTTAGTAGTCGTCGAACATGAGCTTTTTGACGATTTAAACCTTCCACGGCAGTCAAACAAATGACTCAGAATTTGCAGGTGGGATTTCCTTTTCCCCCTCCAGCAGAACTATTAAACCGACAAGCCATTATGATTGCCAAAAAACAGAGAATATTGATGTCACAATCGATCGAGACTGGGGTTTGATATATGAAAAGTTGAATGCCGCCGCAAAGGACAATATAGAAAGCTTGTGGGAATACTTATTGATGCTGTATTCTTCACTCCTTCAATTGCACCCCAAGCCCGTCCCCGGCAAGGAGGTCATGAAACGCGAAAAAATAGATATTAAACATCGGAGTTTAAAACGTTTGATTTGGCAGCTACCTTCGCCCCAAGGATAGAGAGGATGGGCTGTAATTTAAGACGCCATGACAGAACAGGAACCATTCGTGACTAGGAATCGCGATAACAAGACCGATGATGACACTCCGCGGCGAGCGATGATAGTCGAAGTCATCATCTCCACCATCATCTGTGCTGGAAAGTCACCAAGACAGAATATCAGCGGTGTATGAGCACAGTTGGGTAATGTATGGTTCTTCGACTTTGAGAGTGTGAAAATCAATCAAACCGTGATGCAATGGAGTCTCTGAAGTTTCGGGCCATCAACCTCGAGTTGGCCTGCGAGGAACAACATCTTGTTTTGTTCGGAAATTTGTGATTAACAGTGGTGATAGTCCATTAGGATAGGACTCGGTATCCTGAGACGCAACGAGGTTAGCATGACATCGTGTCGATGATGAGGATGGAAACAGGCGAGGAAGACACCGAGGAATCAGTATGGATTCGTATGAATGGACGGGTCCGAGAGAATGCGAGCTTACCAAGAAAAATCAAACCCAATTGGATGGGATTCACTACAGGCGTTTTGGTCACTAGGTCACCAGGTCGTGGTAATTACCCGTAAGCATTTACTAGTAGGTTATAGGCGTTACTATAATCGGCGACCTAGGGTGACACTTCCACCAAGTCACCAGGTCATACCTAAGTTCGTTACCTAATGGCTCATCTAGTATTTCCTAGTAGGTAACCATAGCACTGGTATCTACTAGAAAATTGTTGATATACTCCCATTAGTCACATGATCTCTCTGCTCTCCACTTAGTCTCTTTCTCTATCATATTCCTCCCCAGTCAATAGTTTAATACTTTCCACAATACACATATTTTGCTTTCATGATCTCATCTACTTCTTAGATTCTAACAAAAATTTTAGTCAATACTAGAGTGATAGATTGTATTCCTGATCTTGTGACCTGGTGAACCCGCGTATTATATAAAGGCTGAAAATGACTCGACATGGGCGGATACTCCCTGAACCCAATTAACCGACTGAAATATTTACAACTAAAATCATCTTAGGACTGATCGAAATATTTGTCAAAACGTGAGATACTAAGAGAATCGCATAATAAGCAACCACTGATCCGCAGACTATATCCAGAAAGGATTAGTCCCCACAAGGCCGTTTATAGTTACCATGATAGTTAGTTCGTTGAGAGCCCATTGCTGCTGCCCTCATTTTTTGAACCCCCACTATCTTTTTAGGGAAGAAGGTACGTCATTTTCATGGGACGTAGGGAGAAAGTGGAGGGCCTGCTCGTTTCATGATGTTGCGGTCAAGAGTTCTTTCTGAATTCTCCTTATGGCTCGAGCTCGAAATCCCCGGGGCCATAAAAGTAAACTAAAGTATTTCACCACCGAGTGGCCACCCCACCCAAAAACGCGTTAATTAATTTAACCTGTTCTTCTTCAACCAACCACTATTAGACTTCCGCATAGCTCCCAAAGCCCGAAACCCGGCCCGACTCGACCCTCAAAAGGGTCGGGTTTCGAGCCCATTTCTAGACTGCGACATCCTTCTCCTTAGCCTTACTATAGGATTCGGAGAATGGACTGAGCAAGAACTAGATCAAGGAGAAGTAGGGGAGTAGAGTCACGTCGAGTTTGGAGAGGACAGCGCGATTACTAACATCTGGTCCCTAAAGCAAGATTGTGAACTTAGTGCGCGCAGAAGTTATATTTATGACTGTTCTTAGGAGTTGAAAGCCAGTGAACTAGTAGATATGGGCGCGGTGAGGATCCTACAGTCAAATACTCCGAAATTCTTAGGGAGATCCTTGACTTCCGGTGTGACTTCCAACCCCCGTAAGCAAATAATATGGCAAGTTGGGTATTAAGAGAAGGCGATCTAAGCATGATATTGACCTTCTTCCTAGAATCAACAAGGAATTCCCAGCTTTGAAGTCAGTTCGAGCACGAACTGTGTAAATAACAAAAGTGGGGCCGAGAGTGCAACGCACGGACCACCTGATCCCCCTCGAGACACATTCTGCAGATCTTCCTTTACTTGGCGTCTATCAATTCTATGCAATACGCCCCTTTCCAAAATGGCAAAGAGAAATCGATCAGCTTCACCTTCCAATACGCCGCGTGCCCAACGAGCTATACGTCGATTGGCAAGAGCATCCCTGCCCACAGCATCCCCGCCTATAGTACCCCCCAGCCAACAGGACCCCCGCCCACAGCACCCCGCGGATTGTCAACACTCTCCACCGACACTGCAGACTCACTAACCAGCTTGGAGCAAGACGCCCAGGTTAAGATCCAGGCTTATGAAAACAAGTCTCTTCGCGATGAGACGCTGTTGAAAAGCGGCTTGAATGCATTTCTCACGTGGCTACCAGAGGCCAGCAGAACCTCCATCGCGAGAGATGTTATTAAGACAAGCTCAGATAGAGAGCTGTACGATGTCTTTATGAACCTTTTCACCGGACTTGCTGTACCGAGTAAGTAACTTCCGTTTAGAAGTATCCGTTGACTTTTCTTAACATTGCTAAATAGTGAAATCCCGATCAAAAGCACCCTCTGTTATGGAAAGTCCTCATTTAAAGCGCTAGGAGCACGTCGATATAGTTGTCTCCACCCTCGATCAACCGGAAAGGCGTGACCCTTCGTTCGCGGCACAGCTCAAACTGCGGGATAACTATCGCTGTGTAATCACGGGTCAACTGAACACCGATCAATGGGAGCACGAAGGCGAACTAGGAGACGTTCTCTATGGCCCGACTGAGGGGGGCTCACATAATACCTTTTGCGTGTCCGGAGCGCTAAGAGATACATCAAACACCTGGGCCTTACTATATAAGTGTTTCCCTACGCTACGCGAAATACTTTCAGTAGAGATTAACACTCTTCGTAATAGGATCACTCTTCGAGACTAGGTGCATACCCAGTTTAACAAATTCACAATTGCCTTAAAGCCTACCGTAAGCAGGCAATGATCTACCATAAAACCATTTATGCTCACTCTTCTTATCAGGACATCGAAAATGAGTACGAGGTGAAGACTTACAAGCGCTACCCCCGGCTGGTATCCCCGTCCTTCCCTCCGATCGGCGCGTCCAATTTTTGCTAAACACAGAGTATGAGATTCCATGCCCCGCAGTTCTCGATGCGCATTGGAGAATGTGCGAAATTTTTAATGCATCTGCTATGGGAGAGACCATTGAACGACATCTTCGGGACTGGGAAGATTTAAGAGGCTCTGGGTGCGCTGTTGTTAGAGAGGACGGTACGACCGATCTCGTTAGTCTGCTGGATATCGCGCTATGGGGCCAAGTTTCCGCATGAATACACGCTTTACACTTCTTCTGTATTAGTATCTGGGGTTAGGTCTAGGGCAATCTTAATTTTATGAAGTCACCTTCAATTACCATGTTCACCACCCTTCGTGTGAGAATACTAGTGATCGATTCAAGAAAAGGTGAGACACATCTCAAGCCCACTTTCGATATTGGATCTGCACATCATTCAGGGGAGCCATCACGTATATTTGTAGTAGAAATACCTACACATTCCTAACCAGGGGCATGCTCAATTTACTCTGAGATCAAAAAGCGGCAAGAGGTGAGCACTAAAATAGAAGGGGAAAGGTCTCGAGTGCCAGGTATTATCTGGTACATATGTGATTACGTCCTATAGGCCAGGTGATAGATACGACCATAGAGTGTGGAAAACACGGCCTCCGCTCCCTTTAACTGTACTTAAACTCATTAATCCCCACGATTGGCTCTTAACACTCAACCACCACTATAGGGTAAAGTGTGAATGCTGTCAGTGAAAGATCAGGGAAACAGGGCGAGAGAGGTAAGCACGGGGTGACGATTCTCACCCCCAGGATGAACTTTGCGCTTTTTTATAACTCAAGCTGGGGCTTCTTGGCTCGCTACTCTCAGCTTTTGATATTGCAGAATGGATGTCAAATTTGCCATGGTTGTAATCATAATTCAACGTTCTACACCAAGCACTTTGATGATATGTCACTTAGGTTACCTGATCGCTTCTCCCTATTTTTACATGAGCCTTAACGCTACACCAAGCTAAAAACATCTAGAAATACCTTGAGCAGCCTGTCGTACGTCCCATATCACGTAGGCTTACAGGTGGATATTAAAATTAGAAGAAACACGAACATAATCTTATCTACGAGCTAGAGATTACACTAGAAAAATATGTCGGGGAGAACTACCCTATACAGTCCGGACATCGAATGTCATAATCGGTTTCTAGAAGACTAACGGCCATAATGTGGCTGAACTCTACAGGTAGATAGCACCGGCTGTCATCGGCCTCCTGAATCGCACGAGCAGGGCCCACCAGAGCGGTAGCGGAGCCAGTATGTTAGTTCGACTAACCATGTCTGGCTAGACCTCTTTCTCAGAGCCAATGATGACCTTTCATCAACCTGACTGGCCTTATCAGTGGATTGCCGAAATGAGGCAGTCTTGGCGAAAGATAAGAAACTAATCCCCTGACTAGTCCCTTTTCATCCATCACGATCAGGTACCCCAAATTGATCATGTCTCATTTCTTGATCAGAAGCGAAATTAATAATGTCATTTGTACCTCCTGCTTATCGCTGAAAGTGTCCATAGCTGAATACAACTAAAATATGTAAATACTGTGTGGCAGTGGAAGGTATATATATAATCGGGATATGCCTGGGCTTTTGATAAAAGTACCTTGTTTTCAAAATATCAATCATCATGGTCTCTCCAACTAGCTCCTATGGGCTACCAGCTCTGTTGTCAGTCCTTCTGTCACTCTCCTCCACTGCCATCGCGACTATCACCGCGAAGGGCCAAACTGTTCAGCTCAATGGAAACAGCTACTACATTCCTCCGGCAGTAGTAGCAACCCTGAAAGCTGACCAGCATGTGTTCGGTAAACTGAAGGGCCTGCAACCTCTGACGGTCATTCGGAGTGATGCTTCGAAGCTGACAAGCTCAATCCTCGATTCAGTAGTGAGCAACTACGAGTCCATTGACGATGTCTTCAATGCTGGGTTCCTCGACAATATTTACGTCTCGTATAATGGTACTTCCAAGAAACCATCACAGAATGTGTCCACTCATTCTTCGTGGGGCCCTAAAATTTTGGGATATGCACCTGCATATGATACCAAGAAAACGAAGACAGTGACCTCGTCATCAGTCCTACCTCCGGGTCCATACTTCTTGGATCCCTCCACAGGAGCCGTTTTCGAAGCTTATCTATTGTACTCCGATGTGATGGGCTCTTTCACTCAGGGATTGATTTCGGTTGGAGATTCTGAGTATGATGTTTTGCCGGCAAGCTTGCAGGGTTATGCTTCCTTGACCATTGGTGTTCCTTCACGGTTGTACTATACCAAGACAGCCAAGAAGCCTTTGGCTGGTGTATGTATCCTCCATCCTCCGCTCATTTTATAAGAAGGGGCAATTGTACAAGTACAATACTGACTACGTATTTCTCATAGGTTCGTCTCGGTGTCAAGGATATTTATGACATCAAGGGTGTCAAAACCGGCTGCGGCAACCGCGCTTACTATGAGACTTACCCAGTCGCTAACTCTACCGGCCCTGCAATCCAATCCCTCATTAATGCGGGCGCCATCATTGTTGGAAAGATGAAAACCAGTCAATTCGCCAACGGCGAGACCGCCACCGCTGATTGGGTTGACTACCACTCCCCCTTCAACGCCCGCGGTGACGGGTACCAAGACCCCAGCTCCTCATCTTCCGGTCCTGGCTCTGGTATTGGAGCTTATGACTGGTTGGATTTGGCAGTTGGAAGTGATACCGGAGGCTCCATTCGCAACCCTTGTCAGGTCAATGGATGTTTTGGAAACCGACCCTCGTGGAACTTGGTCTCATTGGATAAAGTTATGCCCATGTCTCCCCTTTTGGACACGGCCGGGTTCTTGACAAGGGATGTGCAATTGTGGCGCGCTGCTGCGGAGGTGCTGTATAAGGAGGCAGGCTTGAAGTCCTACACCAAGTACCCCAAGTCTATCAAAACGATCGCTTTCCCAACTACTGCCTCGACCCCAGCTGAGGGTCTTTTGATTGAATTTGTCGACAAGCTATCATCCTTTTTGGGTGGTGCGAAGGTTTCGGAACTTGATTTCAATGCTCTTTGGGAATCTACCAAGCCTTCCACTGTTGCCGCCAACACTACCCTCACTAGCTTGTTGCGCCTTACCTACCCTATTCTCATCTCGAAGCAACAGTATCCCCTCATTGCTGAACCGCTGTATGCAGACTACGCGGCTGCAAACGGAGGTCGCAAGCCGTTCATTGACCCCGTGCCGCTGTCTCGTTGGGGCTGGGGACTTGGATACCCGGACTCGCAACTGGACACAGAAATTGAACACAAGGACATCTTTACCAACTGGTGGAACTCAACTGCCCAGGTCTTTGACGAAGATACTTGCTCAGACAGCCTGATTCTTTACATTGGCTCTGCAGGGTCGCCGACCTACCGCAATGTGTACCGAAGGTATGTGCTTGTCAATCCCACATTGTAGGATATTTGAGAGTTCATTTGCTAATCTGATGAAATCATGTAGCATGCCAGGTGCCCCGGTAGGATTCTCTACATCTCGTATCGCCAACTTTGCCGGTGTCCCCGATATGGTCGTTCCCAGTACGTTTGGCCCCTATTGCTTGAACACAACCTCTTGGAGATTTGACATGGAACCATCACTAAATGGAATTCTAATTTAGTTGGCCAAGCGCTTTACAACTCCACCATTACCCTTCAGCAGGAATATCTGCCCGTCTCAGTGGACTTCGTGGCACCGCACGGCTGTGATCTGATGGTTTTCAACCTGATCAACGAGATGGTGAAGGCTGGTATTGTCAAGGAGCCTACCACCGGATCTACAATGTACGGAGAAGAGGTTACTTATTATTGAGTAAGTCAATGAGTAGGTAATTACCAGGTCAGGTATTATTGTATGGCCATTCATGTATATAGAAGTAGATGGCCATGAAAATCAGATCAGCATGATACACATTGAAGAGGGGAACGCTCAAGGCTGTATGCTCAAAGGCACACGGGTCGATTCAGCACTTCTGGAAGAGGGATGGCATCTTACAAAAGGGGAGGCACGACGTGACAACGGGGCATTTGGATGGAGACACCATTATTGGAGCAGCTAATTTATCAATTAGCTATCCTGTTTGTTTACAAAGACACTTCTACTCACAGAGTCCTATAATTTTCTCCCTAGTCTCATGGGTACTACTAGAAACTGTTTCTCGTCGACACACTACCAGTAAATGCCTAGTTTCTTGGTCCTGAACTTGGACACAACACCCTGCTTTGCGAGTTCATTGAATTCGTTGTTTGCTAATAGCCTTGATACCTTGTTATACCCTAGGCAAAGCGTAGATTGAGATAAGAAAACCCTGGGTCGACCACGTCCGCGCCTAGTGTTTCCACTTCGGCATCTCCAGCTGCAGCGGCAGCAACCAGAAGTGGCGTAAAGTGCTAATATGCAAGGCAAGGAAGTGTTAGGCGATCCGTTGGTAGGATTTGTTTAAATTGCAATGGAACGTACCTCGACAGTCGGATGAGAGCGTTTGAACTCGTACAAAGCCTCCAGCTTCAACAGAGCTTCATTCCTCTCCTTGCCATCTTTCTTTGTCACTGCTGCTCTCAGGCGGGTGTCAAAAACTGTGGATTCTTTAAGGACCTTGGCCCGGGTGGCTTCCCTCTCCTCCTCTGTCGGAGCATTTATAATCTCATCGATCGAGGTGAACGAGTGAACAGCCATGCCCGAACCTACAATGAGATAACCGTCATATCTAAATATTTATTTATCATCAGTAACCTTGTGGGCATTGGGCATAGATAATTCAGTTTCAAACTTACCGTAACGACTGCAACGCCTGACCCAGACGAATTTGACTCTCAAGGTCATAGCCATGGAACGTAGAAATTTGGATTACGGGTATGTCCAGCGGTTTCTCATCAGGAAACATGACCTTGAAAGGCACCCAGACGCCATGATCCATTCCTCGCTCCACGCGTTTGGCCTTGAATCCTGCCTTCCGTAGGTGCTCCCATAGCTGTGCGGCTAGCTCAGGTGCGTCCTGATGGGGCCAGTCGTATTCATAGACGAACGGTTTAGAATCGTGAAAATCGTTGACAAAGTCATGCTGGAGGGATGGTCAACATCTGTTTCACGACGGATTATGCTATTAATAAAGATACGGCTTGCTAGCCTTCTCACTTGAATATGTGTCCCATTTTTGACATTCACTATATATGTTAGCCGGATCTTTTATTTGTCCACAAGTTGGCACTCATACTCATGGTATTTCGTGAGCTCACCTTCAATTACCCCGGGTCCATGAATCTCTCCTGCCTCAAAATGTCCACTAAAGATTACAACAGCTTTGGGACGCGGTGATAGAGACAAGATCTCTTCCCCGATATCCCTCAAGTTGGCCTGAACAATTTCATTTCGAGGTCGATCATCAAACAAAAGGCCCACACCGGCATGCCCAATAAAATAAGTGGGAAGAGATTGAGAAGACTCAAAAGTGGAAGACATGGTAGGATAAAGGCGCAATTGTGGAAGGGGGGCAGGTACGGTTTAATGCATGTGTTTAAGAGCCCAAGGAAGAAGAACATCAAATGCGGGACAACCCTACGTATTATATACTGCCATTTGCCATAATATATGTTATATACCAAAGATTAAGACACTAGTTGTATACTGATAGAATGGGGCGGACTAAAACTGTGCACGTACAACATTGTATATCGATTGGTAATGTCCATAGTTTCATACGGGTCAGCGGCCCTAGGAACAAAAGGGATATGCGGAACGGAGAGAAAGTGCACAATATACCCATTTATCGTATATTACTGCCGTATTTCACATGTCCAAAATTCAAATGCTAGTCTTATAACCCCAGGATCGCGCGAACTCGGCCGTTATGGCGTCAGCGGGTCTAGGTAGAAAGATCATGTGCGCAACAGAAAATACGACAAACTTCTCTATATTATGTTTCTTTGCTCGATGCCGTATTTCCGGGATTAAAACACTAGTGCCAGGACCCTGGGATTCCGTATATCATCTATATATGGCGTCAGCAGAGGGATTGGGGTGAACTAGCAGGGGCATGGACCAATGAAGACATTCGCAGTGCAAACAACTATCGGTGGTCTTCCTTTTGAGATACATGTGCAGATTAGGGGCTATCTTAAAGGACGTGCAGCATCGTACATCTGCCCTGACGTTTCCCATGCAAAACTTGAAATTCTAGTCTTCTCAACATGTTTAAGCAATAGTGGAAAATATTCACCCACTCTCCTCTACAAACATTTAGTCGCATATGGCAGGCGCTAATCCTAACCTTACAAGAAGAAGATATTTGATTCCCCTATGGGTCGGGTGCAGCTGGGGTAAGTCACGACATATTTGGATCTAAGACGACATCCTACGCCAACTTCCAGACCGATAAATTTTACCGCGACTTTCGTATAGATTGCATAGTATAACATGGACTGGACTATCAGCCCCCAGGAAAATTGAAACCTTGCTTATATATCGCTATATTCCATTTGTCGTTCACATTTCTATAGACGCAGTCCCTCAATGCAATCGATGTATTAGCCCTTTACGCATCTTTCTGGCTCCAATATTGCCAGTTGGCTTATCAGCACACAGCTATACTCCACCACGCTACACAATGACGGAGGATCAACCCCATTCCCCCGTTAAGGAGCAATTCGATGAGAAAACAGACTCCCTTAATCCAAACGTTCATCAGCTGTCTGATGGCACATCCACCCCCTCAGATAGCGACAAGGAAGCACAGCGAGATACGCTCTCTCACCTTCTCGTCAAAAACGGCCAGCAGGTCCTCGTCACTTGGACCCTAGAAGAGGAATCTGTCATTGTTCGAAAACTGGACTTCCTTTTCCTCCCTATATTCTCGGTGCGTCTTCCGATAATCTTAATCTCTCTTATTTTCCTTTCCCGCTAATCCTGCCTTCCAGTTAATATTTACTTGGATGGCCATTGATCGGACCAATGTGTCGAGCGTGCTGACTTCCACCTTTCTTTCTGACACATCTATGACCCGGGATCAGGCCAACACGGGTGTCTCTCTACTCTGGTTGGGAATTGTCTTGCTCGAGATTCCCTCAAACGTATTTCTCACATCTCTATCTGAGTATCGAATACGCACCTAACTGTATGGACAGATCATCCTCCACCGCGTGGGTCCCCACTACTGGATCCCCGCCCAGGTCATCATCTGGGGCTTAATAGAAGTATTGCAAATGTTTGTAACTAATGCCAGTGGTTGGTATGCCGCACGGCTGTTCCTTGGGCTTGCGGAGAGCGGATTCATCCCCGGTGGCCTTTACATCTTGTCTACATGGTATGCACCCAACGAGCTTACAAAACGCACCGCAGTATTTTTCCTTGGGCCGGCGTTTGCTGCGGCTTTTGGGTCCCTGATTTCAGCAGGCGCATTGACGTTGCACCAGGAGGGGGGGCTGAGTGGGTGGCAATGGTTGGTTTTTGTTTTGCTGCTTCGTCTGCTGTGAGTGTTGTTAACGCGAGGTTAAATTCTATAGGATCTTTGTCATCTGTGGCATCTCCACGATAGGTAAGTAGTCAGGAACATCCCCTATTGGTTGCCCAGCTAACATGACATCCAATTTAGCCTCGGGGCTCTTGGCTTTCGCTTTTGTTCCGAAGTCTCCCCACCATACTTCTTACCTCTTTGGCGGGCTTGTCCATGTGCGGGGCTGGCTCAATGAGCACGAAGCTGACATTCTCGTTGCACGTCGAGCCCGAAGAGAAGATCATCAGGTGGCCGGGTCGACTCTCAAAATTAGCTGGAAGGATATGTGCGTTATGCTCCTTCTTGGCTTCTATAGAAGCCCTAACTAACACGTGGATACTTATAGAACTGATGTCCTTTTCCACTGGGCTACCTGGCCATACCTTGTTGTGTGCCTTGCCGGCCTTCAATCTACCAACGGGCTGAGCACCTGGGGCGCAACTATCATCAAGTCGCTTGGCTTTAGCGCAATACGAGCTAACTTGCTTAATGCCCCGGGAAGTCTGTTGGGTGCAATCTTTGGGATTGTCTTATCTGCATTTGTGGACAGATACAGTCGTTTCGGCTATGCAATCTTATTTTCGGCTGTGTGGACTCTCGCGGGTCTAATTGCACTTTATGTAAGGCTGATGCCCTACGATCTAGTTTGCAGTACCGAGGTACTGACCTTCTTGTCGCAGTCTCTTCCAATCACCTCCAAAGCGTCCTGGTCATTCTATGCAGCTTATGTGGTCACCCAATCATCCCCGTAAGTGAGCATACAAATTTACAGTCGGAGAGCTGAACTCACTAGTATCTGGCAGAAATTGGCAGCCAATAAATGTCACCTGGTTGTCCTTGAACTTTAAGACGCCCCAGAAACGTGCAATTGCATATGCAATATACAGTAAGGATCCGGAATCCTTGATGGCTCTGAGAGAGAACACTTACTGACAGATGATGATGTAGTCGGATGCTCTAACCTAGGTGGCACATATGGCAACCAAGTATTTAGAGCGGTACGTATATCTTCGTTCGCAGAAGATCTCCTACTGACATCGAGTGTAGAGTGACGCCCCTCTCTACCATACCGCATGGATTGCCTGTATATCCCTGGGGGCAGTGTGGCTCGCGGGAGTTGTCACACAAACTTTCGGCTTTCAGTGGGCGAACCGAGTTTTCGCAAAGAAGTTGGCGGACAACCCTGAGCTGGAATCGGAGGCTACGCATATTGACCGCAATGGGCGAAAGTATCGCTACCATTGGTGAAAGCAGAATCTGGTTAATGTTTTCTGGGCACATTATACAAACATACTATTCCCGCCACTGGTGGGTATTGTAATGAGTGATATAGCATAGCTGCTAGATCCCTCCGAGCCTAACCACCTCTTTGTAGAAGATATATATATCTCCATCTTCATCTAGCAACATACATCTCTCCCCCAATGACAGTAAGTGATACCCCGTATATCGCGTCACTCTAGGATATTATATATTTATCAGAAGGATATCGGCCTACATTTCCCATAGGTCTAAGAATGATGTAGCCCTGTAGGAGTCCCACATAGTCCCGAGCTAGGATATATTTGGCATGAATTTCTTATTCCCACTGTATAAATTCGCTGGGTGATCAGTAGGGCTTTTTCCTGCGGTGATAATATATTCCCCCTATTGCTGGAATAGAAATTATAGGCATCATGCTAATAGAAAAGGATTGTGACCGGGGGCGTTGGCCCACCACATAGCCTTCCCCGGCGATTCTTCGCCAGGGGGGTTCAAAGGGAATTGTTAGTTATTAATATTAAGCTCTGATAATGGCTACCATACTTCGGAAAGTAAGTAGTAGAGATTACCTTGTTCATAATATCCGGCTCCTGTGCGATTGAATACACCCTCGTGATGGTGAAGATGTTCGCCCCACGCATGGTTGAGAATGATTTTTGTTTTCGCTGGCTGTTCTTTTTACGGGGATTATATTCCTAGTCAATCCTTGACGAATCACTCAGTGCGACATCTTTGCACTAAAGTTTCGAGGAAGCGAAAGAAGGGATGTCGTTCCGTAAGTTACTTGGCTATCTGCGCTGTTCTACAGCTCATGTGGCTCTATATTCTCTTTGTGCATCCGTAATTCAGTTAGCAAAAACTGGTCGATGTGACTACGACTCAGCGAACAGTATAAGGTATGTTGTCATTTAAATTTGGGTACGAGTGTCTTAACATGCTGCGAACAGTGCTAACCCGACCTTAAAATATTGGAACGGAGGGGAAAATAGGACGTCTGCGAAGGGGAATCCCCTTCCTAATTTCGTTCTTACAGCCCTATTTCTTGAGAGAGTGTCAGCGATTGTGAAAGATTCGATTTTCCTTTAGCCGACAGTTAGCTGGTGACAGTATGCCAAGACGCCTGTTTCCCATGGGGATGATAGTTAACCTTCGAAGAGCTGCTGACGTCAGTGTAGCAATAGTCCGATTTAGATGTTACGCGTCTCAGACAATGTGTCTCATATAGCTATCCTCGTGGCTCATTGCGCTGAAAGAGAACTGATCCGCTGAACTCCATGCAGCCGTAGATGCCCATGCAAGCCATAGATGCCCATGCAAGCCATATTCAAAGCTCGGTCGGCTCGGATAATTAAGGCTCAATTGATTCGTCTATGATCACTTCAATTGACCAATTAAATTCAACGAACCAACATCACTTAATCTAGACCAGATCAACGACCGTTAGGTGGGCTCCTTCAGACGATGGGGCTCCCCATCCTGACGAAGAAATGAACTCATAGCGGGTCTGAAAAAGCGATGGGGTTTTTTTTAACAATAGTTAACCCGATTTTTCTTGCTCAACCGACTCTGACTGAACGAAAAACCAGCGACGATCACATTGCAAGGGGTGAGCGCTAACAATAGCGTTTGTACGCGCCAGCTTGTCGAACATACACCCCTTTGATCGCATGGAAGAGGAAGATTGACAAATTGGCTGAGATCGGACCTGGTGTTGCTGCAAGGCTGGTTCCTTTGACTACCGTCCAGCTGCATATATGTTCACGATTTTGGCCGAGTTTCAGTGTCACATCGAGGCGATCGTTGCAGATCAGGGGCCTAGCTATTTGCTATAGTGGACCAGGTTGTTTTTGATCACCAATCAAGGCACCACAGCCGCAAGAATGTACAACAACAACAACGAATATGTATCTCTTTAGGATATGCAGTTATGTGTCCAAGAGCTGTACGTGGAGATCGGAGCTGACTTATTTAAAGCGAATTTCTGCTGCCAATTCGTGTCTCCATTCGAATAGGTCTTTTCCTTCGACATCTCGCAACCATGTTGTTCTCTCGTCGCAGTCTACTGGTCCCTTCACTCGTTTCCTTATTTCTGACAGGAAACGTGGCTGCCGATGACGCGAGAATAAGAGCCCGACAGGGTCTTGAGATTCTTCAGGGCTGGTATAACACCACAAGTGGAATTTGGAATACGTGTGGCTGGTGGGACGGTGCAAGCTGCATGAATACAATTGCGGACTTAGCTGCGCTTGATCCATCGGTGATGGATACGGCGACATATGTCTTTAATAACACATTCCACGTGGGGCCCGTGTCCAATCCGAACCCCGGAGTCGAGAAGAAAACTGTTTTTACACGCGACAACCAACTATCAACTTCCGTCAATGCGACCCAGTGGCTTGATCAAGCCTACGATGATGATGCGTGGTGGGCCCTTGCATGGATTGCCGCATACGATGTCACCAAGGAGGGGACATACCTGGAATTGGCCGAGGGAATATTTGAGAGCTTGGTATGTATAGACCCGGGTTTGTGTTTGGACATGTGTTAATGTTTCCTTAGGCGGACGCGTGGGGCACCAACTGTGGCGGTGGCGGTCTTCCTTGGAGCCCGACAAGTACATACGTTAACGCGATTACGAACGAATTGTTCCTTTCTGTCGCAGCACACCTTGCAAACCGTGTCCCGGACAGAAAATCATACTATGTCCGCTGGGCTCAGAAGGAATGGGACTGGTTCACGTCTCAGGCCTTCATTGGTCAAAACGGCACCATCAATGATGGCCTTTTGGACAATTGCCAGAATAACGGAGCTACCGTGTAAGCACTTTGCTTCCGATCATCTTCTTGTTATTGCTTCGCTGACTTTCTGCAGATGGTCGTACAACCAGGGGGTTGTCCTCGGTGGATTGGTTGAATTGAACAGGGCGGCACCCAATGACACATACCTACCCTTGGCCAACAAGATTGCAAAAGCAGCCATTGACACATTAACCGACTCCATAAATGTTATCCACGAATTCTGCGAGCCACAGTGCCTGCCAGATGGTACCCAATTTAAGGGAATTTTCATTCGCAACCTACGGATGTTGCAGAAAGCATCTCCTCATGATGATTACCAGAGGGTGATAAGCAGCTGTGCGACCAGCATCTGGAATAATGATCGCAATGCAAAGGGACAGTTCGGCGTCAACTGGGCTGGCCCTATCCAAGCAGTGGTGGATGCTTCGACGCACAGCTCGGCCCTTGATGCATTGGTCGCGGCTGTTGCTGCATTGGGTACCTAGCGATGGATTACAGAGATACAAGGCCATTTCATATTTTCTTTCGGCCATTCAAGTTCACGGGGTTTCAACAGATTTGATGCACATAGATTATTATTTCTGCATATATACCAACTACCATTGCTACGCTCATGACTCAATAATATATTCCCACTTTCTAGTACGCCTTTGCTCGCTTCGCCCAGATATGCTGTCAGGCGGCTTGAGGTCTATCGTAGCCTGACCGAATGATGGATATGGGAACCAATTCCAACTTTCCCAGTGTTGCGGTGTGCTTATCCTGTGCCCACACTGTTAATCCTATATGATTGTTCCCCTCGTGATTGAGAATACCCTCTGGAATGGGGAAAGCTGTTTGGGGGCCAAGGTGGTTGACTTTGAAATTACAGATAGCGGATTCCGGGTTGGAATCATGGAACCATGTCCAATGAACCAAAGAGGTACATACTGTATTTTCCGAATTGATATCCATTCACGAATAGCTGGCATCTGTAATTGTTGCCTGCGGTATTTTCCTTAAGACTACTGTGGATAGAGCTGTTGAACACAACGCTCATTGGGACATCCCACCCACTGGGGATGTTTAGCCGGAAGGAGGCAGCATAAAATCCAGCACCCGCGTGAGCGAAACCATCTGTCACTGGGCTCGCTAATTCCCATTTTGAGCTTGGTAGACTGGGATTATGGCATCCTTGTCTCTCGGCATACATGCCACCTTCGTTGAGGGGACCGCGGACCAAATCCTGATACTGCTCTCCTCCAAGGTTACCAGTCAACTTCCATGAGACGTCGGATTGGGCGTGACCTGAAACCCCATAGTTCAAAGTTCCTCGTGGGAACTTCATTGCATCAGTGCCGAGAGTCTCCTCATCTTGCCCCATGTGATCAATCAGAACTGAGATCACATACGGGCTTCCTTGCGACAAGGCGGATGATAGCGACATGTTGTGAACAACAGTAGAGTTAGCACCCGACCCAACCCATGAGCCAAGGAATGCGTTGTTCAACCAGACAGAGTGTCCATATCCCGCGCCACCAGATACATTCAAGCAAACATTTGATTCTTGGCCATTAGCCTCAAAATGACCACGGTATAGTGGGGATCTTGTGTGGTATCCGTAGTCCATGGAGTACAGACCCCTCGGGGTATCGAGTGGATGTGGGGTGTGTGTTGAGACTTGGGTGCAGGGTGTCCAAGCTGAGTCGTCGTACGAGCCCTGAATCTCAGGGAGAGAATCAAGAACTTCCATTCTAGGTCGGACAAATCAGGAATGTCCAACTTAGGAGGGTTGTATCTGACAGTTCCCAAAAGGTTCCGATTGGAATTTTGTGAAGTATGTAATAATTCTCCATTAAACGTGGTACCTTTCAGCTTTTTCGCCGGGCTGAAGATGACCTCGATTTCTGTTGTGGCATTCACATCCCCTGTTAACCGCAGCTGCTAATTTATCAGATTGGCTGTTCGGATAAGATATCCGGCTTTAACAACAACCAGGCTCTTTGATGGCGATGAGTAGTTTCCAATCGGACCTAATACCGGCAACTCCATCACCCAGTAGTTGTATGCTTCGTTTCGCCAGAGCAGATATACCTTGAGATCGGCTACCTGGATGATGTGTCGGGCTTGTGTAACATGCCATTGTACAACCCAGGCAGACCTGATTTGTTTTATTTCGATGCCGCCTCCTTCGACGACGGTTAGCTTTCCAAGATGGCTGCACAAAACAAAATCATGTCGTTCTCCGGCTCCTCCATATAGGATTAATACACGTGTAGACCCTGACCCACGCGTCCGTGTGAATATTTCTGCAGAGGAATAAATCAGATTGATGCCGCCGACATGATAATCTGTGACGTGAAATTTGGAATCCTGTCCGTTTAGCGTTAGATGCCCTCCCAGCTGAGCGCTCTTATGTCGCCGATGCTTGTCGGCAATGCGAGGGTGTGCTGAGTGTTGTCGGTTGAAGTGAAGTCGGCATGTCTGACAACATAGAAATTTGTCCGCGTCCCATTTCTAAGGAGAGCAGTGACAGCTATCGAGGAGGGTGCACCGTAAGTACCATTCGCTCCAAGATAAGGAGTTGGCGTCAGGTAAGCAGGAGATACTTTGAGGCAGTTGGCCTCGAGTTTCTGTTCACTATATTTCTCGCGCCAGATCGCTTTTTCTTCTGTGATGGCTGCACCATAGTCGTATAATGTATGCCCGCCCATATATCCAAGGTTACCCCAATTGGTGCCGCCGAAAGTCTGACCAGAGGACCACGATAAGTAATTCAATATGAAGTGAAGAAGTCGTATGGACTCACTATGTAGATGTTGAAGATCTTCACGCCAGAACTGTAGTTGTTCTTGTACACAAATCTGACAGCCTCTTCATTAACTAACTGGTTGCACATGTCCTTAAGAACTCCTCCCTTATGATTAGTTCCCTTCATTGGTGAAAAAAGCATAATTTTCCCACCATCCCTCTCCAGAACCCCCTTGGCACTCAGTAATAGCAAAGGGCGTCGTTGGACTCAGCCGTTTGTGTGTAGCTTGTCAATCATATGGAAACCGGTTAGTAGGCCAAACACTTGGATTTGCACCTATTACAAAGGTCGCGTTGATAATTCTCTGGCTGAACCATGCTAACTGGGCCATCATGTGTGATCTGTGCCCTTTCAATGGTTCGACCCACTGTTGACACATAATTTGCTGTTGCATTCAGGTATTCGGGGTCGTAAGACCGAATAACGGGTTGCTCTCGTAAAACCCAACCAGGTATTCCACCAGCAGTGGTCTCTGCATTGATATATGGTCCCGGTCAGGCAATTAAGTATAGACCATCCTGGCTTGCTGCGTCGAAGAATTCATCCAAGCTCCATATCCCATCGGTGACAACGTGTCCTGGATTCCCTTCAACAAGGCTCTAGTCCACGTAGAATGAGACGCCAATAAAGCCCATACTCTTTACCTTTTGGAATACGTCGAGCCGAAGCCAAGGATCATGAGCCGCTCGCCGCGTACTATAATGGAATGCTGGTCCCATGTCACCTGTCCGTACCGCGTTAGTACTATACTGCTACCAAGGTGATGCTAGGCTCACTAGATCCTGTAGTCCATTGCTTTCTAGCTGGGCATAGCTGTTTCTAGAGGCGAGCGCTAAAGTCACAACTACAAAAATTAGCGTGAATAATTCTGACATGAAAAACATACCTCGGTGTTTTTCCCGGTTGGTAGGTAGCTCAACAGGTAATCGCGTGTGACAGCAATGCAAATAGAATTTCTAAAAGGTGATGTAGCATTTTCTCTTCTTTTTGTAGTCTCAAATCCGCATTCACTTCCCCCACATTGACAACTCCGACTCTGCAAAACCCAAACAGCAAGCCAGCTGCCACGTTTCATCTTATTGAAGATGTTGCCAATTAACCGGCGAACAGGCAAAAATTCGCCCTATTAATCCGTTCAGCAATGCCATCCTAGACGAGATGAAGTCCAAAATGTCTTCCCCTCCATATCCATGATGCTAACCGCCAATCAGGCTAAATCCCTTCCGTGAATAACCCCAGGTTTTACCAGGCAAATTACATCATCAAAACCTCATTTCGCCATCCTACGACTTATTTCGAGCCCCTCGACATAAAACTCTCAACATATTCTTCAGCATATTCCAATTGTCATCAATCGCCAAATCCTTAATAAGAAAAATGGCCGCCCATATCAAGCCGCTGGTCCTGCACGCCCACGGGACGAGCCCGAATCCAGCCAAGATCGCCATAGCACTCGAAGCACTCCATATCCCGTTCGAAGTGAAGCAGTGGGACTTCAGCGACGATCCCAAGAGCGGCGTGAAGGGCACAGAGTACCTCAAAATCAACGAGAACGGGCGCGTTCCTGCGATCGAAGATCCTAACACCGGTGTTGTCTCGTGGGAGTCAGGGGCATGCATGAACTACGTCCGCCGTGTGTATGACAATGGTAACGCGATCGGTCCGTCGGGTGACTCGGCGCAAGATCTGGTAGATTTTGAAAAGTGGGAGTATTTCCTGTTGTCGACGCTTGGTCCCATGACCGGACAAACAAATTGGTTTAAGTTGGTGTCGTGAATTCAGAAGAAATCACCGGATCAAGCTGACTGTTGATTTCTTCAGACACTATAACTCACAAAAGAATGAGGATGCGCTCCAGCGGTACACGGCCCAGACCTATCGCTGCTATAATGTTCTCGAGGGACAGTTGAAGAAGACTGGCGGTGAGAGCATTTTACCCAGCCGTGTCACTGCCGTTGATTATCATTTCGAGCCGTGGGTGCGTATGTATTCTTTCGCTGGTCTTTCCCTTGACAATTACCCTATGATCAAGAAGTGGCTTGAGCTCATGGCGACACGAGAAGAGGTCCAAGAAGGGTACATCAAGATTCAAGGTAAAAAGTGAACGGTGAGAACCCAGACTATCCTAGGGAAGTATGTAAGTGAGGACTCGGATCAGATCTGGACAATTTATAGCAAGCCCAAAAGTGCAGTATCAAAACCAAGTATATGTATGCTAAAATCCATTGCTATATGGCCTTGGTTTTCATTTAATGTATATTCAGCCACAAATCCAGATTGTCAAATTCTCATTTCCTTGTAGCTGGCTGTGTATTATCGTTATCCAAACAACAAAACCTTCGGAACCTCAAATGACATATAGCAGATATCCTTTTCCATCGTGCGACTTGTCTGGCATCCTGCCTCCCAGCACGTTGACCTGTGGAGCCTGGTGCGTAAGCCCACGCTCGGGTATCACCTTGTCCCGTTCAGTCCTCCATTTCACAAAATGATCCTCTACCAATTCATCCGTGACGTGCTTGTTTTTCCTCTCTTGCTCGCCGATCATAACATACGGCACTAGGTCCTGTGCCGTATCCTCGTCCGAAGAAAAATAGCCATGCGCCGTGTATAATTTTGTTTCCGGTGGGAAAGATAGGATGCGTTTCATCGAGCGGAAATGTTCCCGAGCATCGCTACCCGGGAAGTCACATCGGACACTGCGAACGTCAGGATTGAACATAGTGTCTCCCATGAAGATGCTGTCCCCGATCTTGTAGACTTCATGGTCCGGAGGATGTCCTGAGAGGGCGATGCAGATGACGTCGCCAATTTTGAATATTTCATCGGGCTCGAAGAGATGGTCAAAAGCGTGGTCGATTTCTTCGTTCGGGATGTGAAACTTGTGTGCGAAGTGACTTTGGACAGATTTAGCGTTTACGCCGATGCAGATAGGGCGTGGGGCTGTCCGAGGGACCAGAGACTATGCTGGATATAGTAGGCAGCAGAGATATGTCCTTCGTGGATATGGGTCTTTAGCAACATGGTGACTGTGTATCCAATTTTCACAACATATCCGATGAGTTCATCTGCAGATTCGGATGTGATGATGAAGTTTTCGGGGTCGTAGTTCAGGACTGGGTCGATGATGGCCGCCTCTTTTCTTTGAGGACAGGCTACCACATACTGCCAGGAACAAGTCTTGTGCTCGAAGAAGGGGTGAACTTTTGGTTGCATTCTGTTGGCCGTTTTGAACATCACCCAGTGGATTGCGTTTACATTAAAAGGAATTTTCAATGATGTTTCCTATAGTGTACTGATCCTTGCTTAGGTGGCTGGTTGGAATTACGAATTTATATATTATTAGTACCACTACAGTCTCAAGGACTACAGTACTATAAATTAAAAGACAACTCCAAATTACAATAGCACAATAGACTTGGCGACAGACTCAATGTCAATGGTATTATTTTCGAGCGCGTATCATATAACTCAAGCCTAGGTGACTGGGTAATGTTATATCTTCCTGCTGTATAGGTCAGGCACGACGCTCGCCTGCATCTCAAGTGGACCACGGAGAGATGGTGGTCGAGAGGGTTAGAGAGAGGAAGAAGAGAAGAACGAAAGTAGCTGGGCGGCCTTTTATATGGTCACATCCGACGTACCTTTCCCGGGCAACTGCTGAGATCTCCCGTAGTCGCATCATTCTCTCCATAGTAGTAGAGTCTCATAGTCTCTCTTCATAGTTTCATACTTACCACAATACACATGTTGTGCTCTCATAATCTCATCTGCTAGATCGTACATTCTAATAGCAACATCACAAATTTCGTGACTCGGTTTTATATGGATCTACCTCTATATATTGGATTGGTCATGGAGAAAAATTACACGATGATGATCAAATTAAATAATTGGACGGTAAGGACAGAAAAAAGCTTGGTGCTTTTTGAGCTATCTACCACATAAGATCACCGGGTATGAAATAGACCAGGAAATAGTTGTAGGTACCAAGCTATTGAAACTTCGTGCGCAAAATGTCGTCAATCTTCTTTCTAGCCCATTGAACTGTCTTTCTTAAATCTGTCCGTTTAGTGCTAGCCATGAACCCATTGTTTTATCAAGCGACCGTCCTTGCAGTCACTGGCATTTTCACGCATACAAAAACATCCCACGTAAGAGAGATTGTCCGTAGGCATGGATTGCAAAGTTTTTCTTCGCGGGGATTCTGATCAATTAGAAAAACATAGGCGACAGTCCTTTTCCTGTAGAATCGTCGCTGACAGACCATTGATCAATTTCACTCTGGTCACTTGGCACGTCCCATCGAGCGGTTTGAAGATCAAGGATGTGAGCAGTTTGGTTGAATCGGCATTGCCAGCTCTTCACGGCCTTGCATCCGGGCTTCTGGCATAGGTGACCCATGTAGCATTTGATTGATCGGCAGGCACCAGCCCGAGTGCAGGGGTGTTGGAGGAGCATGTATCGCAAAACCTCAATTATCACGTTAGAGACATCGCTGTGGTCAAAGGTGCAGCTCATATCGCCGCATTCTCCTGACAGATGGTAACTATTACAGACTTTGTGTTCCTTGGCTCGGGCGTGGTATTCATCGAATGCTTCGGGTGACGGGTGAGGATAGTATGGATCAATACGGTCCCCATCTTTATTGACTGGAATGAATTCTTCTGTTTTGATGCTCGGCAAGGGGAGCATGGATCTAAGGAAATCCTCGGAGCGGCCGACAACTGTCGGGGAAGACCATAACTGTTTAGGTGAATCACCTGCACCTGACTGTTTAGACGATGGTTGGTAATTCAATAACTGGTTAGGCATAACGTGTTGCTTATTGCAGCCGTTGCCGAATTTGCAGATACCCTAGGTCGATGTCAGTCAACCATCTACTCGCGATGACATCAGAGACCGGAAATAAATACCTTCTGGAAGTGCTTGCAGATTGGTTTAGCGGTATTTGCACCATTCGCACCATTTGTGCCATTAGAAACGTGGTGTGCACCGTTTCCACCATTGAATTTGGTCGCAGTCGGAGATGTAGTCGCAGCCGGGCCTGTGGGCGGCTTGCTGTTAACTAGAGGGGTCGACATGAACACCGAAGGCAATTCTCGGATAGGGAGATCCAAGGCCTCGAATTCACGGTGGAAACCAGCAGCTTTGATGAGGGTGATACGGTCACCCCTGCCTCTATAGGGCGTCAGCAGGGAGCCGTATCCGGTGTCGTGGCAGCCAGCAAAATATATGTGGCGGCATTGGTTGAGATCCACGAAGAGTCGGAACATTTCTTGATTTCGCAGCACATATCAGTACAATAACCAGACTATCCATGCCAAAATGTTTATTACCTCTGATCTTGAAATCACTCCCTTCCTTCTTCTCTGCAGCATCGACATAATCAAAGAGCTCCTGGGCACGGGTAAATGACGAAGTAAATGGTGACATGGATCGAGCCTCGTGGCCCATAAGTCCAGCTCGAGCTAGCGCCTTTGACAAACCGAGAACGTTTGCATAGACACGAACCATGATACGGCACTGTTCTGCCTGCATTCCCATTGTCGAATGCATAAGCTCTTTGACAGAATCACTCAGCTCGCGGGCTGCATTAATTCCACCTTCGCTGCCATGCTTCAAGAAATGCTCTTTGAACTGAAGAGGTATGTTAGTCGACTGATTAAATAGCGAGGACAAGAAGATAATCTCACCAGATATCCGTCTCCGTCTACAAGGACGAGGACAAAAGGGTTACGGTCCTGGTTGGTTGTCAGTTCTGTCGCTCTCGGGCATTCAGTAATTTTAATCGACTCCTACCTGCCCTCTGGCCTGCCTTTTGTATTTCTCTCGGCCTTCTTTAACCTCTTCGTAGTCGCTTTTGAGCGAGCTGTAGTCGTCCAACAAACTCTTGAACTGGCTGAGTAGGTTCTGGAGATTGTCATGTTGCTTTTGTTGCTCCCGCGATAAGGATGCTAGATGCCCGTTCAAGGAATCTATATCAGAATCCCTCAGCATCTTGTCAGAGATATCGGGACGACATGTGCCAGTCCCACAAGCCAGGTTGATTCAAAGAAAGCTGCCAGCATTCGATTGGGATTTGGAAGAACAAGAAATTCAAAGTTCCAAACTGTGAGGTGAGATGGAGAGCTATGGTGGGGAAATTTGTTTGTCTGTTTGTCGCGTTGGGCGGTCAATGCAATGGCCCTTTAGGCAGTATCAGGTGACACTTCACGTGCATTTCCCGTAAAAGCGCCAAAGGAGGACTAGCGTAACGCGACTCAGACCTCGCTCCTATCCGAATTGCAAACCACATCCACAGGACTATCGATAGTCCCTGATTTGAAGATTTCTTCGTTTGAAACCCTAGGAGTTTCAAATTTTGACTGAGGCCTCTTTAAGCAAGAAACAACGATACTTTGTAGATACAACATACACGAGCACAGGAGCTACTCCCCACAGTTATGCATGGAGTATATGTGACGACAATCTCCCGTCATTTCTTAACAATTATTAAGAAATTCTTGGAACTTAGAATAACTAGGGGGTTATCACGTGTCTCATCCAGCTTTGGCAACAAGTATAATGCTATGGCCAGCAGTGTACTAAAGACTGCTTTGTAGGGTAGCGCGTGCTGAGACAGTAGCAACTCTGCATTGCTTTATGACAGCATTGATTTTCTTTCAATATATGAGTAAACAATGTCATGGGAAATTTACCTTCGTGCCTGTAGGAAATAGAAGGGAACCCGTTTGAGAGGTGAACAGTATAGGAGAGAGTAACTGCCAGCAGGAACTAATTTGCTTTATCAATTTGAGCACAGCGGAGAAACAAACTGCATGAAAAGGAAAAACAGGAAACAACAAATAAATATTGATATTTCATCGGATTTCAGACTAGAAGACCAAACTCCGAGAACAACACAGCTTCATAGTCATGTGTTCGGCGTCCATTGCTACCAACATTGCTATTTGGCGCCACCCGAGGACTATAAACCACCTTACCGTCTCTTTTTCGTTTTTGTATGTGTTACACCTAGTCCCTACTAAAGATGCACCCGGGTGCGCCTATAGTACGTTTCCTCACTTTTCCTCATAACATATCAGGCTGCATACACAGATATACAAAATGGTCTGCTAAACTTCGGAGATATTCTCCTAATGATGAGGTGTTCCACAAATGAACTTAAACTGATGATGGCCCGAGGTATCATTAGCTTCCGTTATAATGGCCATGAAGCTTTTGACGTCTCTACAAATGACCGGTAGACCATGGTAGATATTCTTGGATTAGATCTCTAACATGTTAGATTTTTACTAGTCTGTACTATCTATGATGTAACTTGACGCTGCCGTCAAAAATTACATTTTCATGGGGACAAACTTGACTCGGCAGAAAGAACCTCTGCACGTATCTGAGCATGTCCATGACTCTTTGCCACCAAATCCCAGGCCTCTTGAACCTCATTCGACAGGCGGAACTCCGAGAAGGTCGTCCATGTTGCTGTGCCCAAAGTTGCATCGTATCTGAAACAAAACTCGAATGCCGGCACACGAAGTGTACCAATATCGATTTGCATGAGATTCAACCGAGGCATACACTGGGCAGCGCGCCCAGCAGCGAGGAACAACTCATACAAGTACTTTCTCAACATTCGGGGATGCAGACTTTGTTGTTGGTCATTGGGTTGTTCGACAGAGTCATCCGATGATTCAAGAGAGGAAGATTCGTCCAATGTTCGGGATTCACGAAAGGAAGTGAAACCATACGGGGAAGGATATTTGAAGCTCGCGTCGAATTTGGTAAGAATTGGCCAGAACGGAGTAGTGTTGCTGGGATCTGCCGGCCAGAATAATTCAGGGCCGATCATGATTTGTGACAAGTCAACGCTTTCCAGCTGCTGAGTCAGTTGGTGCAAAGCACGGCACTGAAAATCAGGGATGGGGTTGAATGAGGGGGGAATTTGTCGCTCGGGGGTGGCTTTGCCTCGTATCTAAGATCTAGACGTCGCAGGGAGCGAGGCCAGCTAGTAATAGAGAAATCTATTCGCACTGTCAGAACCACTGGATATTTTCAAAGGACCAAAGCATAGTGAAGATGACGCATGACTAACCACTTCCAAGACTATCAGATAGTCTGGTGTCCTCTAGCTCGTTGTGACGGAGACTAGCAACGACAGTTTCCAGTCGAGGAAAATGAGCCACCATGCCGGAAACCGCAACCGGTGCAATATTGCGGACAATCTCACAGCCCTTCACCTCCAATGTAGTAATGCACTTGACGTCATGAAGTGCTACCCTTTCTGTCAGCTGCAGATAGCTACGTTCGTACCGCCGGTGTAGCAGATCCTGCTCTGGGAAAGCATAGCCTAGTTGTTGTCGGGCACGTCGGGTAGTCCAGTCCGGCTCCGCTTGCCAATCACTTGGAGACCGGGCATAGATCTGAAGTTTTATCTGGTACCGATCATAATCGGGCCACGAACTCAAAACTTCGAAGAGAGATGTTATGGCTTGCGTGAAGACCTTGTTATTGGCGTCGCGATCATGTTCATTTTCATAGTGGCGCCGGGCGTAGTCACTGTACGTAGGGAGAACAACCTTGAAATACAGAGATTGGACATGGAAATATCGACCGGGGGTGTGGGAGGAAGTGACAATCTGACGGAAGCTTTCAAGGCCCGCCGAATTGATATGCAGGTCGGCGAAGGTGAATGTCTCAGCGGCGACCTGCCATTGTGGACAGACACAAGCGCACTGTATCAGACTGTCCGGTTGGTAGGAGAATATGTGCTGAAGAGTTTCAAGCGGCAATGACCCAGCCATGGGGAATGAAGTGAAGGTTAATAGTGAAAGCCAAGACAAGTTAACGTAACTAACTAACTAGTTCACATGCGAGTGGATCACAAGCGAATGGATCACCGCAGAACACCATAGTTAAGGCTTTTTTTGATATCTATATATTTTGACAACCACAATTTGAATCTGAATTAATTTTTTTTTTCCATGGATCGATAACCATCTTATATAGCCTGCAGAGTTTTGAAGTGAATTGAAAGGCTTAATAATGGCGATACCATAAATTACGTTGTAATTAAGCTATCTCAGCTGTAAACATATATATTTTTCATATTTTATTATAACTTTCCTCTAAACTTTGTCAAAGTGCTATATTAAGTACCTAAATATACATCAAAATAACTTACTTGGTCTTAAATATACCCTCGAATTCCAGAATCTATCTAAGCATCTGTTGTTGGGATATATAGTATTGTAGTTTATCGCCTTAACTATGGTGTTCTGCGGTGATCCATTCGCTTGTGTGATCCACTCGCATGTGAACTACGTTAGTTAGTTAACGTAACTATTCGGTAAGCGGGTGGTCCACCCCGAAGCACATAGTAAATGCGATTTTTGCTACACTTATATCTCAACAGCCAACGTCTTTGTTTTATTTAATTACTTGCCGATAGCTACCGATAAGCATTCTTAGTAGTATATATCAATTTCGAATAAATCGACAACTTGCATTATTGCGGTATCGAAAATTACACGGCAAAAGCTCTAGAGTATATATAAACCTCTCTCACAAGTTTACTAAATTTCTTTAAGCTCCCTAGAGTGTAGAGATAGCATATAAAAAGCATTCAGCTACAAGGAAAAGTCCACACAGACCATCGTTGTTTGAGATATCAAATTGTAATTTATCGCATTTACTATGTGTTTTGGGGTGGACCACTGGCTTACATGGACCACCCGCTTACCGAATACGTTAGTTAACTAATCCCATTCAGGTATGCAAGGTGTTGAGGTGACAACCGGAGAGGCATAGCGCTCAGTGTCACATGCACTCATTTTAATCTAGCCTGAAAGTTTAGGTCGCCAAATTCTGCAATAAGAAAGCTTGTGTGGGATTGCGACTGGAAGTTGTATATCGAAAGAAGTATGCTTTCGTTAATATAATAATTGTGAGAAGTGAGAAAAGAGTGAGAAAAGAGTGAGAAGAAAAAAATTTCGTTTTATAATGGATTGATGATTTACAATATACCGTATGAAGAGGTGTAAAATGGGTGGTCTATACTTAGGCCAAACTTGAGCATTAGGGCATCAAATGGGTGTATACGATAAGCGATATGCCTCTTCGTCCTTCGTAGTACGCTGCGCTACCGAGCAAGCCTCGGTTTCACAAGGCTTGGCACGGGTAATTGGCCCCAAGATTTATAACGAGCTCCTGTTTCCCCAGATTTTAATCTGTTCCATACCCTCACTATGAGATACATACTCTTTTCTTTGAGCGCGTTGGTGTTCTACGCCATATTTTATTTCGCCTCCGTCAATGGCCTCGACGCGCTGGCACACAAATCCATTGAATCTGGCAAGCTCCCTAGCATTGATGCGCCTTTGCGAACAGTCTATACGGGAATTGAGGCAGTCGACAATGTACTGGCTCTTTTGACTGTATTTTTCTACCCGACACTTGACGGCCATAACCCTAGTCTGCTGCTTCACAGCATCGGATTTAGTGGTACATTCGGTGCGACCTGGACTCTGATCGTCTTGGAATCGTGGCGAAAGGGAAATGCCGGGACAGTAGCCGCTTAGTATGTTTTGCCCATCGATATCTTGGATATCGAATGACAACTAACTAATCGATTTAGCCCGACCATATTTGGCCTCATCGCTCAAGTATTCACTTTTGCCTTTGGCATCCCATTGACATGTGGTCTACAGCTGGGCTCCTCGATCACTGCGCGCCGTCCTCATGCAGATAATATTCGGGTCCCGCGAGCAGTTCTCGCGGCTCTGCCGTTGACTTTCGTTGTCGGATACATGTTGCCGACAGTGGCCATGACGTTGCCCGCTCCTTCTGTTATTTCAGTGGATCTAAAGCAGATCGCCATTTCCTTCTGGCATCCCTGGCCCGCGTACGTGTCTATTCTGACCACGGTCGCCTACTTTACATTATCCCCTTTCTTCTCAAATAACCACCGAGCATCCATGTCTAGCTTGCGCTGGGTCTACACATTTGCATTCGCCAATGCATCTCTGTCGCACATTGTGTCATGGGTTGTCTCTTTGGCAACTGTTATAGTGCCGGCTCTGTTTGAAGACCGTTTCCTGAGTTCTCTCCACCCGGCCAAGGTTTTCTCGATCCCTCTTCCTTGGTCTGGACTCACGGTCAATAATGTCGGTGATGGTGTGCATGTATTCCTTCGATGGGATTACCTCATTGGTTCGGCTGGTGTTTTAATCTGGGCTATCTCGCTGTACACCATTGCTCACAAGCAACTGCTCAGCACTGTCTCTTGGCCCAGTCTCCTGGTTAAGATTTTTCTGTTGACAGTTCTTGCCGGCCCCGCAGGTGCTGCGGTAGAGTTGATCTGGGAGAGAGATGAGCTAGTGTTTAGCGAGACAGGTGGTAGCAAGCAGGTTTCGAAAGCCAAGAAGTCTACCTGATTGAATATAAGTTGACCAATGATGAGGGGACTGTTTTGGACCATTAATGTTAAAGAGATATTTGTGAATTCTTGAAGACGAGTTGATATATGTAGAAATAATCTTCGTTTTGTTTCTCTTTGGGCGAACGAATGTGACCCTTTCATACATCACAGGGACACAGAGGGCTTCTTCTCTGCCATAATTGCATAAACCGCATCAATGTAAGCCATGACGTTCTCATTGCCCATGATCCCTGGTCCCATTTTGTTCATGGTATAAGAAATAGTCATACCACGATCCAGATCCATGACCAACATAGAGCCACCCCAACCTCCCCAGAAGCAAATGTTTCCTTCAGGGATAAAGGGTGTAATTTCCGGCACTGCCAGACCGACTCCAAGTCCAAATTTGACTTTCATACACAACACCAAATCGACACCGCTAACCCGCTCCTGAATCATCTGGTCAATAGTCTTCAGCCCAAGATACTGCTTCCCATCGACCGTTCCTTTCAAGGACACCATTGAACCAATCCGAGCCAGTGCACGCGCATTCGCAAACCCATTCACGGCACCAATCTCAGCACCCCTGAACCCAGGTGACTGGGAATCCTCAGCCTTGAATGTAAGATTGCCAAAGGCTTTACCCACAACGCTTTGCGGGTCAATCTTTGGCAGATTCTGAGAAGCACCAGGAATGATATCCGCCGTACGCGGCCAGTTCTCTTCGGCAAGACCGAGACTGAAATCAGCGCCTAACGGACCCGCAATCTCATCTGCAACGAATTGCTTCAACGACTTGCCGCTAATGCGTCGCACCAGCTCACCGATCAAATGTCCATGGTTTACTAGCTGGTAGCCGGATGCCTCCCCAGCCTTGAACCACGGAGCCTGTTTAGCGAGCATCTCAGTCGAAGCTTTGGTGTCGTAAATAGACTCCATGGGGAGTCGCTTGTCCCACTGGGGCAGGCCAGATGAATGGCTGAGAATGTGCCACACTTTTGTCTCCTCTTTGCCATTGGCTGCGAACTCCGGCCAGTATTTTGACACTTTCTCTTCGACGTCTAGCAGCCCTCGGTCCACGAGCGTCAGCGCGGCCAGGGCACTGACCACCTTGCTAGATGAGAAGACAGCGACCAGGGTATCCTTTTCCCACGAGCGCGACTTGGAGGCGTCGGTGTAACCGCCCCAGATATCCAGGACGTTTCTTCCGTTGACATTAACGCAGATTGACGCACCCACTTCTTCTCCCGAGGTTAGTCTTTCTTGGAAAAGATCACGCACGCGGCTGAATGCGGGGTTGCAGGCACCGTGTATGACAGCCATTACAACAGCTGTCGATTTGGTTCTTGCTGGTGAATAGACGTAGATATTTGAAGGATTATCACAGCTGAGAACAATTAAGTAACATCCCTAAGGGTTTGCACAAGAAAATGGCACCTACACATATTTATAGATAGTCTTCTCGTGATCTTCTAGTTAGTTAGCGTGCTTAGTTAGTGCGGGGACTTCGATCGACTCGTCAAACGACTGGTAAATGTAGGCGTCCAATCAATGGTATTCAAAACTCTATATTTCTGTATAACGTATTTCACAAGCGAGCTGCGCACCCCAAAACACATAGTAAATGCGACATACTATATCAACAACCACGTATCTATTTCATCTCCGTACTTGTCGATAGCTATTGATAAGACTTATTGGCACTATGTATAATTTGAAAGAAAGCGGAAGGCTATATTACCGTCATTTCAAAAATTACTGAAAATTACGTTGCAAAAGCTAGAAATAGATATTCGTCAATAAGAGATATATATTCCCAAAACGCCGTAAAGAGGCTATATATTACCTAGAAATCATTAAGCTATATATAAAACTCGATATAGACCACCGTTGTTGAGATATCAAGTTGGAATTTATCGCTCTTACTATATGTTTTGGGGTGCGCAGCTCGCATGTGAAATACGTTATACAGAAATACAGAGAGTTCCATAGTTACAGTCATGTTTCTTGAGTATTATCTAATCAAAACAATAGAGGATCTAACTATAAATCCTCTGGTATGCTTGGCATAGCATATTACCTGTGTATTGTGCCGTGTATGCAGACTCGACATTTGACACCTTAGTAAGGACCCCCCAGCGTCCTTTCATCTGGTCAGTTACTGCGACAAGCAACCCCATTCTTTTCCACATAGCAAAAATGGCTTACTATAGCCTTCTGAATAATAAAATATGACAAAAACCACGAATTTAGATAGACAACATGACTAAGACAATGCGTGGACGGTATGAAAGGCGGGGTATACGAAGTCTTGCAAAAAGGTAATGGGAATTAAGACGATCTAACAAAATATAATTGTAGTATCTTCCTCCCCTCCTCCTTTCTATAGTCTCTCATAGCCTTTTTTGGAACTCACGTGCCCACTGAGTACTGTCTTTGGGATTACCACCATGAGTATACAACAACATATGATGTTCAACTACCTACAGACAAGGCATCGAGAGGTATTAAAACAATATCTCATTCCGTGGTATGTATGACACGAATACAACCAAGTGTGAGTAGTAAGTCAATAAATACATAAAATAAAAATATACAATATTAACACATCCGCTGTAATGCCATGCAAACAAAAGCACAACCAATACCGCAACTCGCCTCCTTCATCCTCCAAATATTTACTCCGACTTCAATGGTGCAGCGGTAGGCTCATGGCCTTTCTCAAGAGCCACACGTTCCTCCGACGCGGAAGAGAAAGAAACAGCCTCACCAGTTGCAATCCGCTCCTCCGCATATTCTTCATCAGGTTTCCAGAAGTCCTTCTTTCCATGGAAAGCACGGTTAACCCAGGGGGGAAGGAAACCGCCCTGGATCTTCCAAGACCAAGGATCAGACTCATCCTTGTTAGGCGGGACGATACGACCACCGGTGATCTTCTCAACGCACCAGGTAAAGCCATTGAGGGTGATGTAGCTGGTGATACCGGCGATCAGACCGTAGGCAATACTGTATGTGAAAGGCATAATGGCGATGGTGAGGAATGCAGGAATCGCATCACCGTAGTACCGCCAGTTGATATCGGCGGCAGACTTTGCCATCATCGCACCGACAATCACGAGTGTGCAACCTGTAGCCCAAGGAGGAATTGAAGCAAAAATCGGCGCGAAGAAGACTGCAACAAAGAATGCAAGGCCGGTGACACATGATGTGAGCCCGGTTTTGCCGCCTTCGGAAATGCCGGCACCGGACTCGACGAATGCTGTAACGGGGGGACTACCGAAAAGGGATCCAATCGAGATGGAAATTGCGTCAACCATGTAGGCCATGGCGCTGCCTTCAAAGTCTTGAGTCTCCTCGTCGATTGCGCCGGCAAATCGGGCCATGGAGTACATTGTGCCTGTGGTATCGAGAATATCGACATACTGTGGAGATGTTAGTCTTGAACTTTATCGTTGAATAGAGAGCTTTTCACGTACCAAGAATGTGATGAAAGCCAGTCCGAACTGGCTACCCTTGCCAGCCAGGTCAAAATTCAGAGCAAGCAGAGTGTGCTTGATAGGATGGAAAGTAACAACTTGCTTGAAGAAATCAAACTTGCTAGATCCAAGCTCGGTATAGGGGAAGTAGGTTAGGGGTGTGGTTCGGGGCCAGCTAATTATTGACACCAGCAAAATACCGAGAATGACAGCACCCTTGACACGGTACATCATGAGCAAAGCCGTCAGGATACCGCCACAGAAGATGCCAACCCACATAGTAGGGCTGCGCATCTTGTCGCTGCTATTGCACATGCCCGTTTCTTCATTGAAGCTCACGCATCCAGCTAACTCGATGGGAGTATCAACGGCACCCTGAACCAAGCCAATACCGGCACTATAGGTCAAACCGATCAGTGCGAGATAGAGACCGATTCCGACACCAGTTCCAAGTTTGATAGACTTTGGGAGCGCACGGGCCAGCCACTGTCGCATGCCGCACAGCGTCAAACCCAGGAATACCCATCCTTCCACGAAGACAGCTGTCAGGGCAGTCGAGTATGAGACCATGCCGGAACCACGGGGCCCAACAACAGTGTAGGCAAAGTAGGCATTCAATCCCATTCCCGGTGCGAGCGCGATAGGCAGATTGGCGAAGAAACCCATGCAGAAAGTCGAGAGAGCGGCGATGGCGGCGGTGGCGGTGACGATATCGCGGTTGATTTCTTGTGTGCACATAGCGTAGTCGGAGTTGGTCGCACAGAAGTCACCCATATCTTCCTCGGGGCACACGCAGGTTCCACCCGTTATAGAGGTGATATTGCTGTTGACAGAGATGATGTATGCCATGGCGAAAAATGTGGCGAGGCCGGCGCGAATTTCAGTGAAGAAGTAGCTACCCTTCCTCTCTTTAGGCTGATGAATGGGTTAGTCAATTGTACCAGTACTCAGGATGCTATCACACATCACATAGAATTCAGTATCACTTACATGGCCACAGCCCTCCAGACGAAACCATTTCCCCACGGGACTGCGGGCAACCCGCACATTGGTGTTATGAATCCAGTTACTGATCGCCATTCTGAAAGAATATCACGTCCTGTGTGGATACAGCGAATTCCGAAGACGCTGTCGTCGTTGAGACGCAGTATTTAAAAGATGTTCCTGCAGTAGACGTAGGTGTAGAATATAGGTTGAAGAAAGAAATGGGCAAATCTCAATCTGGTTCCTCAGCCAACCACATTTCGCCGATAAGAGGTCGGAAAAAAAAAAAAAAAAGAAATTCGCCTCTTCCACTTACAGGTATCCTCCGGCTCTTTGGGCACTGGACAGCTTGGCGGGTCTCTTCATCCGTAACATGCCGTTTAGAAGCCCTAATTGGCTGTACGTTTCCCGGCGGTAAACTTCTCCATGGGTGAAATCTCGGCAAGCCGGTGTGGGAAATGGAAGGAAAAAAACAGAGAGACCTTGTTATTTTGGGCCTGATACTCACTTCGAATAAAGGTGTTTGAAACAAGAGCCATAAGCTCGTTTCGAAAAGTTGTGGGCTGCAATGCCCGCAATGCCAAGACCCTGATGCGCTCAGCCCTCGTGAGCTCTGGTTATCTTATCGGAAATTGTATGTGTCGTGAAGGAAATGTGCAGGGGGTCTTGATAACCGGAGAAAGCCGATGACATAAGTAATATGGAGAATCGTCAGATCTGAACATCTCTAGTTCTCATGGCTCAGGGATATCCGGGGAACGGCCACATCCGATCGTATGTTATCAACGAATCTCACCCGCAGATATCAGGTTTGTTCGATCTGACAACCTTAATTCGCCCATCAAGTCGCTTTAAACCAATCGATAGCTCGTCCATCGGAGAATGAAGGAGCTCGATCGGCCTACGCTACGCTCATTGAGGCGCTATGCCACGTGGATGTGCGAACTGTAAGGCATAAATTCCGAGTTGGGGTAGATCTAGTTAGGGCAGATCCAGTAGATACTTTGCTCTTTCTCTCTGCCCTCCTCTCTCCATCCATGAACATTGTACAGCATTCTATCCAGGACGTTTCTTCGTAGTGAGCACTTCTTGTAGAGACGATTCCTCTAGACCAGCCATTGAAAGTTACAATTTTGAGGCGTCTATGGATTTGATTAAACACGAAAGTCACACCTAAACGGACTCAATCACCCTTTTCTCTGACTTTGATGCGGGAGCAGGCTCGAGGATTGGAGCAAATTTAGACTTCTTGCGCAACGCAGGTCCCCATTTGATAAATACCAATGGAATCGGGATCATGATGAGGGCGAGACACCCAAGAAGTGTGCCGGCCCACTGGACACCCAAATTGACAAACATTTGCTTTGAGAATAAGGGGAATGCAGCTCCGACCGCTGATCGAATAATGGTATTCGAAGCAAACACAGATGCGGCACTGTGTTTCAAGGTCAGTATAGCCTTCCGCGGTGAACCAGAAACTGCGACACTTACAACATCAGATATGAGTCAATCAAGTAATTGAAGCACTGTAGGAAGATGACATAGATGCCAAATCCAGTCATGATTCCGCTGGCGGTGGGCGCCATCCAATGTATTGACTTTGTCCATCCAGTCCACCCATACCAGAACAACCCGACACAGAAGCAAACACCCCCAAGGCTGGCGGGAGGAAGTCTCCATTCTGGAATGGGGATGTTATTGTTGGCGGCTAACTTCTTAATATATGACTTCTGATCAAACATGAGATAGACGCCAGCTAGAAACTCGCCAATGATCAACCCAATGAACGGCAGACTTCCAACACCCAAATTAAAGCCGTGGATTCCTTGGAAAACCACAGGATAAGCCCCAAGAAGAGCATACATAAGCCCGTAGACAAAGCTCATCCAAAGAGAGATCTGGAAAATGTTTAGTAACCGGTTGGCCCGGGGGGTTGGATATTCATGTCCGACTTACTAGCAGAACAATTGGCTCGGTGAAAAGCATACGGAAAGGTCGACTAAAATTGATCGTGAGCAGCTCGCCCCAATCAAGCTCAATTGCTTCTTGTCTGGCGCGGATTCCCCAATTGTGTGTCTGCCGTCGCAGAATGGCGGCCTTTTCCACAAGAACAGCGGGTGCATAGGTCTCTTTCAAAAAGACAAGACAAAGACCAGTAGCCAGCCACCCCATGATAGAGGCGATGTACATAGTCCACCGCCATCCCAGATAAGACATGGTGATGAAGCCACCAATGAATGGAGACGCGAAAGGCCCCACGAATACAGCCATGGCGAACATAGCAATAGCCACACCACGCGTCTGGTTATTCCAAATATCGGCAAGCACGGCAGGAACAATAGCGATCGGGCTAGCAGAAAAAAAGCCAGCAAAGAATCGCGTCAACATCAAGGTCTGGACGTCCTTGCAAGTTGCTGTCGCAATGGTGAAAATGGAGTACCCGAACATGCCAATGCAGATTGGCCATCTTCTCCCAATAAGCTCACTTGCCGGTGCCCACACCGTCGGCCCTGAAGCAAATCCCAGAACATACAGGGTCACACCGAGGATGGCGACTTCCGTGCTGATATGAAAGTGAGCACTGATGTGTCCCACCGCGGAGGAGTAGATGGCACTGGCGAAAGAAGAGACGAAGGTTGTGTATGCTAATATCACTGATATACCAAGTTTGCGTCTGAAAGGCCAGTTCTGGGGGTGCATAGGATCGTTTGCATCGTTGAATTCGACAATGTATTCTTCGGGGTCTGGGAGAGTTGGAGGATGAGGCTTCCCTGCTCCAATGGGGAGCCATTTCTCTCTCGGGGTAATTCCGGAAATAGAGCCGACGGTTGAGCGATGTTGGAGCCGATAAGTGTTGATTCGCTCTATTTCAACTTCGTTCAGGTTGCTTTGGCGGCGATTGATGCTCCCTGAGCGCATGGACCCTATTTCCGACAGACGTCGATCGGGCGTCGTCATAGTTGTATTGAGGCCATCACTTCTACTGCTGCTAGTATCATGCGGGCTGTGAGACATGCTGGTGAAGATATATATATGCAATGTACTAGATTTCTGAAAATTATTTCCTATAGCGAATAGCATAATATATATAGCAATCAACAAATAATTCGGCATATTTGGTTAGGGATATTTCCATCACCTACAGCATCATTGAGTATTCCCTGGTTGATCCGTTGGAATGGCTACGGTAGGTCGTAGACCCAGTGCCGCGATGGACTGCCGTGACGTCCCAATAAGGTAATACCTCTCGTTCCATGATTTCCGATCCAGCCCTACCAAGTTTAGTTGACAAACAGAACTACAATCCCGAGGTCTATATTTTATCTCTAGTTTCTATCCCAATTATATGCGTAAAACGTAACTAATTATCAGGAATGGGATGACTCATTGCCTAGCGCCCAAGGGTGGCCGTGCCGGAGGAAGTATATTAATAACAATAAAGGTGCCGATTATCAATATTTGGGCATTCAAATAATTTTCGGCAGTTTTTGGCCATTACTAGCGTCAGACCTTTGAACCTATGTATATAGATCCTCGGATATATTAGAAGTTATTCGCGTAAAATTGGAGCCTTGCGTACCGACACCATAGAATGAGAGGTGATTAAGACTGTCGCAAAGATGATGGTAGTTTATAAATTGTCATCAAAGGCATTTTCTACTGCATATTCTGTACTGGCCCTGCTTTTATTGAAAGTGCCTCAACTCTTAATTGTAATAGAGTATAGTTGTACGGACTGGATGCGTAACAGATGCCGATCTCCCGACGATTTGATCGAAATATGGGTGTCAAATCCCGAGTCCAAATACCATATACAGAACAAAACCACACGATCGGATAGGGGGTAATTTCCCCCGAACCTCGTCGGATGTTCGGTTCGGAGAACCCACTGCATTATTGATTAATTGATTAGTCATTTTGTTTATCCAAGTTGCGAGTTTATCATGTTTAGCTAGATAGAGAGTTTTATAGCACTGAAAATACCATACATTTTGATACAGTCAGATTTCTGTCAATGGGCACTAAAAGGTGGTGAAATATACAATTTAGAGATTATACGAAACATGTATAGGGTAAATAACTCTTGCGAAATGATACTTGCGTATATTATCAAAAAGATAAAGTGTAAACTGTCTGTCTCTACTCTCAAAGCCTGTCAAGAAGCCTATATTTGTAGGCTTCATATCCCTGTAGACACAGATAAGGACCCTTTATATGAATGATACAATTTGTAATGACAAAGTGAATGGAATCATAGAGGATTGCAGAGAGCTCCGGATTCCGACGGTGAACGCAGTTAGGAACGAAGCTGTTAGTTGTATAGATGCCGCTAGACTAGTCTCAATGACGTAGGCGCTCAAGACTCTTTGGCATTCAAGGTCCTTATTATGCAGCGATACCTTAGTATTTGGAAAGGGGTTTAGTGTTGAACCCATCCCAGGTTAATTACTGCGAATTAACTGGTATTTCCAACAAAAGGGACTAATATTCTGCCATAGTCCTCCACCTTATGATAGTCGTCCTTACGGGGCTGCATAACTCTTCAGAGGTCAAAACAAGGGGGGGGAAATACTATGTAATACTACAAGATGAGCAAAAAAAAAAAAAAAAAAAACTCGTAACACGATAGTGCATCTAATAATACTGCCCGTTAATAATGATCATCTTCAGCGCCACCAGCATAGCCTTAAGCCTGGGTGTGCTTTTTACCCCTTAGCTAGTTTCACCCGGGCGAATCTACTATGTAATTGAAATTACTTGGAATGTTCTGCATCCAGCCTCTCGTTTGCATCTTCTCTCATGTCTAAAGCCATGCGAAACACGGGGTACACGAAACAGCCCATTTACCCCTCGCCAAGTCCCGAGTACCTATAAATAGTGTGACAAGGGCCGAACGAATAATTGACGTTTGGGGAAACCCGGCTTGAGGGACTGGGGTATTAGGCTCATACCCAATCACCTGCATTTAGGCGCGGAGCTGACACCAGTAAATGCCAATGATATGTAACTGGCATGTTTACCTTCGACCCGGGGCGGATTCCTCGTGGCCTAATTGCGAGCTATCTCATGCTTTACGTCGTGTCCACCCACCAAGGCCTGCTTTATAAATAAATGTGTACAGCACAGGTCTTTCCTTCTCCTGCATAAAGACGAGTGGTACTCCTCAGTGAGTGCGGCTTAAGTCAAAAGGATCGCCGCCATGTCGCTGTTTCAAAAAATGGGGATTAAGAAATCATACGAGATGAGGCAATCTAAGCGCACCCCCTACGGGGCTGTACCAGCCGAGGAAAACCATTCAAATCCAAGGCCGTCATCTGAAGTCCGATATTTTACAACAATCGAGCTCCCCGAGGTCGACGAGCAGAAATCCGATCCGAAGCCTCTCAAGCTCTCTCAGTTGGACAGAATTTCTCGTCTAATTTGGGACTTGATTCTTGCCACTACAGCCTCCCTCTTCACCGTGTTCGGTATATGGGTTTATTGTATCGATGGGAAGCATGCTGGCCCAGACACCATAGGCTCTAAGCTATTTGAAGTCTCTCAATATGTTAGCTGCCCCATTCCTACTCCCGCCTTCTTCAATATCGTCAAATCTAGCTAACATCAATTTCTGTGAAAGGCGCCCACTATATTCCCAGTCCTTTTTGCTGCTATTGCGGGTAGCAGCATCAAAAGTATTGCGTCGTGGCGCATCCAGACCACTGGAGGGGCGACCATCGGACTGATAGAGCAATGTCTCGGCAGTCAGACTATCATAGGAGCCATTCTCACTCAGATCAGACTTCGCGCTGTAGACTCCGTCGCCATATTGACTGTCTTGTTGTGGTGCTTGTCTCCATTGGGCGGCCAAGCCTCTTTGCGGGTCATTTCCATCGTCCCGAGTTACCCAAGTAATCAGGTCCAGTTGACCACTTTGAACACTTTCACCCAGTACCAGTACGGCTACGGTCAAGGAATATCGATGGCCAAAACATCAATTGCTAACCCACTGATTGCTTCCATATCTGCCGCCTCGCTGCTGGCAAACCGCAATCAAGATCTCTGGGGCAACATCCGCTTCCCTGCGATCGAGCATTTTGAGAATGTCAGTACAGGTTGGATGGATGTACCCCAAAATGATAATTTGACGTACGCATCTCTTGTTGGCGTGCCGGTGATTGGTTTGCCCAACTCTGGCAATACATCATTTACCCTCCCAGGCTCATACTTATCCATATCCTGTCCTGTCTTCGACACACTGCACCAAGTGAATTTTACCAATTTCACTGGGCCAGATGCTCCATCTCCCGGTAATTCCGACGATTGCAGCTGGACAAGATCATTAGGTGGACATCAATTCCAGATCGCCATCTCGGAGCCATGTTCGAAGTCACTCGATGCATCGAGGACAAGGACTCGAAATGCACGGAAGCTGGTATGGGAATCATGGGATCGTGGTAATGGAGGCGGTTATGGAGCGAGTCAATCCCCCATTACGCGAGCTATATGCGATCTCACCACGACCTATGTGGATTCCAACATGACATGCGAGTCCTTAGATGGGAGTCAGTCCACGAACACTTGCAGCCTGTCCTCCGCTCGCCGTTCGGTGGATGTATCCCACTTCCACAAAAACTGGACCATTTTCGATTTCAAGTTCCCAGGGGACTCTGCGCTGCCCATTGGCTATAACCAAGGAATATTGTACATGCTCACTAGCATCTTTCCTCAGGCGGAGCAGAGCGGTGGCTTAGAGCCCATAATTGGATATTTTATCGACCCTTTTCACGCCATCGGAAAGCCTAGCGGTGACGATATTATGTCACCTGAGACCACGACCGCGAAAGCCTTTGGGATGCGTCTATCGCAGCTCCTGAATTCCGTCCTATATCTAGGAATCAGCCCGTCGGCATTCACAGGCTCTGTCAACATGACGGAAATCGAAAATGGCCCAATCAGCCATAGCCCCATCCAATTGAAGGCCAAGAATACTCATCTGCTGGATATCGTTAGGTGTAATCGTCCATGGCTTACCGTGTTAATCATTTCCTCTGTGGTTATCTTCTGCTTTGCATTGGTGGGCGCCTATCTCCACATCATAACGATCGCCCCCGATCTTCTAGGATCGATCTCCGTTACCCTATTGCAGAACAAGATCGAAGGAATTGTTGGATCCTCTACATGGTCTTCAGACGAATGGTCGAAGAATTTGCGAGATACGAAATTATGGCTGGGAGATGTTCAGCCTGATGCTGACGTTGGGTGTCTTGCGTTAACCACCACGGCACAAGATGTTCCTCCTGGCTCGATAAAGGGAAGACTGTATCATTGAAATCAACAATGGATGTAAAGTCTGTAGATAATCGCGCATGGCACTCAAAGGTCATGAATGTGAGCTAAGCGCGGCTTGGGTATGAGATATTGTATGAACAATTCTAACTTTTGATATATACCATACTAGTAGTAATTATCAATTTATGGCACATCAGCACACACCATAAAGCAATGGTAAAGATCTTTGAGATCCATCGGGATGATTGCATGATCTGGGCAATCATTTGGTCGATTCGCTTCGATCGCCGAGGAAGGTAGAGGAGGCAATCAGAGACTCACCTAGCAGTGGGGTATAAAAAGCATCAATAATAATGAAATGGACAGTATATTGACAACCTGATATAGTTACGTATTTTGACATGCATGTTGCTATAATTCTATACGTAATTCGCAGCCATCTCAACGACATCAACAATCTGATACTGAAACGCCTGCTGAAGTTTCAAATCTTCTTTCGTATCATCTTCGATCCCAAAGTCACCAGTAAGACACTTGAGAACAATTTCTTTATACTTCCGTCCAACGCTAGATTCAAGCCGTCGTTGTGCATGTTTGATCAGCTGCGCCTGAACTGCATGCGGGTTGCTGGCATGTGCGAACATGTTCTTCTCCAATTTAACAGCCGGTTCCCAAAGTCCAATCTCAAGTAACACAACACCGAGCGCGTAGATATCGTGGACCTTCTTGAACATATCCATGGGCTGGCCTTGTCGGTCTGGGTGGCGATAGATATCTCGCATTGGCTCAAAATCAGCTCTTCCCATTGAGGAAAATGGTTCTGGGCGACTGAACTCGAAGCCGAGAACCCACGGCTCTGGATAGTTGACTGCAACGCGGGATCCTAGTTGCTCATCTTCGATACTGTGCGGAAGAAGGAGTATGTTGTCGCTCCGGAAACTCTCATGCAGCTTGGAATTGTTAGATGTTTCGTAGATAGTGATTTCAAATTGTACATACCCATTGAACCATGTGTATCTGGGCAATACACTTCGAAAGGCCAAAAGCCAGGCGAAACTTATCTCCCAACTCTGGACGCAAGTCGTCCGTGAAAAGTAGTCTTTGTAGACTTACCGGCGCTCCAATGGGCGTTGGTTGTACCTCAAAAACAAATGCGATGGAACTTTGATCAGGGAGGTATTTCCAACCCACACAAGGTAGCACTCGAAAAACTTGCTCTTTTGGCTGATGTAGGAGCTTGGCCAGAGCCTCGATTCGACTTTTAGTTCGGGGATCAACATCATACCCATGCAATGATGGAGGGAATTGTATCGATGTTATATCGTACACGTGGTTCTCCTGTATGTATGCAACATCATCTTTGGAGAACATAGCAAACATACCCTGATAATCGATACGTTCGATATGCTGGAGGTGAGAGCCCCAAGATTCATCTAGTAACTCTAGAGAGTTATTCATTCTCCCTGCATCCCATTGTGCAAGGCGTAAAGATGCATCCTTGTCAAATCCAAGTTCTCGCGAGGAGTGATCCGTTTGGAGATGTCTCAAATGCTCAGGCAAGACACCATAGTTCTACCTTCTTCTTAAGTCGAGAGTTGCGGTCTTTAAAAGATAGAAGGATACCTTGTACTCTCTTTTTGTCACGGAGCCCCCATTTGAGAAGACCTGGCAGCGACGGACTTGTACGCCCTGAGCGCTGGCTTGGGTCGGTAAAAGATAGTAAAGGGCCAAGTGAACTCGAGCGAGAGGAACCTGATGATCCTCTGGAAATTCCATATCGATTCTTTAGCAGTGTAATGCCTTCTTAGAGGATTGAACTGATCTCGACACAGAGAAGCTCGATCTGCCATTGAATGTCGGGATCGAATTGCTCAAAGAGAGTCTTGCCTCCATATACCTATTGATTCGAATATTAGTCATAAATATATTTTGAAATATATCTTTAATGAGAGGGAATAGACCAACCGTGCATTGGGAGAAAAGTAGGGTCTTAAGCAGCTTTGTCTGAATATTTTCGTCATTGACCAAGTTCTGCAGCTCATTCGAGTCCTGTCCGCGGTCAGGGGCCGGTTTCATTGCTTTCTGATCATCAGTCTTACGCTTTCAAAGGAATTTGCATCATGAATGAGCTCTGCCGTTCTTTCACTTAGTTCGATGATAACTTGAATAACGCCAATAGTCAAGCCCGCAATGGAGAGGGGATCAACCATGTCGGGTCGAGCCGTTTATCCAAGCTCACGACACAAAAACAAACTAGTAGAATCTGGGATACTTGAATTCCATCAGGGAATTGTATGTATTCTTTTGTACTTATAAGCTACAGTATTTAAAAAATACCCGAGACTCAGGGGCTGCCTCAGATGTGGGGAAGTCGATCAAAAACCGCTGAGCGCTCAGCCCCGCAGAACCTCAGCTTCTCCTGTTACAAGATCGTCACACTGTTCGTTGCACTGAGGTGTGCACGTATCAACAAAGAATTGTCATGTCGACATCGGCATTCAAGGACAACTGTATCATTGCTCCCTCAATAGGTCCGGCTCGCCCAGTATCGAGCGGAACGTTGACATGGGCAACATCGATATCTCGCTCGCGAGTTTCAACTGTGAACGTTCTGAAATTCAGTGGTAGGTGGACGTACAGGCGGTCAACAGCCTAGAAAGTCTTCGCACAGTGGAGCAACTAAATCACAAGAGGTTTCATGTCGAAGAACTAAAGAACCCCAACATATTGACGGCTTCCTGTCGTTGGAGTCTGGAATAGAACCCCCGGGAGCTATTCCATCCAGTCAAAGATCGCATGTTATGCCATTTTGGGAGACATCCGATACTCAATATTCAGTAGGGGGGAAGGCCCTCACATCATCTGGGACCAGCAGCAGCAACTATTACAGGACTTTGAAGCAGGGGCTCAGCGAGCCCAACCTGAGAAGGATTATGGGTGTGATGCATTCCAGACCATCCTCTACTACGTTAATGCATTTGGCACATCTGCCAACCTGCCCAAGGCTACTCGTATCTTTTACGAAGCTAAAGACGTAGGCCATATGATTGCCTGTGTTCTGGAGCTTCGACTACTAGATGGGCTTACACAAGGCCCGTCCGATTACCAAAAGGAGTACAGCGAGTGCCTGGATTTGGGGTTCAACATTATTGGGAGAAGCGAGGAAGCATCCAGTATAGATGTCCGTAAAGGGAGTTCCGTCATTCGACTTGAAAATTATTCCTCCTTTCGACAGACTGTTGTGAGGAAATTGATCTGATCAAACGGATTGGTGGAAACTAGAAGGATATCGAATCCACGAAAACGATAATGAAATTGATGCGCATCAGAAAGAGATAAGCGAGGCGGTCTCCGTGATCAAGGACTACTGCAAAGATCAGCCACTTGTCTCAAAATCAACGGGGGCTACAGGGACAACAGGCTTGCCAGTCGGGTGGGATGATCTGCCTAGGGAGGCACGGAAGCCATCTCTCAAAATGGAGGATCTAGTTGTTCATGTCAGAATGACCTCGCAAGCTTTAGATAAATCGTATCCTCATCCTTGAAGGGGTATCAAAGGGGCTTTCGAGAGATTAGATACAACTACGAAAGCGGGTAAAGGAATTAGTTTTGGAAAAGCGTGGTAGAGAGACGACTAGGAATCGATTCTATTTCTCATAAACACAACGCTACTCCCCGTAAAACATATTTTACCACAGCGAATTTGTCGACCACATTCTCGGGTCAAAGGTTTCCGGAGTTGAGACATATAATGGCAGATTACGGGGACGAATTGGCTAACCAATTGATGGTAGAAAGCGAAAATCGATGTGGCGACTCTGAATGTATGATAATCATGTTGGTTCAATCGCTCGTCGGCGAGTGTGTGGGTATTTTGGAGTAGGTTCATCAAGGGATTGTCGCTGCCCATATGTGCCATCTAATCTCATCGCGAACTACACAGAACTAGCATCGTCTTTGAAGATAGTTGTTTAGACAAGATGTAGGGCTCATCTTCAATTCCTTCAAACTCCATGTTCTTTAGTCTTATAGCTACTGGCGAAGGAGAGAAAGGGAAAGAAGAATCATTGTTATTTAATCTAGAAAAAAGTAGGGTATTTATACCCTGGTGTCTGACAAACAATCAGCTCAGTCTGTACGCAGAATCGGAGATGGGATCATCTAACATTTAGCTCATAGGTGATCGCTTCATACCATAAACGTACAGACTGGCAAAGACGGTAGAGAGGTTCCAAGGCTGTGGCACCAAGCAGACCTCGGGTTTTTGGTCCCCCTTCCAAGTCTACCCCTGTTCTTGCCTTTGCTGGTCTCGTTGATAATCGTCATTGCTCCTCTTTTCCGTTTCTTGGGGCCATCCAGTATTCTGTGTTTACCACCCTCTGTGGGATTGATGACAAGACGGGCTCATCATGCGGGATGCCTGTATTAGATCCACATCCAAAATCGTATGGTGGTTCAACTAGCTATGACCGTGTAGTCACAACTTTATTTCTTCCGTATAGGCTACAGGTGACAAGTTGAAGACTCAATCATCCGGTGCCTCCAACAAGACACGGTGTACTGGGGGTAATCCTCATTTCCCTCCAGAACTGCGTGAGGCCGATATCCGTACAACATGTTGATATATTCTTTGTTCCCCTTCAGGGCTTTGCGAAGTCGTTGTTCATCCAAGATCTTTATAATCTCACGAAGGGCACAGTGTGTGCAAGCATACTGGCATTGGACGCCGGTATGCTTACCATGCTTACCATACCTTCTGTGCTATCCTTAGCTCCATCATAGGATTGAGGTGCTCGTGATCGGAAACGACAGGGTGGTTGCTTCCTCCCAGAAACGCGATTCTCCCTTGTGGAAGCCAAGTTGTGTATTAAAAGGAGAAGTAGAAGGATGGAAAACTCAACCATAACGGAGGCGCAAATATTGTAATTACAAAGGAACAAATAGGAAGACGCCGAAGGGAAGAATAGAGGGCGATCCCGAAATCGGTACACAAGGGAATACTCGTCCTAGGATAAGGTACGATGTATATATAAGCATTATAGTGGATGGAGGAATATATCAGGGGGAAGAGAACAAACTATTCCCTGTAATATAGCTAGTTAGCATGAAAGAAAAGACAAACAATCATGTGAATAGTTATCCAACAATGAGCGTTGATGTATTCCATTGTTGGTATGTACCACGTAGGTCACCAAGAAAGAGACTCAGGTCTCTCTCCCATTTATAGCATGCGCCAACTCTAGGAAGAACCATCAGCTTAACTTGGTATTTCCACCTTCTAAACATATGCAGACGAAGGAAAGAATTGAAAAAAATACCTATTCATTCTCATGACTTTTCAAATTTTGCTGCCTCCAAAATGGTCGAGTGATCCAGGTTATGCGTGGTGCCCGCCTTCAGAATCACATCACGCACCCACCGCCCCCTCGGACGCATCACAGACCTAAACAGCTTAGGCGGGGTGATAAAGCCATCTCTGCAGTCCATATCATTGACCTTGTATCTCGCGCCTGTGGCCTCGTCGACAACGCCAGCCTCGACGTCAAACGACCAAAGCATGCGCGCCATTTCGATGAACAGCTGGTTGCGCGCGATTAGACGGCCCGTACAAATTCTGCGCCCGAACCCGAAGCCCGTTTGTGGTAGGTCCTTTAGGGCGGATGTGTTAAGGCCGCAGATGTCGATGTGCTCCTTGTCGGAATCCTCCGCAAGCCACCGCTCTGGGATGAAGTTATCGACATCCTCACCAAAGATGGTCTCATCACGGGTGATGGCGAATGCGTTAGGGAGGACAATTGAGTTGGCGGGGATGTGGTAGCCCATGTACTCATCCTCGGTCTTGGTGAAGTGTGGCACGCCCTGGGCGCTGACGGGGCGCCAGCGGAGGGTCTCGTTCGCTGTGTCGTTTCATGTCAGACCTTATCCATCATTTAAATCAGAACATGTAAAACTCACCAATAGCGTCGATATAGGCCAGCTTGGGACGGTCTTCAAAGCTAGGTAGGCGGTCCCTACCGACGACCTCGTCTAGCAGCTGCTGCGCCTTCTTCACCCATCCACGCGAGCCCGACGTAATCCAAGCAACAATAAACCAATCGAGCGCAACAGTCGAAGTATCCAAACCAGCGTCAGCAAGGATCCCCAGATCAAACGCGAGCTCAATCTCTGGCATTCCGACAGCCTCCGGCGAGTCCTTCATATATTTCGAAAAGTTCCACTTGCGGTTACTCAGCCCCTTCTTCAAGTTTCCAATATGCAGCTGGCGCTCCAGCTCAAATAGCTCCTCGCCCTCCTTCTTCCACGGTGCCAGAAACTTGGGCAGGTAATTCAGCCATGGGAACGAGTCGACGATATACTCCCCAACCTTCCCCGTTCTCGAAAACTCTGCCATCACCCGTTTCCCATCCATAAGCTCCTTCTCGTATCCCGTTTTCAGCCGGTAGCCGTAGATCAGACAGTAGATGGTGCTGGCCATTGCGCGCTCGAAGTGGTGGTGGAAGTCTACACCCTTCTCACCGAACTTGTCCCACTCACCTAGCACGTCCCATAGCAGTTGTTGTGACTCGAGATCCTGTAGCGGGCGATACTTGCTCGCAGCGCGCAGGGTTAGGAGCGGGGCCTCCATCTTCTGGTGTAGTTTGTACTGGTCGTTGTATGGTCGGATAAGCATGTGCATGCCCTTAGTCACCAGCTCGCCTGCCATTACCATGCGCGGGCGGTCTGAGTAGCGCGAGCTACGACGGTTGAGGAGATCGTGTGCGGCCTGGTGGGTGGAGAGGACGATGAGCGGTTGCCCGCCCATGCTGAGGTGCATAACGGGGCCATACTTCTTGCTCCAGCGGTAGATCTCCAGCCATTGGAGAGTTTTGGGCAGCTGGTTAATATTTCCGATTAGGGGCGCAGGCCTCGGTCCTGGCGGTAGGGGCAGCGAGGGCCGTTTAACGAGTGAGAGGACCAGGCGGGCGATTAAAATCGCGCTGAGAGTGCCCAGTAGATAGGTCACAAGGCCGGGCATTTTGTCGCAACTGCAGAGATGAGGTGGTGAAGTACAACTGCAACTGTGATTGTAAGCAGTAGCGGTGGCGAGTATACCGTGCAAGCCAATTTAAGTACGGTGTCCCTCCCTCTCCGCCAGGTCTGTAGCTAACGGTGGGTGGGGTGGTGGTATTATGCAGGGCCAATGAGTCCTCGCAGCTATATAATCCAGAGACTCATTGGGCTTATTGGGCTCATTGAGATCGTCTGGAGAGCATGTTGGAGGCCTCCTTTGACTGCAGCATCATACTGTTTTCGTAGTAAGGTGGAGTCTACGGCCCCGCTGGGCTGAGAAGTAAGCCACATCTGGTGATGACACCTGTCTTATGCGCGAAGAATTGTGTGATCGGGCCTCTTGCACGGGTCGCTTAGCGTTGGCTTACCATCTGCCCGCCCACGCTAATGTATACTAACGGGTCAGAGTTGGGCCACGGCCGATATTATGTACTTTTATTATTTTATTATAGACAAAAGGCTACGGCCACCCTTCACCTATATTGGAAAAGTACACGGAAAATCTAAACTTCCTATTCGCCGAGATAGGCGACTAGGTAAGCACTGTGGTCTAAAAATTATTTCTGGCTGTGTAGGTCCCACCATCATAAAAGAGGTATCCACTAAGAATGAAGGTGTAATTAGTTTTATGGGTACAAATAACACTTTATATCTACATATGTTGTACTTTGTTGATTTCCGCGTATCGCCTAACATAGAGATAGCAAGCAAAGAAGAAAACCCTAGAGAAAGTGAGGTTCTTTATTCCTATAGATCGTTTCAAATCTCGGGAAGCACTTATTACATCTCAATAAGCGACTCTTGAGCGCATATTTACTTTTTTTTACTCCTTATAGAGAAGAGTTTCGGGAAAAGGGGTTCTTAGGAAGTGTGCCTAACTAAGTAATACTTAGTTAACGAGTTAACGTATTTCACATGCGAGCTGGACACACAAGCGAGCTGGACACCCCAGAACACATAGTAAATGTGATATATTTATCACTTATTTCTCAACAACCAACGTCTTTATTTTATTTCATTACTTGCCGATAGCTTTCGATAAGCATTTCTAATATTATATATCAATTTCGAGCAAATCGAAAACTTGCATTATCCCGGTATCGAAAATTACATCGCCGAAGTCTAGAAATATATATATCTCAGTCACTGATTTATTAAATTTCCTAAAACGCTCTATAGGGGCTAGATACAATATAAAAGGCATTAGGCTAAAAGGAGAAGTTCATATAGATAACTGTTGTTGCGATACCATATTGTAATTTATCGCATTTACTATGTGTTCTGGGGTGTCCAGCTCGCTTGTGTGTCCAGCTCGCATGTGAAATACGTTAGTTACTGGTATTATATGATTACATAATGAAAGATACGATTTTATCCTCTATTCACGTTCAAAGATTCCTAATTGGGTATACAACATAGTTATTGTTGGATACCCCTTTGTGGGATCTACACGCCATTTCCTTGGGGCTGACAAGGAGTTAGTGAATCCTTGTGGGGGCGAAATGGAGCCCGTATTCAGTAAGCCAGTGACGCAGTCCGATACATATAGTAAATGATACGCATAGTAAATGTAATAAACTTGATATCTCAGCAACAGTAGCGTATAGAGGTGTTTCCTTGTAGGCTAATGGCTTTGGGGTAATATCTAATCTTGCTAACTAGTTATACAGTTTAGTTAGTGGGTTTTTATCGCTCGGCGATGAAGATATATATATTCACAACTTAGAGCGATGTAATTTTTGATACCACAATGCTGCAACTTTCTGTTTTACTTGAACTTGATAAATATTATCAAAATCCTTATCGACAGCTATCGAGTGAATATGGAATCAATCAAACACATTGTGATTGAGATATAAGGTTGTAGTTTACCGGATTGACTAGTTATGTGTTTCGGACTGCGTCACTCGCTTACCGAATACGTTAGTTACATGTCATATGTGAGCCTGGATTCCAATTTGACTCCATTAAGGCATGGCCATGCAAAAAAACGAGACATTCTTCAGTGGCCTTTTAAATATGGGGCGAGAAGGTTACTAGTTGTACGCCTAGTAACAATTCTCGCTCGGCCAAGCCTATGTTAATTTTCAATCACGCTATGCAATGCGCTTTCTATGAAGTACTTGATGCTACGTAACTAGTTAAATCCATTCACTTCCCATAGTTGAATCAATGTTTAATCTTTATATGATAGCGGATATTCACTCATAGACAATATGTGAAGTGATATATCAAATATCATCAAGATCAGGCCTTCCTTTCTAGCTGGCCAGTCTATTGTACTCTGTCGTTTAGAAAACATTTTATTACCATCGTAAGCTGATCGGTGAGACTTGCATGGATTTAATTCTTACTCCCTACTAGGGGAGGTAACGAGAAGCTGCCGCCGAATTACCCTCCCTGTGTTGTAGGAGATGAGATAGACGTCCATATAGCTAAGGTACCGGCTTCCAAGCACCGATTCGAGTCCTTTTCATTCTCTCTACTTTCCTGTAGGTATTTGTGCGTGTATATATTACAGATCTTTTAGTCGAGTGGCGAAGCGACAATGCGGTTAGTAACGTGGTTAGTAGTTGCTATTGTGGCATTTTCGGCCATTGCCGGTGTCTAGAACATGCTAGAATGTGCTGTATGAAAGCTTTTGAATAGCCGAACAAAACTGCAGCTGATAATGACCGCCAGGCCAGCTGTCTCGCCGAGGGTCTTAAGAATTCTTGATGTACCGCGACGGACGCCGACTGCATACACGCTGATGAGACATTGATGTCTAATGTCGAGGTTTGCTCACTGGGAGCCTGCACCGTTATTGAAGGACTCCGTAAGTTCTAAAATCCTACTCGTGATACTGGCTCATTAGACTGCTTTCTATCCCCAGAGACCCAATATGCCACGCCTAGGCTCTGCCACTGGCCAGTCCGAGACAATGGTCTTGTCGCTCCCATCGTGACAGCCGTTACTGGTGCCTTGGCTCTCATGTTTAGTAACATCAGAGTGAGTGACTGTATTATTATGACGGAGTCAAAGAGTCTGCCGGCTAACCAGCAGATTAGATCTTTTCGTTGCCTATGGACATATTTGAATTATTTAGCATGTTGATTCTGTGCTAATAGTAGAGCAGTGATGGGTTTAGGGATATGAAAGGACCTTTGAACCTCGTCGGAAACGCAAGTCACAAACATAGCAAAGGCAAATATTATTCGGAGGCAAAGAAGTCCCGGACGGGAGAACTAACAATGTGGACAGTATACCTAGGTAATCCAACTATGGCACATCCCGGCAATTATTCTGACCAAGGTGGCCATTGTCTGCTTTTTCATGAATATCTTCCCGGCCCCAGATTTTTACTGCTTTACCAGGGAGCAATCGTCCACTGCGTCCTGTTCATAATCTCGACCTTTATTACTTCAATTCTCTCCTATATTCCGATCGAAGAGGCCTGGTCGAACTGGAAAGGCAAAAGTATAGCCCTGTGCTATGATAATAACGCAACGCATTCTGGTGGGCACATTCATACGTCAATCTTATCCCTCAATTCATTAGATCTAGATATCAACTAACTAACTCCAGGCAATAAACATCACCTCAGATTTGTAGGTCATTGGTCTCCCCATTTCAATGCTATTTGGACTACGGCTCAAAACATGAAAGGTCTATCTGGTTCTAATATTGAGCATCGGTATCGTGTAAGTAGAAGCAATCCGTTAACTCCTGCGATGCACCTCTGACAGTTCAATAGCATCATGGTCATTAGTATTGTCCGGTTCTCGGGTCTGCTGAAGTACTCCACGACGTCAAACATACCATGTAAGGTCCACCCCTATCCTCCGTGGTGCTGACTTAGATTTCGAGAGCTAACCAACGTGTACAAGACAACAATGTCATGGTAGCAACTCACAATGTCATCGAGTGTAATGTTTCGATTATGTGTTGCTGCATGCCCGCCCTACTTTCTGTCCTCCGTCGTGTCCTCCCCATGATGTTTGGTAGTACCAGCCGCTCTCACAATTACAACTACAACTACAACGATACTCCCCTTTCGAACACCAATGGGATCCAAAAGTCCGCCACATATAACGTTGGCTACATATACGACTCTTGCTGGGCGTGAGGATAATACAGTCGAGCTGGTAGACACACGGGCGAGGACTACCCGCGGAGGAAATGGTAGGGCTGGCGAGGATGATTGATATTGATTGATATTTCTTTAATAACACATCAACCGCATATACCCCTCCCTGGTCGGGACTTTACATGTAAGTGTAAATAATTAATAGATTTCCTATTTGTTCTAACTCAGGTAAATTATCTACACGAATATCGGTCTCGTACGCTGCACAGCAAACTCCTGCACCCTCTAACAATAACATAGGGCATTTCTATAGTCTCCACTCTAGTTATTGACCTCGGCTCCATGCTCTACCCCCAAAACATGTGCTTCGAGTACAGGGAGAGTAATCATAAGCTTAGGGATTGCCTAATACGGAAGATATGATATCGGATTGATAGGGTCGTCCCTGATGTATTAGAGCATAATACACATACCCGTGGACCGCTGCAATGTCCACTCCGATTGTAATCTTCTGAACTAGTTGTGAAATGCTCTTACGCAATCACTCAGTTGCTAGCACCCGGCCTGCCATGGGGAGTTCCCATCCGGATTACAGTAGATGAGGTCAAAAATCACATAACTTCCATCCGATGCGCGTCTATTTATCACCTGCCCAGGCGGCCCCAGGGCCCAGGGCTTTTGGTGAAGAAACAAATAATTACGTAAAGAGATGCGCGGACATCGGGGCCTCCGGACTAGCGAGAGGATCAGCCCTGGGCTCCTAGCGCGTGCTGAGTTGTACTGAGCAAAAAGCAGCAAGGTCTGACTTCTGAGCAGAACGAGGGAAACACCTAGAAGTAGCACAGGAAATCAATGTTATATATGCCAGACAAATATATTGTTCATACTACACATTTTCATGGGGTTATACACACATACATGAATATCCATCATTCCAAACACAGCATTGGTATGGCAGCATTAAGTCCCAAGAAAAAAAGAAGGCCCCAAAACTCGCTCGCTACTAAAAGAACTCAATTAAATACATCTCAACACAAACAACAACTTCAGATGACAGAAAGCAACTCTGCAGTCATGGAATTTTAGACCACGTTAAACGGCCGCTTTGCGCTGGTCCCATCCATCTCACTGATTGGACTGCTACCCAGCTCGGCACTCCCTTCGTCACCAGCTAATTCCACAACCTGAGATCCAGGCACAGGTCTGAATGGGCGGACCGATTCTGCTTCCTTCTCCGCAATTGAGTCTCCTGTCTTCTCTGCCACTGTAGTACCGCCCATCGATGATTCAGTAGCATCCGCCTCATGGGGCCCGAAACCACCATCCCGGTTAGCAGCTGCGGCATTCTTCTTGTTCTTCTTTCTCATGAAGATGAAGACAAAGGCGACGATAATGGCAACACCAGCTATGGCACCGATCACAATGCCTGCAATAGCACCCCCGGAGAGTGCGGGGCTAGAGGAACCGCTGTTGGAATTGTCTGCAGAGGCTGCGCGGGACTCGGTGGGTGTTGCGGATGCGGATGCGGCAGCGGCAGATGAAGATGAAGACGTGGGTTTGGATGATGTTGAAGACGTCGACGTCGACATCAAAGCCGTGGAGGTTCTGTGTTTGGCCTCAATCTCGCTCTCGGGCAGGATATCGAAAGCCAAAAACTGTTCGCTGGCATTCTTCCTCCAGGTCGCACACGCGTATCCCGCCCTGGAATCACACTCGATGTCGCGGTATATCGAGACACAAAGATCGGATCCCTCAGGATCCCATGTAAAGAGCTTGCCTTTACCGATGGTGGCATTTGTGCACTGTCGTTCCTCTTCGCCGCGGGCGATTTCAGTAGCACCGGTTGCGTTGGTGGTGCGGAAGGTCCATGCGTTCGCCAGGGGAATTAGGAAAAGTGCATATAATGGTAACATCATGTCGACGTCTCTTGAAAGGTGAGTCCAAGGATAATAACAAAAGCGTTGGGATTAGAATTCCAGCTGCCAAATGTGTGAGCGGGGAACATGTCAGTAATATACAGGATTGCAGGCACCCTAATCTTTTGTCCATTCGGAGAGAATAAGCCTCGTATTCTTACGAGCTTTGTCCATGGTGGGTTTTCCTCTAGTCTATGCGTGGAGCCAGTCAAGGCTCCTGGTTTTGGACCTTGCGGTGATTGCAGTGGTCGATCTATACTGTATGGGTAACAGACGGGTGAAAACCGAGAAGCTAATTTAGATGCAGATTAACACGGTCTCTAGCGTATCTCAAGGGAGATCGCTCCAGCATGAATTAGCTGTGAGGGTAGGAGGATCAAACTGCTTCATCACGTAGTCGTAGGCAAAATCAGTCACACCCTAAGATCGAGAGACCGATCTTGTGGTATGCTAACAACATCCATGCGGCGGTTGTATGGCGTGAATATGTTGTACACAATGTAACTTAATAACCGGCACACGGTGGCTGACCATTTCGTGGGATACGGGGTGCAGTGTTCCTGTGCAATACTTCGTACTATCCCTGTCAAAATAGTCTAAATTTGAATAATTTAGCTATTTCAGTCCCCATGCTGCGAATGCTACACATTGAAGTCTCGGCTTGCAGCCATCTTGTCCGTCGAGAATGGTGATTGGTGCCCTGTGTGCCGAATACGAGGTGATGGGCCAGAAAAAAAAAATTAAACTGTAGCCATCGGTTTGTCCACTGTCTTGTGGATGAAGACAAAGGTAAATAGAAAAAAATCTGTAAGGGAGCGCATAAGGAGTTTGCTGATAATTTTCTATAGTCTTGTACAGATCGGAGGACCATTGAGTGCGGAGAGACAAGACTGCCAAGGGTTGCCGGGCAAGAAAGGTTAGTGGAGGAGTGGGATTGCTGACAGGGGTCTAGGTTTAATTTCCACTTGCCCAAGTCACTACGGGGTACGGAATATGCAGACTTGATTTCCTCTGCCATGTGGGGCCTTCCTATTCCGGATGCCGCCGCTTTAATGAGGGCGCTCAGAGTCAAGAGTAAATTTCAGTCCAGGCTCAGGCTCACTTAGAGGGGATCACGTGACCTAGTACTCAAACCCGGAACCCGAAACACACTAGTCAACTTAGATTTAGCGGCTGGTAATACAAGTTAGCTTACCACTAATCTTAATATTTGTTAGTGGCGTCTCGGGTACGGGCCGAGAAACCAGCCGGGAGTGTTTTGAGGGAAACCCGTTTTCGAAACCTACTGTAGTAAGTTAACTGATAAATATAAAGGCCCTATACCAGCCAGTTCCAAGCTTACAGATATGGCTTCGGAACATCAATAGGCTGGCTACCTTACATAGTCACTTATTCTTCCGATCTATACACCCCTGACAGCTAAAATTAGTCTCATACTAGCATACAAAATGTACACTAATAGTCTAGTCCAACCAGCAAGTCCTGCCCGAGCTTGCGGCTGTGACGACCTATCTAACAGAAGTAGTTCCCCAATATCCTAAATACTTGTCCTAATGGTACGACCCCTAATTTTACTCCTGCTCTTGAGCTTCATAGCTGGCATACCACTATCAAATCTAATGCCATGATAAGCTCCTTTATAGCCATCACTTTCAGGAACGAGAATTAAAAAAAAAAAAAAAAAAAATTAGAAGTTGATGTGAAACTATTCCAAGCTTATAATAGATTTGGTAGCGGTTTCGAATTGGTAGGTTTAGGGATTGACTGGAGTAGAGTTGTGGTGGGTTGCTGAAGGACAGAGGCATACAGTAATCTAATGAGTTCATTTTTCATAGCCGTTTACAGACGGTAAATATCTTGACAAACTACTGATTAACTAGGATAGGACTACGAGGTCCATAAAATTCTAGACCATATAACAGGAAATCACGAACGCTATCAACGCATACAGTCTTTTTTGCTTCGCAAATATTGATACTAGTCACATTTTGTTGTTAGGTTAGAAGCTCATAAGGACTTGCCATTAGATTTGTCTAGATCATCACGATCTGGGTCGTGATGACACGTACCAAGCATTCAACGTCTCTTTACCTCTGTTGTGGATGTGCAAATAAAACCTGCAAGTAGCGCACACATTCAAATATTCTACTGAGGTCATCGCAAATGCTCTGGTCTAGGCTCTGCCCTGTCCGGGGGATCGCCGTTTGCGTAAAAAAAAAGCGGGATCGGAAGAATCCGTACGGATGGATAAAAAACTTTAAACGTTATTTTATTGCTTGAATAGATATCGCACAGGCTATGCTTTCTTGAATGGTAGATAATTCTAATGCCTAGATACTAATGGCCAAAGCTTATTTTCATTTGCGTGACTTGGTCCGCCGTGCCAGATATAACCAGGGTTCCTGATAAACATAAAAGTATTGGCAGCACACGATCATGGTACGAGGTGTTATTGATGCAGCGTCCATAGCTACACTCCTGTTTTCTATAGAATTATAATGTTACATGATGTTATGCAACCCGGTGTTACCCGAATGCCACCAGGCGGCATTAAGCTCCGGCCAGTCAGAATATCGATAGCACAGGCGATGACAATGGGCAATGCCAGCTGAAAATAGTTTTCGACAAATGGGAATAAATTGATATATATGCGCCTACTTCTACATTCTGTTCCAAGAACGGTCATCACATCATTGCAGCAGGCGCAAGTCAAATGGGATGACCAGAAGCAGACACTTTCTATCAGTCAAAAGAAAAGTAGCAGATCCCAAGAATACCGGAATAGACCTACCTAGAACATCCAACTAGCGTAAAATGCTTATTAACTATGTGTCTATTCCCGTTCATTCAAGTGATAGCGTGGGAAGCATTATTGAAGATGCATTGTTCGTCAACTCCCAAATAACCATTGCATTCCAGTGCTTTTATCCAAAAATACAAAAAGAGGATATTGCTACCTACTATCGTATATTGACCCTCGTTTACTTCTAATTAACATGGGCTATTACACGGTAATTAGCATATCCTAGCCCAGATGCAGCGTCACGATCCCACACAAACTCATCCTGATTTGTCATCGCAAGATCAAAGCGGTAAACCACTAAGGCAGTTGTGAGTCTCAGAGTCTGCAGAGCCAGTTCCTTCCCAATGCACATCCGTGGTCCCAAGCCGAACGGTTTGAATGCTTCATGCGCATCATTCGCGTAGAGACCCCCCTCATCTCGCTGGAACCACCTCTCCGGGCGGTACTCATTAGCGGCATGCCAATACTTGACATTCCTCTGCATTGAGTATAGGTCTGTATAAACCTCCGTTCCAGCCGGGACATAGAACCCTTCCATTTCCACACCAGGACATCGGCGACACGCAACCTTTCCAGCAAATGGGGGCGCAAGACGAAGCGACTCGTTTACACAGCCATTGAGATAGTCCAGTGATATTAACTTGGCAACTGTAATCTCCTCTATGTTTTTGAAATGACTGTGAAGTTCCCTTCGAAGCTCTTGCAAAGTCTCTGGGTTTGCTAGAAGATGGTAAAAGATAGCGGAAAGGGATGTCTCGGTTGTTTTGTACCCAGCAACTCTGATATATGGTTAGCTTGTTACCGTGCCCAAAATGTCGGAATTATCGTCAGGCGTATTACACTTACACCAAAAGAGTGGCGTTGCTATGTAGCTCATCGTAGCTCAACTGTAGGTCTGACTTGCCAGACCCATTCTCGCCCATGATCAAAGTAAGAAAGTCAGATCGGCCATCTTGTCGATCAATATATCTAGCAGATGAGAGATGGTTAGCTGATAAGAGAAAATGCGAAATGTCCGATTAGAGGGAAATAGTAGTGTTATATGGATGCGGAAGGCGATGGCCTTACTTTCTCATTGCTGTACTAGGCAAGACACTTCGAAGTGTAACCGGGGGCATTAGACGACAAGCCAGCTTCATAACTTCCTCGACATTAGGAATAATATGATTCAGGCCTTCCAGGAAGGGAAAGGTTCTTTCCCACAACTCTACCAGGGAGGATAGTCTTCCTATTTTCATAAATTCTTATTAGTTCGGTATCAGACCGTATCAATTCAATCAAGGACTTACCACGCTTTTCGGGAACTAGAAGCTCTCCAAATGATAAATCACCTATCAAGTCCCAAGCGAGCATACCAGAAAATTCAGTCAAATCCACGGGCCCGTTCACCTTGGCGATCTTCTCTAAAGCCTGGTCCATATGAAGGCGCATCAGGCCTTCCTGCTTAAAGACAGCATTCAAAGTGAAGGCAGGGTGGAGGTGCTTCCTTAATCTCTTGTGCTCGGAATAATCCGCAATTGTACCGAGATTGGCCGCTTTGGTTATCATGGAGAACAGCAGGTGCATCGTGCCGTCTTTGGGAAAATAGGCATCAGGACCTATACGAGCTGGTTTGGAATTGTAAATCATTCTCTGAGTCTCAATGGACGTGAACGACACCTGATTAGGGCCGACTCTAACGATGGGACCTACAGTTCCCGCCAACCTATAAGTAATAGTTAAGATATGATTGAGGGAAGGTTCTGCTGACCATAACGCGTATGTAGTCCTTGTAGGTCTGAATTCCATTTCCGGCGGAAAAATGAGCCCATCGACCAGAACTGGAGAATCGATTATTAACGGTGGCGCAGGGACGGCAAATCGCACACAAATCTCACAGGAAAGACCGCTCCAGTCCAAGGCCCAGGAACTTTGGCCAGTGGGTGGAACACGCAATAGTAGATCACCGTCCAAGTCAAGATTGCGGCGGTCTAAAGGAAAAGAAAAGTTAGTTCGAACTAAGAACTACCAACCAGAACCCGAGGGGGCACTTACGAGTGTTGCAAATCCAATGCCAAGATAGGCGGGATCAAAGCTCAACATAGCAGGTAGAGTGTAAGGAAGCCAACGGTGAGGATTTTGGAGCAAGCACTATGTATACAGGCAAGCCTGTAATGTCTTCAAGCTGGAAGGGGATCTTGAAACCATAATGGAAGTTCAGCTTAGTGACGGAATTGAAGCACGTTCTTGCTTGCTGGGTGATGTACTTATGAAGTATTCACTGCCTCTGGCCAATGGAAGTACTCGAGAAAAGCTATTTTCTTTTTGAAATTAATTATGCCGTGGCCGTTGTTGCGGAAGCAAGGGACTTAAGCCGGTTTGTTATAATTTGCAGCCTCCGAAGGTGTTAGGGTCATGCTCAGAATATCCTAGGTCAGCCATCATAGATTCCTATGGCATGACGACAGCTCCAATGATGCAATATTACGTCGTAGCCTAGAAATAGGCTGAAGCAAAGAGTATAATTGCAGGTGTCATAATATCCTATGACGCGTTCGATGATGGCCCTCCTCGGCTGGACTTTTAGGGTATATAAAGGGTTGCTGTGTGTTCCTTTAAATTATTGCACGCAGTGAAATTCTTGGCTGTAAAGAATTATAACCTTCCTAACCCATTGGGGCCCTGAAATCGTTTTCTAATGTCTACAGCGGTCATGGAGGACATCTGGAGATATTCTCAGCCGATAGACCCGGAGGCAGTCAAGAAGACGCCATCTTTCACGACCTTGCCTGTCCGCGTCAATAAGCGAGAGGATGTGGCAAATGATGCAACCAACAGATCTCTCCGGGAATGGGATGAGGCTCTTCATGATGGTCTGGCCGACAGAGTATTAGTTTCTTTCAGTGACCTCGGAAATCTGGGAGCATTTGCTTACCCAGAAGCGTCTGCGGACAGACTGCTCATTTTAACCTATCTTACCGATTTAGGGATGCTTCACGACGGTAGATAGCCCCTTTGAATGACTAACTGGTAATAATTTTAAGTTAACTAATTTCGTTCGTATAGATGGCTACGAAGCTATGGACATGGATTCCGCAAGGATAGAACACCGTGAACTCGGACTTCTGTTCGACCCAAACAAACAGTATCAGCCAACTTCTGGCACCCGAGCTCCCAAAATAAAGAAGCTCGTGTCAAAGATATTGCTAGAGGCCATTGATATTGATCACGACATGGGAATGTACATGTTTGATATGTACAACAAAGGGTGGCTGGCTGTTGCTGGAAATGCCAAAACCTGGCAGTTTGATTCCATTGAGGATTATCAAGCATACAGGAGAAACGACTTTGGAGCTACGTATGCAGTTATGAACACTTTGGGTTGCAACATTGAGCTAATAATTTTCAGGGCTTTCTGGGCAATGACGGAGTTTGCAGTCGGCGTGCGGCTATCAGACGACGACAGGAAGCTCATCCAACCCGTCATGGAGCCAATCGAAAAAGCAGTTGTTTGGACCAATGACTACTGGAGCTTTGATCGCGAGAATTACGAGGCAGCAGTCAACGGAAGTCGACTAGTCAATGTGGTGGAGGTAATTCGTCGCGTTGGGAATTTATCCGTTGACGAGGCGAAAGCCGAGGCTCGTCGGTTATTAGTCGATACCGAAAAGGAATACACCGACAGGAAGGACGTGCTTTATGCCCAAAACCCGTCGATTTCCCCAAGCCTGAAGAGGTGGGTGGAGTTGGTAGGCGCTATCGTCGGCGGGACACATTATTGGGCCAGCAGCGCCCCCCGGCACCGAGCCTGGCACAATAAAGATATGGCCAAATCTGCCGATGGCCCAGTGGTCGATACTCGACCATTTCCAAGCCATTCGGAAGGGCAGCATGCTCTTAATGAGGATTTGAACGATCTTAACTCGAACAGTGGTAGTCCCAGCAGCCAGCAACCATCCCAAATCAAACCATCTGATTGCGGAAGCCCCAACAACCAGCCAGGAAGTGTGTCGGTGTCGTCAACAGCTGGGACAGTTCGAAAGGTAGAAGAGAATGGCGCGCCGCTTCAATCTGACGGATCGCACAAGGTACGAAAGGTAGAAGAGAATGGCGCGCCGCTTCAATGTGACGGATCGCACAAGGTACGATCTACCACTTTGTTTTCTCAAACCAGCCCGTTCAACCTAACTATATGTATAGCTCCCGGAACTCAAATGGTCTAAACCGGCCAATACAGCTCTCCAGGCGCCCATTGACTACATCTGTGGCATGCCGTCCAAAGGAGTGCGATCCACATTAATTGACGCCTTCAACTACTGGTTGAAGGTGGATGAAACAACATTGGAAAATGTCAAGGAGCTAGTTGGCTTTCTTCATAACGCATCTCTGATATTGGATGATATCGAGGATTGCTCCCCTAAGCGACGGGGTATGCCAGCCACACACGTTCTCTTCGGCCAATCCCAAGTGATCAACAGTGCCAACTACATGTTTGTTCGAGCAGTACAAGCCGCACGCCAGTTCCACAACCCGAAAGCTGTGGAAATCCTGCTGGAAGAGTTAGAAAACCTCTATCTCGGTCAGAGCTGGGATTTGCACTGGAAGTACAATCTCACCTGTCCCTCCCCCGACGAATATATGAATATGATTGACAACAAAACGGGTGGAATGTTCCGTCTTCTGCTCCGACTCATCCAAGACGAAACGAGTCAGGACCTACTTCCCGTATTCGACCGGCTAATCACCGCGTTTGGACGGTTTTTCCAAATCCGCGATGATTATATGAATCTCTGTGATATTTCATATGCTAAGCAGAAAGGGGAATGTGAAGACCTCGACGAAGGCAAATTCTCGTACCCGATTGTCTATTGTGCTGCAACCCATCCCGACTTCAAATCCCTGATCAACGGTCTTTTCCGGCAACGGCCCGCATCAAGCACCATTGGCGTGCAACCGCTACCTTCAGAGATCAAGCAATATGTTGTCGAGTTCCTCCAGTCAAGCAGTACATTCCAACATTGTCGAGAGCATCTAATTGATTTGGAACGATTGATCTTGGAGGAGATTAGCAAGATTGAAAACACAACACAGGAAACGAACCCTGTTTTACGGCTGTTGGTGCAGAAGCTTAGTCTGCAAGAGCATTAAAAGTCAGAATCAAAGTGTATCTCTAAAGAATGTCCCAATGAGATTTAAGGCTCGTTACTGTTATTGAATCTGTGTGTTTTCATACAATATGTACATAGCATAGTATCTAAGCCGACAATCTTCAAACAATTTAATAATAACTTTTGAGCATCATCAAGAGTGAAAGCATTCCATATTTGAGATTTAATTACCGATGCTGAAGAGTCTGTTATACTCGCAGCAACCGGATCAATTTCTATAACGCTAGTAGAGTTAAGATTGTGAATGATCCATGTTCCAAAAAAAAAAGAAAAAGGCTTTTGTGGGTGATACCATGATATCGCAGTTCACTTGTAAAATTATAACAAATACTGGGCAACATAACATGCAGCTCAAGACTTTCATAGCCATGTGAAATACCATCCCTCCTTTTTCGCAAGCTATCAAATAAAGACTAGTAAACGGTTTGCTCTCAGGGTTAAGAGAGCAATCACGGGGTACCTCACCTTTCTGTAAGTTCAGGCATTGATATGTAGATTGGCTGTTAACTAGCTCGCTGAGGCAGGCTCAGATGGCTCTTGATGCCTCATTCCAAATTCCCGTCCAATGGATGGATAAGCCAGTTGGGCCTAACCCTTGGCTTAATAAACATATGGATCAAGGCGACAGCTGACATTGTCGTAATGCAATCCCCCGCAAAGGTCATAATGGAGGCTGTGGTTTTTACATTCGTATTCAGAAAAGGCTGATAAGAACCCCCTTGAAGAAGAATGAAGATAAGAGGCAGCGCTCGAAGGGTTTCTGGTATGATATGCATCATCGAGAGGCCTTGATACAGACATGAGGGCTCTGGACAGGAGGGAGGCCGGGCATTTTCTAGATTTGGGTAAGAGCTGGGACAACTGTGCCGCCGGTTCTTACCCAACTACTATTGGACAAACTACGGTCAGTGTCATACAGTATGATTCATTGACGTTCCAGGTCTATAATCAAGCAAGGTGCGAACATGTTTTGATGTTTTGAGAAGAGGTCCACGATCCTTCCTTGGTCTCAATAGAGTATACTGGTCAGCGTTATGCTATTTGTCGCCCACCATGGCTCGCATTGGCTGAAAGCAATGATGTTTCCGTCGAACGATGTGAAGGCTGCGTAGCCAAAGACCTCAATTGTCTCCAAGACCTAGCCCTTGGTGGATGGTAACATTATACTTTTGGACAAAACGCGGATTGCTCGGGCACTACCAACCCTATTCCTGGCCGCATGCAGGTATGTGGATTCGGTATGGTTTTATTGACTCCTGGAAAGTGGAGGATATCTTGGTCTGGTAGATACCTCTGGCATGCTCGGTCTGAAATGTTAGTATTCCAACTTCGTATAGGCATACCAAATTTGGGACCTTAGTCGGGAAGGTAACAGTGAAGTTGAAACCTAGACTAATTATTGGTAACGTATTTCACCGAGTGCAGCCCATCCACTATGTCAATTCGCTCTCAATTCGCTAGAAGTTCAATACAAGTATGATAATATCAGCCAGTCTTTTTAAAAATCAAGAAATCTCTTCAATTCAAGAAGTGGTGCGCCGTTTTAATGTGCGATATTTCGCGCCAAATTATGTGTAAAATGACCGAACTGAAAAACGAATCTATTCAACAACGGGTACTCTCTATAGATTCGCGTGGAGTAGCCCCCAGCCTTATTCAGTACGAGAAATGGCAGATATTCTTCTTCAACAGCGTAGAACTACACCAGCTCTTTCTGTCGACGAAAATTGGGTTACAAAGTTCATGAAACGACACCGTCTCTTCTCATCTTGTCCCGATTCTTGAGCTTCACTTTATTACATTACCCTTAACCGCTATTTTGGAAGTCTGGGAAAAATACGGAGTAATCATCCATTAGTTCCCATAGGGGGGTTTAGACGTGCTCAGTTCTACTCAGTGAGCAAAAAGCGGCAGGGTCTGAGCACTAAAACGGAAAGGGAACGCCAAGAAGCGGCAGAGGAAATCAAATACATAAAACATAAACTTCTCGAATTATGAATATGATGCGGAGTAAGTCAAGTCTGTCCTAGTGGCAGCCAGTAGACGATTAACATAATGCTCATTTTTGGGTCCTTTGGGAGACTATTTTGGGAACACGATTCATCGGCACAGCGATACGACATTGCAGGGTTCATGACAGGACCTCGGGAGGAATCAAAATTAAAATCGGTCACTACTATCTTTGGATATGAGATACGATCTTTTTCCTCTCTGATAAAGGCTAAGCCTTGGTGCCCAGGAAAAACGGTATATTGACCGTCGATCTGCGAATTAACAGGAATATCTGATAGGACGTATGTAACCCGAAAGACAATAGTGACCTACAAAAGTTGTCAATATGTCGCCCAGACCATGCTACCAGATATAACGTCAAAACACAGTTTGAAAGGTATGATGCGCACAAAGTTATTACCGAAACAATATATTTGATTATCGCTCTCAAGGGCCGGCACTATTCAAGTCTGCTGCAAGTCCAAAAGTTTACCTACCCCGGTATTCAACTCTCTGTATTTCTGTATCGGCTCTCCTGACTATATATAACTAAACTGTAAGGAGCGCGTATACAGAAATACAAAGAGTTCCATATGCTGAGTTCATATCATACATTTCATCCAGTCAGACTTCTGTCAATTTTCTCCGGGAGCCGGGATCTGCTGGCAGAAAGCTGATCGGACCAGATCGTTAGCTAGACATAATATAAGACCATACAAGATGACGGCTGGGTTTTCTCGACCATTGCCGATAACCCGCGGATACTCGCATGAAATATTTCGCCGAGTTGAGATCAACACGACCAATTTCTATTTTACTCACCTTTTTCCTTTTAACGAGAAAAGGGCAACTTTCATGGTGTCCACTTCTTAACGATATCAAAGACACCAATGATAGAGCAAACTGTATGATGTATAATCATCAAATTTCGTTTTAACGTGACTAAAGCGCCCGAAGGGGTAATATAAAGTCCCTTCCTGATCATTATCTACCTCCGCCCTACTTCTTTCTCTCAACGAAGCTATGGCTAAACGTCTATTCGGAATAATTCCTCATATTCTCCACTCACGCAAAATCATCCTACACACAAGACTGATCCTCGCACGCCCTGTTTTGACATTCCAGAAAATGCCTAAGCCTTGTGATTTGTTCGAGTATACGTCTGGACGATGGATTTACAGTGGCATTTCATGAGTATTTGCACCCCAGTACTCCGAAAGGCTCCAGGCCACCTTCCTTTCTGCCTGTTAAAACTTCATTCAACTCCTTAAGTAATAAGCAGTAACTAGAAAGCTCACATACACGCTCATAAATTTATGGTAGAATCTCCAGCTTGCGGTCTATGATATAAGAGAGTACAGGAAAAGCATTAGGTGGAAATACTGGGGTGCAAATACTCATGAAACATGACTGTATGTTGTAGGCCTAGATAAGCCATTCATCTTAAATTACTCCGCTGATATGATAATAGCTATAATGACAATTTAAGACGACGCGAGAGAAGGAGAGTTTTCAATATTTCTGGATTTAAGCGCCTTGCTGCTCTAGCTGTTTAGAAGGAATAACCCGATATAATCGAATTCGAGAAACTTGCTAAGGGAGGCTTTAATCGGACTTTTCTGATCACTATGCGAGATAGCTACCGATTTATTGCACGAATTCTATATCCGGCTACCGAACTAAAATTCCTATTAGTCGCGAGTGAAGTCGTAACGCTCGGTTTTCTACGTACTTATGGTATCCCGGCACCGAAGGTTTTTAGCTACTCTGCCGTTATAGATAATTATGCGGGTACAAAATATATCTTTAAAGAGTATATCTAAGGTAAAAATCTAGGGGATATATGGTATACCTTATCTGAACGGGAAAGAAGAGAATTAGTTATAAAAGTCGTGTAGCTAGAGTCTCGTTTATTCAGCTTACGGTTTCTAGTGAGTGGAAGACTTCGAAGATTAACTCTGTGAAGATCGAGATCGTTCTTACTACCGAAAAGGAGATTACCTATCTTAAGAAGTTCGGACGATCTCTCTAGCCATTCTAGCGTCTTCGCCGAGAGGTATATAACTATCAGTCTTAATCCCACCTCGAACATGCTGTGGCTCTAGAGAAATACCTTTAAATTACACCTTACCTTATATCGCAGGAATTCCCGGCCCTTCTTAAGCCCACCATACAGCACCCCGATCTTTTACCTAATAATATATTTATCTCTGATAACCTAGAGGTCACGGGGTTAATTAGCAGTATAGTACGATTTTGCCATTATTTTTACAGTGTGGTATTCTAGAGAGTCTGCAGAATTATGGCGACGAAATCTCGGAATCACTATAACTCCCGACTTTACCGAATAACTTCGATGAACTCGAAAAAATAGAGTAATTCCAGTAAGCGGAACTCCTACGTAGGCCCTAACTCCACTATTTCTATGTTAAATTATAGTAGAAAGAAATCTTATACATTACGAGGCTTTAACCCTTAATTTTAGTACGTTAAGGCGGCGGCTTTTTAATCACGTAAGTGACCCTTGGGAGGGTAATAATGTGATTTTAACAGTCGATTAGATCAAACTATCTAGGAAGTTAATAGACTTGACTCGTGATATAACGACACTTTATCTAATATCATTTTCGGATAACGAGTTAACGGAATGTCTACGACTAGAACGCGCACAGTCTGGAGCAGACGAATAATTCTAGGCTTGTTAGGAAGCGATTAGGGTTAGTCATAAGGGCTGGGTGCCCCTAGTAAACTACGACGAGGCCAAAAGAAGCGAGAGAGGACTGAAAGTGGATGCACTTGATGCTGCCGAAATGGAGGAGCAGAGAAGACTCTAAGAAAACTGGATTTTCGACGACTTTTACGAGGAAGAATAAATGTGAGGAAGAAGTCTTCATCTCTGTTTATGTAGTCAAAGTCGGTCAGATATGAGGTCGCAAGAATATCAGAGGTCAATGTAGTAAGGAATACAGTTATCACGCACGATGTATAAGCTTCTTAGGCTACGTCAGTACACAGAGAGTAATTGTGGGCCAATCGCCTTGCAGCTACCCCTCTGCAAGTGCCTTTTATAAGGTACAGGGCTAATTTTAGAATTTAATTCTTGCTTGATGGTGACACGGACGAAGGCTGTGAAGTGCGCGCATACACGTAGGTTTTGAAGTTGGCGAGCACGTCATACTAGCTGCTTTTTGAGTCTAGGATGCTTGCCACGTTGCTGATTGTATGACAGCACATATGCACCCGAAAAGCCCTGCCGGGAAGGTCTGATCAGGGCGGATCATGCTATTTGTTAGGGTTCTCTAGTATTTGGGGATGTATATCGCAGACGGATGCTCCAGAAAACCCCAGTCACACCAGGTCGGGTTGTCACCAGGGACCCGACGAGCCGAGTGTAGAACGCCTGGATGATTAATAGGTGACGCAGCCGTACCGGGATGGGTGTCCACATTTGTGGTTAGCAGTCGTTTTGCCACATTGGGATGTTTCAACACCCTTGAACCCAAACTTGTTGTATGCGTAAGCTGTGTAAATACCGAGTCGCCAAAGTACATCGACCTTGCAGGTCAACATATGTTCATACATGTAGGAGAGCCCGCCCTTCGACATCGGACCTCGACGGAGCGTACCTTCTGGCATCTTTGGGTTTCCAAATGCAATAGCCACGGTAGAGAATCGCCCGGAATCCAATCAAATTGGGAGCCTGTCTCAGCTAAGAGGTCGACCAGACACGATGCAAGGTACCAGGGCAGTCGGCATCATTGATTGGCAATACTCCTTGTCCGTCGTGTGCCGAAGGTTCCCTGGTGAACGACACCCATGCTGGCGAGCCTGATCGCTTGTCTCAAGATTCCCCCGACAAGATCATCATCGTCTGCTAGGGAGATCGCTGAGCTTCCATTGCAATCTGCAACACTTAATCCCATTTGGCACAGAGTCCGTCTCTCTCAGTAGTCTTATTATCGGTGTGATAGTAGGTGTATTTCCCCGCGCCATTGAGACGTCTATTCCGATCGTTGATCTCGTTCGGAGTTCTTGGTCAATGGCACCAAGTGCTATTCCGTTTATGTGGTTGTGACACTACGATACTTGAACGGTTGCTGATATTCACTCTGTATAGTCGAGTCATCGGTTGATATAGCCACATCGCAGTATCCAGTGAGCATACACCTTTCGATCGCGGGCTATTGATTCATCTGCGTGAATGAGGCATCTGACTAATCCCATTGTCTGTGACCTGTCAAACAGAAATCCATATTTGACCTACAGCCTTTCCGACGACATGGCGCCTGTCAAAATAATCCATCACACCAGCTCTGCATCCCTGTCGCTCCATTCGATCGCCGAAAGAGGCGGCCACAAGCGCAACTGGGCGAATAGGAATCGCGGGGTCGTGCTTGTCTTCTGCATCGTGTTTCTGGTTGTAGTTGGAATCATGGCACTCTTTGCATACCGACGAATGTTGAAACGGAAAGCCGACAAGGAGTCATATGAGACGACGCGTGATTAGTTCATCATGTGCTCGGCGATCTCGCCACAAAGATCACTATTCAGTCGAGCTTGGAAGCGGGTGACCTCGCTATAGCTTGGAGCTGTATCTTGAATGTTGGCTGGTGTGTGGGCTGCTCGTAGTCTTGGTGTTGTATGTTTGTGTCTGCGTGTTGAGGTTGGCAATTGGTAGTTCACTTGCGAGGGAGTGACTAAATCCCAGGTGCGAAGAGCATAACTACTTAATGTTATGTATCAATAGTAATCAATAATACGAACCTCAGTGTGCCATACAACGCTCTCCGCTATGTTTGTCTTCATTGCCTTTTTCGTCGTGTTTCAAAATGTGGTCGATGAAGGCACTGTTCTGGACCGATGTCTGGTTTGGACCACCTAATGTGATAGCCTACAATTGCTCAATCTGAAAAGCGCAGCTGGTTCTGGTGAAATGAAAGTGTGATCTACTATGGGGAAAGAACGTAGGGGTCCCAAACCCCCTAATTTCCCCGTCTCACATCCCTGAAGAACTGCCGCCCTGAAATAATGTCTAACTATATTGGCCATTGGTTATATAAATTACATGTTTATGCTATCATGTTGTCTTTGTGCCCATCTGATGTCGTGTGGTTGGGGTCAACTTGCCTCCTGATTATTCTGTTGACCGCTCCAAATATTAGATTTTTCTGGTCTATACACGTTGCGTTACTCTGTCCAATTCTATGCACCATCACATGTCTTACCATCAAAGGACAAAAAACATATTGGGACAGCATGGACGAATGTGGGCTTTAGTATTCTCATGGGAATTACTTTGTCCCCGGTAGAACTTGTGGGCAATATCACCCACCCACTTCTCGTTCTCTGCATTTTGCATCAATTCATCTGTCGAGCTGGGTCAGATTTCTGAAACAAATAACATTTCAGTTTTCATTGATACCAAAATCTCTACAAATCCACATTTGCCCTGTTCAACGAGAAGGAAGAGGAATATAGGGCTAGAGTTCGCCTCCGGATACTGGTCCCGAGCGCAATATATATTACAACTGATCTCAAACCATTCACTTAGGAAATATCTACGCAAGATTACATGAGAAACAGCTGTGGATTTATCTGGTTCATGTGTACCTGCACCTTGTACAGAATCACACTTGGGTTTTCATAGTGTCGGACTCTTCTTTTCTCACTTCCTCAGAGACATTCCACATGTATACCAAAGCGTCCGCCTTTTCTAGAGACTTTCTGGAACAACCACCATACATTTGTCCCAGAGTGCCAGATCCCAAAAATTGGAATTATGTGTTCAGAAGCAGGACCCTCGTCTAGTGTTCACCCAACCGATGGCAAGGGCAAGCGAAAACGGCCCGAGTCGCCCTGTCAAGACCTGATGTCTAAGAAGGTTTGTTTTCCAAAATTACTGGTGTTTGAGACCGTGTGAATAACTCAAGATTCCATAGTCCAGAGATATCAAGACCTCCCACAGGCACTCAGCGAGGATCAATTCAATTAAGGTACAACGAGATGCTGCTGTCAGAATACCTCATATTCTCACCAAGAAGTAGGAAAAGGATCATCCCCTAGATCTTTGTGACACACTGCCCAGAGAAATCTCATCTCAATATCCAGAGGCCCCCGTAGAGCCTCAAGGTGCGGTGAGAAAACAGAGAGATTCTCCCCATTTGACAAGGGCTGATTTCGGAGAGTAAAGGCACCATGGCCCGCTGAAGAAAGTGCGGCGAATCGTCCCGATCGCACAATTGATGACCCTGGTAACTTTAGAAAGTTCCTACGTGACTCCCGTGACGAGGCAGAGCTTGCCGTGTATCTTGGACTCCAGCACAAACACGACCTCGGACATTTCGCTTTGTCCTAGCCCGTCCTCAAGACCTGGCCCAGGGCACCACATAAGCAGACAACTTCACTGAAAGTCGAGATCAATCATCTCATCCAGGATGGCAAAGAATTACCCTTACGAGATTTGGCCACAACGCCCCCGGGAGTCGGAGAAGGACGCTTCTTTGAGAATCACACACATCATGGCATGGCACCTAGTCCATATGTCTAAGGATATAGAGGAGTACATCATGTCCCGTGATCCGCATAATTTCCATCGCACAAGGAGATCTCGCGGTGAACTAAGCGCGATGCTGGAGCTCGATATCCCGCTGGACAACGTTTGCCATCCTCGTCCCCAGCTCATATCTTGGAGAAACAAGCCGATTAACAAATTCGATCGCTGCTGAACAATCTTGGGCTATGTCCCATGGATTCCCTATATGAAATCTTGGGAGACAGCCCTGGAATTCTTTGTCTCTTCAAACAAGGCTATCATATACGACAGCAATATGCCGACAGGGACAATACTGAGACCCAATCAAGTTGGGCTAGCTCAGTAATTCTTATCTATAACTTCGGAGGAAAAGACCAATACCCTTGTCCCAATTCAGGTAAAGTTAATCTGGGACAGAAACCGAAACACACATGGAAGTATGAATCTGTGCCGCGTTCTCGCAGGCATCGCACATGATGGGAAAGTGCTTCCTCTAACGGATCAGATGATGACGCAGGATCCTCGATTATGCAGAACAGCTGCATCATTCCCGGACGTCATTCGACATATGATGTCTTGTGGTGGCTAGATTGAACTTGTATGATATCACGTTGTCGTATCAAGCGGAGACAGATAGTCGCTATTATCAAATCGACGCTTTCCGATCTCAGTGGAAGGTACTGCACGGAATATTTTCTGACTCGGCTAACACTAATTTTGTAATTCGGGTGCTTCTGGATGTTCATGATTACCGGAATAGGGAGGTCTATGAAACGACTGAGCTGCCACCAGTCTATCGAATACTACCTTCCAATGCCAACCACACTTCAACGTGTTCGGACTGGCTTTTATCGAGGCATCTTCAACAGAAGTGCTCGGTTGGTTTTCTTTGGCTGTGACTTCCACTGTTATCATTTCTCTCCTTTTCATTGTCGTTTTCTTTCCTCAACTTGACGAGATGGTCCAGATGATGCAACGCACCGTTCAGATTCCCAAGATATAATGAGAGAACCACATGGCTGATTATATTTTCATTGCTACAAATCTTATATATAGTTACACTTCTTGCCTATTAGTTCCAGTAATAGGGATCTTCTAGTAAGGCCAGAAGGGCTTTTCAACCTTCTCATTTCTGTGGTCATAAACGGCAAATCTTAATTGCCGGACTGCCATGATGTTCGGGAACCAAGTTCACCGTCGTTGTACAAATAAAAAAAAAGCCGTCGGAGCTCGGCAAAGAGTGTCGGCAGAGCCAAACGCCCACTTCTACCCCGACCTAAGTAAGAAAAGCCATTCTTAACTCAAATAGTATCCAACCAATGGCTAGAGGATATGGCTTGAACGCACGACTAATTAACTTCTAGCCCAAGGATGTCCTCTATAACCGGCTAGGACTGCAACAGTCCCCTTTCATCGGCAACTGAAGATAATCACCGACGGACGGCATTTGATAGAATCTTGAAAGAAACATTGATACTGTTCGATAATCCACACATTAGTAGATATTCAGAGCACATATACAACAGGGCAAAATCAGTTCACATCAGATACAACCCGATATCTTGTAATCACCACAAAGCTGATCTTGTGGAGAAGGGCGAAACGTGGATATAATTCTTCCAATCACCGATTGCCGCATTTTCATAGCCGTCGCTCCGCCAAAGCCATCCCGTGCATGTCAACGCCAATCATATTTCCACGCGAGCAAGACATCAAGCCATCTACCCTGAGCTTAGGCATTCCTCAATGGATGGAGGAACAGGCGATATTCCCATCCAGCGGGACCCCCGTATTCCCCCGCCATTAATTTCCCCATTTTCTTCCCCAGTCTCCACGCCCGCTGCCCCAGACTGCCTAGCGCGACAGCTCCAAAGGTCTATCAGCGTGGCGAGATCACAAGGAAGTCACTCGACTGCTTGTTATGCTTCCCTCGCCTCTTGGCATTGAGCCGTCTGATCTCCAGGTTAAGTATAAATCCGGATGCCATCCGACCTCAATGCCTCTTTTTCTTTCTTCTCTATCTCTTTCTGTTACGGCAGACTTCTCCTAGGATCAATTCTTCTTCATCTTGATTCTATTGATATATTGACTGGGGTGATCGCCCAGTCTATGCCACGATGGGTTTCGTCAATTTCAAGAACTATCGTGTCTACATCCTGACCTCGGTGGCCTATCTGGGCTCCCTGCTCTTCGGTTAGTGGATTTGGTCATCCCAGTCACAGAATGTTACTGACACATCCTCTCCCTAGGTTATGACACGGGTGTTATGGGCTCAGTTCTGGCCCTTCCAAGTTTCAAAAAAGACTTCGGTCTCCCCGTTGAGTCATCCGGATTCAGCGATGAAAAGAACGCTCATATCTCCTCCAATGTGGTGTCGCTACTAACAGCAGGATGTTTCTTCGGAGCCATCTTTGCTGCTTATCTGAACGATAGACTGGGTCGTAGGTACTCTCTGATGATCTTTGCCGTGATCTTCCTAGTTGGAGCCTCCGTCCAAGTCGCAGCCCACCATGACATTGGGCTGATCTATGGCGGACGTGTCATCGCCGGTTTTGGTATCGGTGGTATGTCCAGTATCACACCTGTGTTCGTCAGTGAGAACTGCCCCCCGGCAACCCGTGGCCGTATTGCCGGTCTCTTCCAGGAATTCCTGGTTATCGGTAGTACCTTCGCCTACTGGCTCAACTATGGTGTTGCACTTCATGTTCCCGAGGGGACAAGCCAGTGGCGTATTCCAGTTGGTATCCAGCTTGTCCCAGGTGGTCTGATGCTCATCGGGTTATTCTTCCTCAAAGAGTCTCCCCGTTGGTTGCTGTCTAAGGGCCGCCGAGACGAGGCACTCAAGTCGCTGGCTTACATTCGTAATGAGTCGGAAACCAGCGAGGCTGTTGTACTTGAGTTTGCTGAAATATCGGCTGCTATCCATGAGGAAGCGCAGGCTACCGAGGGTCTGACCTGGAGGGAATGTCTGAAGCCAAGTAACCGATACCGCTTCTTCCTCGCATTCCTTTTGATGTTCTGGCAGCAGTTCTCCGGAACAAACAGCATCGGATATTATGCTCCTCAGATCTTTGCGAGCGTGAGTACACCGCAGTGTTTAGTGTTTACAATAAAATCTTCCCCCATTTTCGAGCTACTGATAGTCTAACTCTCTCCATGACTACAGGTCGGATTGAGCAAAACAGACTCCTCATTGTTTGCCACTGGTATCTACGGAACAGTCAAGGTGGTTGCAACTGCCATCTTCCTGATCGTCGGTATCGATCGCTGGGGCCGAAAGAAGAGTCTGATTGGTGGTGCCGCTTGGATGGCCAGCATGATGTTCATCATTGGAGCAGTATTGGCTACCAATCCCCCTGTTAAGGACGCCGAATCCGTCTCATCGGCCTCCATCGCCATGGTTGCAATGATTTATCTATATGTCATCGGATACTCGGCATCCTGGGGACCAGTTCCTTGGGTGTATCTCGGTGAGGTGAGTTATTCATTCTAGTATATATCCTTACCCATCTCAGTCGCTAACATTATTTTTTGCAACAGATCTTCCCAACTCGTCTTCGCGCCTACGGTGTCGGTTTCGGTGCCGCCACGCAATGGCTCTTCAACTTCGTCATCACCGAGATCACCCCTCGTGCTATTAATAAGATTGGCTGGAGGACTTTCCTCATGTTTGGCATTTTCTGCTCTGCTATGTGTATCTTCGTCATCATATTCTTCAAAGAGACCAAGGGCCGGACTCTGGAGGAAATGGATCTCATCTTCGGTGCTGTCGATGAGCAACAGAGGCGTGCTGATGTGGAACACACCCTGCAAAAGACTCAAATTGCGCATGAGGAGCGTGCAGAGACCACGGAGACTGGGAAGACTCCAGATACTACTGAGCACAAGGAGTGAACTGGATGAGAGAGTCATACCTCTCCCATAATGAGATATACCTGGGTCCAAGGATGTTACGTTACACACAGAGGAACATAAACAGTCCATATGAGTAATTGGAAGTGATTTCGACGTTGGAATAAAATATAAGCTCGTATACCTACACAACCTCATCCGCAGAGCCCCACAATAAATACCGCGGGGAACTTTGAGATTTCCCCCACGCGTCAATTTCTTTTTCCACACGTTGACACCAACAATCAACATGGGATCTCTCGACGAAACATGCGCTTCTTTGCGCGCCCAGATCACTGCTACAGAAGCACAGCTTGCTGGGCTGAAACGCGACCTTGCAAACGCCGAACAAGCGGCGCAATCGGAGACCGCCACAACTGTGGAAATCCAACACGAGGACCAGAATGGCGAAGGAAGACGATGGCCCCTGCTTCCGGAGGAATATAAGCGATACGGACGGCAGATGATTGTTTCACAAGTTGGTCTGAAAGGTAAGTCATGGCTTCGTTTTGGCAGAAGTTAGGAAATACCCCCTTGAGCAGTGTGACTGATCGCCATTTTCTGAATCCACAGGTCAACTGAAACTCCGATCGGCCAAGGTTCTGCTTGTTGGAGCTGGAGGACTGGGATGTCCAGCTGCGCAGTATCTTGCTGGTGCTGGCGTTGGCACTATTGGGCTCATCGATGGGGATACAGTTGAGGTGTCGAATCTCCATCGCCAAGTGCTACACCGAACGAAGAATGTGGGAAAGTACAAGGTGGACAGTGCAATCGAGTCTTTGAGAGAGTGGGTGCATCCGAGTAGGAGTTTTGAGCTGGGCGCTGACGAGTTCTTATGACATCCGCCAGGCTGAATCCGCATCCCACATATATTGCGCATCGCACACACCTCACGCCAGAGGGGGCAGCCGCCATCTTCCAGGACTACGATCTTGTTCTCGATTGCACCGATAACCCGGCGACCCGTTACCTGATCTCAGACACTGCAGTGCTTCTTGGAAAACCATTGGTCTCTGCGTCCGCCCTGCGCACCGAGGGCCAGTTGATGGTGTTGAACAACCCACCCCGAGCGCCGGGCGACAAGACTGGAGGGCCGTGCTATCGGTGTGTGTTCCCGAAACCACCACCAGCCGATAGCGTGGTCAGCTGTGCAGACGGGGGTATCATTGGGCCGGTTGTTGGGGCGATGGGCGTCTTGCAAGCCCTGGAGGCGATCAAGGTCATTACTGCACCTGAGATTGATGGAAGTTCAGATACGTCTACAGCTCGTCCTCGAGAATCCCCATCTCTGCATATCTTCTCTGCCTACTCGTCGCCCCTAGTTCGCACAATCCGTCTTCGTTCGCGCCGAGCCAATTGTGCTGTGTGCTCTACCGACGCAACTGTCACATTGGATACAATCAAATCAGGGTCAATGGACTATGTGTTCTTTTGTGGAGCTGCAAACCTGCCCTCCCTACTTGGTCCCGAGGAACGCATCTCTTCTCTAGAATACAACCAAAGACACCCAATTGTCCCGTCCGCTTCGTCAGAGCCCCACACGATAATTGACGTCCGAGATGAAGCTCAGTTTGGAATCTGCAGTCTGGAGAATAGCATCAACATTCCTATCTCTAAAATCCTTTCCTCGGGGTATTCTGCTGGGTTACAGGGGAATGATAATGGACAACAAGCTGCACAAGTGCCTTCTTGGTTACCGTCCGAGGTTGCCTCGCCTGAGTCTACGAGCCCAATCTACGTCGTCTGCCGTCTAGGAAATGACTCGCAAATCGTCGTCAAGAAAATGAAAGAGCTAGGACTAGATCAGAATGGGAAGAGATTCATTGGTGACATTCGCGGAGGACTACGATCATGGAAAGAGCAAGTGGATTCCTCGTGGCCCGAATACTAAACGAATCAAGCGGCTAGATTCTTACACGAAATGACTGTCTGAAATATATATCCCTTGCTTCTCCTGTTTTCGTCCACCTGTCAGGCCAGCCCCACGGTCAATGACCTCCTGAGGGAGGACTGCCAAACCATGGCTCTACCTATATCCACCACCAATCAGTGTGAACCCGTCCCTCATCGAGGTTACCGAGTTGCTCGAAAACACCACGGGTGACATCCACATCAAACTCCCCACATCCCTCACATCGGTCCACAAGAGTGACATCTATGCCTCTGTTACCCCGTTGGATGTGGATCAACCGGCCACAAAGTGGGTTATGGTTGGGGTTACCGTCTACATTCGCACGGTCAAAGACAATATGAGACACCGCGCAGACGTGGTCTCCCCCGTTATTAAACCAGCCACATGCTCCCAGCCCGGTGTCATACCAAGTTAGATCACCGCCAAAGGCCTGTCCGGCGGCTGGGCTATGTGTGATCTTCCATTGGCTTGGACTGGTATTGGAAGCAGGGTTAGTATGGGGCTCGATCATCAATGTGGAAACAGGAAGAGGGATGAAAAGGAGGGGCAAGTTCGTGTCTATTTACTTACTTGCCGACATCCTGGGATGTCATGTTTTCGTGGGGATCCATTGGAGCCCCAACAGCAAATCCCACGGAGAGATATGTCATCATGGCAATGGCCTTGCACTCGAAGATTGCGCTGGGAATCATTTTTGGGCTGTCTCCTTGCTTTCCAACAAAGAAGGGTGAGGTTGAGGAAAGATTTTCAAAAGCGCCTGGAATCCGTTCTTTATATCATGTTTCCGGGAAGACTTCTTGTACTCGAACGATGTGAGTATTTATACCCATCGCAATGCCACGGAGTATCAGAACCAAGAGTAAAGAAATGAATCGGAGTATCTGAAATGACCGGAGTGAAAGGAGTGCTTCGATGGATTTGTTGGGCTGTGGCTGTCTGTATGTTGGTATCATATATAGCACGTAGAACCATAGCAGGACCCATTTTGCACATTATTGTTGCTTTAATTACATTCATGTCTTTAATCTTACATCGGAAATATCCCAAGGTGATAGGCTAGATATAGTGCACAGCTTGGGACACTTTTGACCTTACAATGTACGAAAGATCGGAAGGTCGGAGAACGCAACATAACCCTAGAAGGATATCGGCGTATAATCGACATCGTGGGCTGTTTACCCCCCGGCATCGCTTCATATCATTAAGTCGGGACTTCTATGTACTTGTGTAGATTCATCACTTTATCACCCTGGAGCTGGGTTTTTATGTCTTCTCCAAATAATGTCTACGTGGGTACCATATTGGGTAACTAGCTTGCCGGTGGACGCCGCATGGCAGTCTTTGCACGGTCAACAGTACAATGCGTTTTTGTTTTGTCTGGAAAATGAAGGCAAGCCTCGTAGATACTTAGTAGGCTATCTTTACATACCCACGTTGACGGTTTTCGTCCTGATGTACGATCGATGATCACAAACGGGACCATTCATTCGAGACATCACCCGTCTCTTTGTGATTCATGTCGAACTGATACCAGATTTATTTTTTCATGCTCAGACAGTTTAGCACATCTTTCTTTGTGACTTTACTTCTTTGCTCCGTGAGGCTATATACGCTGCATCATAAGAGTTAGTTCTCTCAAGATAACCCAATATGTTCAATAACAACGTCTAGCTATCTATCAGTTACTTTTTCTTTCTTCATCCAAAGTTTAGATGGTTCCACCTGTATTATATACCATGCAGAGGCACTATGGGATGAAATCAAGGATATTTCGTTGTTAGCATTCTGATCCATTGGTGGACCGATCACCGGTTGCTTGGGCCAGAACTATACGCATCCTAGTCCACCAAAGTGTCCATTTGTGACTTCAGTGGACTACCAACCCCACCTCATTTTACTGCGAAAGCTACTGTAACTACACAACAAAGCAAACTCTCGTTAGGGATACCCAAACATTTAGTACCACTCTCGTTGGTTTCGCTGTACGTGTATCGCAGGCTCTACATCCGGTTGTGCCACCCTGAATTGTGTAGTATTACATAGCAGCAGGGCAAAAGAAAGAGGTTTCTTGGCTCAGCGAGTTCTAACATGGCATAGGTTGACAATAAACATGCTGCCGAGGGTGCAATGTGTGGAGATCTTTGATGGAACAATTGGACAACTGTAGACATGGCCTTAGAAGCCTCATCATCTCGTCAAGAAAAACAGCGACTTGATCTCTTAATAAATACTACACCCTCCCGCTACCATGGAATTGCCTTCGTGAAATGAAGCTGATCTCATAGTTGTCTCTCTGATTTCGTTTAATACTTCTTGGACAATCTAATCCACATCCTTATACTGTGCCTCTAGATATCTGGTTATCTACGTAGGGCTCACGGTTCTCACTAATGAAGACCCGAGCCCGAAGTGATGGCGTAAATGATCAATCCACTATCGGATGGCAAATTGATCAACTCGCAGAGTTATAGTCAATACCACCAGCTAGCTCTAGATTCAAAATGCTTGAAGAGTAAATAATTACAGCAATTGTATACAGTCTGTCAGATGAAAGCCAATAAATAGAAGAGACCTCGATTTCTGGCCTGACGAACCAGGAATCAATTGTATATGCCTTCCCCACATGCTGTAGCCAATCACTCGAGGGCGGGGTGTACTGCAAACGGACTTCAACCTGACTTCCCGACTTCTTTGCACTTTTAGATTATTCCAGTTTCTCTAAATTTATCGCATTCTTGCCCTTGCATCATTTGAAGATCACGTGGGCGATGCCGCTAAAACAGCGTTGAAGATCCTGATCTTTTGTGCCTGCGCCAAGACGTAACACTGTGTGACCCCGGCCAATATGGCGCAGGTTCGATCTAATCAGTCGGGTTCATCCTCCGGGTCTTCGACGTCGCAGTACGATGCGCAAGATGATTCGAGCAAGGAGAAAACTTCGTTCTTCGGCTCCGTCAAAAAGTCATGGCAGAAATTGGGCTTGGATAGACCTACCGTCCTCCTGATGATGAAGTGAGTTTGGGTCCAAGCTTCCAGTTTCGTACATTAGGATATCTCTAACAACTACTCTAGGGGCGGACTTCCACCCACCATAGCCATTGCAATGTGAGTAACCTTGAAAGTTCCCGGTCTATCAGAATCGGCCTGACCGTCAGTCCAGCTGCCAAAACAAGGTTGTTGCTCACGAGTTCACGACCTTGGGCTATCTAGTGCCCGTAGTCTCTATCCTAGGCTTCGCAATTATGCCACGCGCAAAGTTTATCCAGATGATGATTTTTGACATTTTGGCTGTCGGCATAGCAGCATGTTTCGCTCTGTTGACAATGTTCTCCAGCGTCAAGGCGCGCGAACACACCGAGACTGATCCAAATGAGAAATACAACGCCTCCGCGTCTTCTGTCAGTGCTTTGTGGCTGTTCTTTCAAATCTGGATGGTTCACACCTTCCGCGCCAGATTCCCGCAGCTGCAATTCCCCGTGATCATTTACGCAATCTTCGCGAATGTTTCTTCGGTATACGCTCCGCAAATGAAGAATATGGCAGCTGCGTATAATATGGTTCAAAAATTGGTTGCAGCATTTTTTACTGGTCTCGCCATTTCAACAGCAACATCGCTATTCATCCTTCCGATGACGTCACGACAGGTCGTCTTCAAGCAAATGGCGGGCTACATTGGCAGCCTTCGCTCAGCCTTGGAGGCCCATGCTAAATATTATCAATCATTGGAAAGAGACGACATGTTCGGCCGCACAGAGACCCATGATGAGGGCCGTGAGAAGTTTGGCAAGAAGGGAAAGGTCTACAGTCCCGAGGCAGAAGCCATTCGCCGTGCGGTCCGAAACATCACAGATATCCACGCCAAACTCCATGGTGATCTCACATTTGCGAAACGTGAGGTCGCATTAGGTAAATTGGGACCCGATGATATTCAGGCGATATTTCGCCATCTTCGGCAGATTATGATCCCGGTTGTGGGGTTGGGCTTCGTGGTGGATATCTTTCAGCGAATGTCAGACTATAACAGATGGAATCGGCCCCTTGATTTAAATGAGCCTGTAGTCCCGGAGGACATTCGACAGCGCGTTGTGCGCGAGTGGAATGATATCATGAAGGCGGTACATGACCCATTCGCCGTGATGATCCAAACTATTGATGAGGCATTGCTACATACGTCCTATGTCTTTAGGCTGGCAAAGCCACCCAAACGAAAAGGGACAGCGAAATCTTCAGCAGCGGAAGGCAACGATGTCGAGGCCACAGCCGAGAACACTGCACCTGGAGAAAAAGCATTCATCGTGCATTATGAAAAGAAACTTGGAGAATTTCGGATCGCAAAACGTCTTGCTTTGCAGACATGGGCTGAGGAGAAGGGTGTAACGCTCCCGCCCGACTTTTTCGATTATCATACTTATCCTGAAATGTTGGACGCTGATTTTTTGGATACTTCGGCTACGGAAAAAGAGCGAAGTCGACGACAACTGTATCTATTCCTCTATGTACGTCTTTGTCTCCCAGCCACTCAGTATGGTTGAAGCTAACACAACCTCAGATGGAGCAATTGCTGCACTCGACCGGTCAAACCGTGCTTGACTTTGTCCGTTATGCCGATCATGTTGAGGCCAAAGGGAAACTACTGAGGACTCGGCTTGTTATCCCTGGCAAGAAGCGATTATGGAAGTGGGCCAAGTCCTTTTTGAGTACTGCGGACAACGATGAGGATAATATGGGTGACATTCATACACAAAGCAACATCCTTCAGCTTGGCGAGGCGTATAAGCTTCGCAAAGACCCCGAGCATCTACCACCAACTACTCTCTTTCAGAAGATGGGAGACAGAATTCGGGTCATCCCATGGTTTCTGCGCTCATTTGAATCGAAGTACGGCTTCCGTGTCGCATGTGCCACCATGACTGTTGCGATAATCGGCTTCCTACACGAGACGCAGGTCTTCTTCACTGCACAAAGATTAGTGTGGGCCATGATCATGATCAATATGAGCATGTCTCCCACCTCAGGACAGAGCATTTTCAGTTTCGTGTTACGGATTTTTGGTTCATTCCTTGCAATGGTGGCATGTTTTCTGATGTGGTATATCCCAGGTCAAAGAACCCCGGGCATTATCGTTTTTCTGTTTATCTTTGTCTCCATTGCCTCTTACATTCCCATCAAGTTATTCCGCTTCCGAGCTGTCGGGATCATCAGCATCGTCACTACAAGCATGGTCATCGGTTATGAGCTCCAAGTTCGCCGAGTAGGCCAGACGATTGCGACCTCCAATGGACAGGTCTATTACCCTATCTACCTCTTGGCGCCTTATCGGTTAGCTGTTGTGTCGGGCGGTATTGCTATCGCATTCATTTGGACGTTCTTCCCATATCCAATCTCGGAGCACTCAGTTCTCCGTCAAAGTCTGGGAGCATCGTTGTATCTTCTGGCAAACTACTACTCGATCATCCACGAAACCATATCCGGCCGCATGCGTGGAGACGAAGGAGAATACCTACTCAAAAGGACCTCTGCGGGTCGTAAACTTGAAAAATCGCGACACCAAGTGTTCTCAAAACAAATGCTTATGCTGGCTGGTTTACGGACATACTCTGGATTCCTTCGGTGGGAGGTTCCGGTTGGCGGTAGGTTCCCCAAGAAGCAGTATGATTCGATTATTCTCTATATAGAAAAGTATGTCATCTCCTCCCGCCTCCTTTCCAGGTACTAACTGTGCTTATCTTTCTAGCATCGTGAACTATCTCAGTTTGCTAGGCTACGCATCTGATACCCTCATGTATCTCGGCGATGGCGACAATGAGTCTGATACCAACTGGATGATCGATTTCCGACGGTTGATCAATACTGCCAAGGTGACGACTCACGAAGTCACGTCTTTACTCTGCCTTCTCTCTGCTAGCATTACGAACCGACAACCTCTGCCGCCATATCTCAAAGCACCCCGTCCGTACAGCTTCACGAGGCGTCTGCAGGCTCTTGACGCCGATATTCTGAGCCTCCGACACATGGCCGAACCAGGATTCGCCGCCTTTGCAGTTTTGCAGATCTCGACCCGCTGCATTGTCGGTGATATGGACAAATTACTCCAGTAGGCCTCTCATACAAACCCTGTTATTCGACCTTGCCAGATTTGCTCACATGACCATTCATCCTAGGCACGTCAAAGACTTGGTCGGCGAATTGGACTTCTCTTTCCACGCTGTAAGCATAGGAGAGTCAATGGCCGAGTCGCGAATGCCTTCTCTGTCGGGATCAAGAGCGGATTTAAGCGAGTTTGCATCATCGAGACCTAGTGATCGGGACAAGAATGATTGATTTGCCGTCTTCTCTTCTTGGTTTATTCACGATAGGCAGCTTCTACATACCTATTTGAGCATAGCTTGTGCATAACATGACGGACATCATTATATCATTGGCTTCATTGGCCCATAGCAAAGTTGTACAAATGATGAATTTCGCCATACCCCGCAATATACCTCTCCGCAATCGGTCAATCTCCATAAAGACCTGCAAGCCTTACTCTCTTCATCCTTCCCTCTCCATTTGCATTTGCTCCGTGTAAACCAGAATGACCGACGTCAAGCTCAACCAGGCTCTTTTCTCCCAATCCGCCGGTAAAACAGTCCTGATAACCGGTGCAGCGCGGGGGATCGGGGCCGCAACCGCAATCCTATTCAACTCCCACGGTGCCAATGTCGTTCTCGCTGACCTCCCTCCTCTACGAGCCAGCGCCGAGGAAGTCATTCAGAGGCAGATGAAATTCCCAAACCGTGCAATATCCGTATCTGCCAATATCGTCAACTGGACAGAACTAACAGCATGCTTCGAAGAGGCGATCACCACCTTCGGAAAGGTCGACATTGTCATAGCTAACGCGGGTATTATGGAGTCCGAGTCTGTCTTAGACATGGACAACGTGGATGAGAACGGACGCCTTCTCGAGAGTGTGGAAGCGGGGAAGGTTATTGATGTTAATCTAAAGGGAACATTGAACAGTGAAGTTTCCCATCATCTTCAATCTTCAATCTCCATTTAAATCCCAATTTCAGCTTCGACGCATACTGACATGTCTATCTGTCTATATAAAACAGCTCTCCGCTTGGGATTACACTATATGAAATCCTCCCCCTCTACCACTACAAACCCCCAACCGACAAAGTCAATCTTACTAGTTGGATCCACATCGAGTTATTTTGGTGGAACAGGTGTAGCCGCCTACATCGCGTCGAAGCATGGCGTGCTGGGTCTCCTGCGGGCGTGTCAGGGTGTTGCCCGCCGACACGGCGTCCGGGTTAATGCTGTCGCGCCATTTTTGACACCCACTTATATCACCGCGGGCTTTGCGCATAAGTGGGATGAGGCGCGTCTTGAGAAGAATACTCCGAATGGAGTTGCCGAGGTTATTGCCGCTGTCGCTTTGGATGAAGAACGCCAGGGAAACTGTGTTATGGTTAGATATACCTATCGCATGTAGTAATGACTCGGTATGATGCTAATTCTCCTTTGATTTGGTCAGGTTGCTGGTAAGTATCTCCGAGAGCTTGAGGAGCCCAGGGCAAGGCTCTTGCCCGTGTGGTTGGGGGAGGATTTTACTGAGTTTATGAGTCAGGCTATGCAGTTCTTTGTTAATATTGGGGGATATGTCTTGCCTAAGAAGTATTAGGGGTAACTTTGCATTTGCTTATTTTCAGCTTCGGGCTTATTATAAATGACATCAAGTTAGCGAATGCTCTATATATCGAGACCACCCTAGGTCTGCCGAAATTGCGGGTACTCTTAGGGCAAAAGAAAGAGATCTACGCAGCATTGGCTACCGAGACTGGGGAAATGCAAAGAGAGAGCAAATTATCTCGGTCCTGGACTAGCAAACGGCTTCACGTGACTAGGATCTCAACAAGTCCGAAGGTAACTCTAGGAGGTTCTGCTTCACCTCTATCCAATTTGACTTGCATGTCGATAGTATGGACTTCCTTCACATATCACTCTTTAACCTAAGGTGAGTAGCCCACATGAGATGGGGGTGGAAGTAGGCACAGTCGGTCGTGAGCATTTCTACACATGACGCCTTCCCATAGTAATGAACAAGACGTTCAAAAGGCCTCACTTCTCTGCGTATCACTATAAAATTACTATTGAAACATTGGGCGCTTTTTAAACCGCTGTATCCACATTGTCAGCTAAAAAGAACTCGTAGTCAACAGCATTTTCTAGTGTTCCCCTAAGATTATATATAGTTTATCCACTTGCTGCATACTTCCATCAAACTTCACATTTATATATAACTTCTACGATACAACTTGAAGTTACCCCCGCAAGATGATGTAGGCTGAGTTCATGCGGCAATACTCCTTACATTATGCATGGAATGCTCGTCATGCCTTCATCACGATACCTAACAAGGGAATGGGTAGGGGGTCTGGAATGCCAACCGTGACAAAGTCCTAGCGCCCTTTATAACCCATCATTCCTAGGGGTCTGGCGCCAATAAACCCGGAGATGGAAGGGCTGAATAAGAATAGGGTAGATCACGGGCCAATTGTAATGTAGTTATTGTCTATCCCTTGTTTTGCGGAATCCGCCTAAACGGGCCCTTAGCAGATTTCCCGATGACCAAGGGAGGGAAGGGTAGCTCCTATCACCTCCAATAGCTGCAGCTATTCTATCCCACGTTTGTTTGGGTAATCCTGTCATGCTAGCTATGAGATTTCCTCCGAGAATCGCTGTGAAGTTTCGATTGATGCCGCAATCGATCTCAGATATTAGTGTCCCGATTCCCGTGAGGAACGAGAACCTAACGGCCAGTATATATATCGAGAAGCCTTTCGACAACCAGAATCAACGCAAATGGGACGCCATTCAATAGCCGAAGAAATTTACGATAATGAGTCTAAAATCAACTTCGGCGTACCGGACAGCGTCCGAAGCATGGACGGTGCGATGCACAACCCAGCACTGGGAAGCTCAATTCAACTATTCGAAAGAGAACCCTCACTCGAAGAACAGCAAAGAAGGTTCGAAGTGCGAGAATGGCTGGTCTTTATCTGTATCATTATCCTGGCGATGATGGATTCGTTTAATGCGACAATTTTGATCCCAGCCTTACCTGTATGTCACATACAACTCCTGAGTATCATTCTATAACAACTGACCAGAAACTCAATCCAGGACCTGGCAAACACATTTGCAAAGCCACTAGCAAGCACATTCTGGGTCAACACGGTATACCTCCTTTTCGGCGCAAGCAGTCAACTCTACTTCGCAATGATGAGCGAAGTCTTCAGCCACGGACCAGTATGGATCATCGCCGTAGTCGTCGCAACAATCGGTACAGGGATCTGCTGTGGCTCCATGAGTCTTGTGGAACTGATAATCGGCCGCATGATCCAGGGTATCGGGGGCGGCGGCGCAATGAGCCTGTGCTTCGTGATAATGACCGAGACGGCGCCTGAATCCATTCACTCGCGGTATTCATGCTATATCCTGCTTACGCGCATGTGTGGTGGCATCCTGGGTCCTATTATCGGAGGCTTGTTTGTTGATAATGCCAACTGGAGGTGGGCGTTTTATTTCAACTTCATTTTCTGCGCGCTTGGTTTGCTGGCTATTCCGTTTGCTGTGGATCTCCGCGCATTGAAACATATTCCGCTGCGCAAACTGCGCATTTTGGATTGGTCGGGTGCTACTTTGGCTTTTTTGGGTCTTGGGACTATCCTGGCTGGTCTTTCTTGGGGTGGGAGTTCGTATCGCTGGAGAGACTGGCAGACGATCGTGCCTCTTGTGGTGGGTGCTGTCATTCTTCTTGCACTTCTCTTTTGGGAGTCCAAGTGGGCGCTGCATCCGCAGTTTGGAAGGAGGGTATTTCGGTCGAGGGTGATGGCTATGACACATCTAGGGTGCTTTTTGCATGGCTTTGTGGTTAGTAGACTTTTCCTTTCTATTTGGTTTATGTTGACTGACATACCAGTCTAGGTCTTTGCTCATTTGCAATTCTTCCCTTTGTACTTCATGTCCACTCATTATATGTCTGCCACCTTGTCAGGTCTCACTCTGCTAGCCATGGTTGGAATTGCGATCGCGCCGGCCACCGTGGTTGGTATCATTCTCGCGAAAGAGCTAAGATGTACACAGTGGATCATCTCTAGTGGTTGGATCCTGACTTCCCTTGCCAGTGGATGCTCTATCCTTTTGGATAGCTCCACGCCGACCGTGGCGTGGGTATTTTTGTTGTTTACAGCAGGCCTTGGGCATGGTCTGTTGCTTGCGAGTTACAATGTTCGCATCCAGAATCTGCCCAGAGACGAGGATTGCTCCCTGTCGACTCTGCCAACAACCATGTCATATTACATGCGAGCTTGGGGTATGGCAGTGGCGGTCCCTGTTGGGGGAGTTGTGTTGTTGAACTTCTTCGGCAATGGATTTGCAAGTGTTGACCTGGATCGAGCCATAGTAAACTCTGCCAACGGATATCTCATTCTGATGAAGGATGTGAGTATGACAAGTGAACAGAGACAGGCGGTTACAATTGTTTCGGTCGGGGCATTTCAAGCGGTATGGGATCTCATCACGGGCGTGGCTATTCTTGGGGGTATTTCCTCTGGTTTCCTGTGGCGAAAGAAAATCATGTGAATAGTAAACGTGTCAGAGTTGAAGAACATTGGATTTACCACATTTGTCGCATCCCGGATGTCTCAAAGTAACACGGTCAGTTAGCCTGATAGAGTATAAGAAGGTTATTGTCAATGCAAAGGTAAGAAGCCAATAGATCTATTGAGCTTTGGTAAGAATATGTAGGATTTCAGGCTAAAGGCTAATTTGACCGGAATGAAACACGGCACCTCGGCTAAGGTAATCAGGCGGCTGGCATGGCTTGTCCGGTGATGTTCGCGAGTCTTTCTAGCTGACTCTCACTCGATCGGTTTCCCCTCAGCCTCTCCGGAAGAACGAACTCTCGCCTCCCCTTAATTTCCCAGCCAGACAACCTGTCTTTGCCAAGCATCTCTAGTGTCTTCTTCTCGACGAGGCTGTATTTGGAGGGATCATCCCGGTCAAACTTGAACGGCTGTTTCAAGGACACTGGTGGGTTGGTGATAACTCGTGGATGTCTCGAGCTGTTGACAGAAATCGAGTGACACATCAAAGGATGGAGAAGAACCACATCGCCCACTTTACCAGTCATCTGGTGGAATTCGCTGCAATTCTTCACAATATCAGAGAAAAAGGGCGTTCTCGTGGGGCTTCCAATAGGCTGTTGGCCACGGGGATACATATGTGGTGTCACGCCCTCGGGATGATTGTACTAGAGAACCGAGTTAGAAAGACAAAAAAGTGGAACAGAAGCCGTGGTCACAGACCAGATGCTGGGCAACATAATTCATTGCCTCCGGGCAGATCATAGTGCCACCGGCACGATCCTGGATATCGGTAAACAGTGGTATAACGAGCAGGCCCTGTTCGGGCGAATCAAGAAAATGGGTAAAGAAGTCGCCATCCACATGCCATCCCGGCAGATCAGCAGGATGGGGCCAAGTACCCTCGCTCTCGGGGGAGCCGAGATTTACGATCAATGCGTCGCTCCAAGTGGCCGATTCCGGTGCCACACGGTCTTCGCCCCCGAGAAGCTCACAGATGGCTGCCCATGCCTTAGGGGCGAAGGTCCTGACCGGCTCTTCCTTGGTGTCTCCCATGTGGGTAATTTCGGTAGTCCATGTTGACTTATCCGTTGGCGACATATTGAGTCTAGTCCACACATCCCCTGCCCACTCGTTTGCTTTCTCCCGGGAGAAACACTCCGGTAGACGCACGTACCCATATCTCATGAAATGATCAATTTGCTCTTGTGAGAGCTTGTAGTTTGGGTTAGCTGCCATTGTGTCCGAGTCTTCTAAAGGAGAGCTGCAGTATGAGCACATATCTAAAAAATGCATGTGGATACATAGCTCGTGCAAGAGTAGCAGTTACTTACTTGGGGAAGGCGGCTTGTGTTTTTGTGCAACTGCCGTCCCTTATTCTGCCGATAATTTGAATCTGACCAATGAGAAGCTGTTCCTCTCTCCTTAACTCGAGGCGGTCACTACACGACCTGAAGGAAGCGATGAATTCGGATATAAACACCCCTGTTTGATAATTGGATATATTTCCTCAAAAGAAGGCGTTTGCTTGGAGCTGAACAAGATTTGGTGCCAATAATTGCCTAATAAATGGCGTTACCGATATTGGTCTTCCGGCTAAAGAGTCAAGCTCAACCTGCCCTAGTGCCATTGCCCCGCAAATGAAGAATGCTCCCCAACTTTCCCCCAACTTCGCTGCGCGTCTTGGCATCACCACTCATACCACCTCATTTCCCGGCAGGTGGCGTCCAGGCTAATATGGTCACTCAATCCGGCACGGAGGGAGATTTGGACCCTGATCGTGCTTGACATACAGGAACCCCCCTAACACGAAACATTCAAAACCTTGATCACAAACAAACTCAAGCTAACACCTCAATGAACACGGAGGAATGTCAATCATGTGCGTTTTCCCTTCTCCAGGTTTATCAATTTGTGGGCCTCGGGCCGCCCAATCCACACGCTTGTGGGGAAAAATGGAATTCGTCTATCCAAAGTCGGGGTCCTAAAGAACACGCGGTGCTCAAGTAGGCGAGGGTAATTTTGAACCACGCGACTCGGCTGTTATGGCCCAGTCTGTAGCACTAATCACCAATGCACGCAGAGTGTGGAGCCTGCGGGATTAGCCTGGGCCTGATACCTAAAACCCGGGGATGAAACTTTTTTGCTCTGCTGGCAACCCCTATAGGACATGGTCAGTCTAACAGACCACCAATCTGGTTAGTTCGTGCATGAATAGGTATCTACTAGTCCCGGCACTGCATGAAGCCCGTCCAGGCGTTTTGGAAAACAATTTCTTTATTTTATTTTTTCCGTGTTTCAATCCAAAACCGTGAACTGTCGACTCATGTAGCTCGGCCAAGACATCAATTCCCACATTAGCCGGTTAATATGGAAGTTGAAATATCCTGAGATGGCAAATCTGAATTGTTTAAAACCACCGAGGAGCCCCCTATCTCCGCATTCCTCTGCTTTGTGTCGCAAACTCGGTGGACATCTCCACTTTGTACCTATATACTTCATACACTTTGTCTAAGCAGACTCTACAGACAACATGGGTATCGCTGTCGGAGCGTCGACTCTGAAGTCGGATTTGGACGCAACTCAGGCTGCAAGGCCTGAGTTGGAGAAGGTCAACTGGTGGCAAGAGCCTGGTCTGCGCAGGCTCTACTTCTGGGCTGCTGTGCTTTGTGTTGCTTCTGCTACTACTGGATACGATGGGTAAGCCTCAAAGCTTGTCGTTGAATATGTTTAGAACTGACACCTTGTGTAGAATGATGCTTAACACCTCCCAAAATTTGGATGCGTGGCAGGTGTACTTTGAGCATCCCAGTGGCGCCCAGCTGGGATTGATGAATGCAATTTACCAAATTGGTAGTCTTGCCAGTTTCCCTTTCGTGTAAGTTGTCCTGCACTAAATACAGCGGAAGCTCGCTGACTTGGATAGTCCCTTCATCGCTGATCGATGGGGTCGCAAGGTTCCCATCATGATTGGATGTGTCTTGATGATTGTCGGTGGCTTGCTCGGTGCATTCTGTACCAACTATGGAAGTAAGTTTGACTATTTCATACAATCGCGTTCTTACTTTTGCTAATTCTCTCTAGTGTATGTCGCCGGTCGTTTGCTGCTCGGATTCGGCAACAGTCTGGCGCAAATGGCATCCCCAGTCCTACTCACTGAAATCTGCCACCCTCAACACCGCGGAAAGGTTACTTCTATTTACAATTGCTTGTGGAATTTGGGCGCACTCCGTATGTATCCTTTCGATCAGTCTCCGGATGTTGTACTGACTGAATTTAGTTGTCGCATGGCTTGCATGGGGAACGATGTATATCCCCAACGATTGGTCATGGCGCAGTTTGACCATCCTCCAAATTCTCCCCGCTGTAATTCAGATCGTCTTCATTTACTGTAAGTTCCCATTTCCTTCTACTGGATCGTATCCACATTGACCATTGTTAGGGGTCCCCGAATCTCCCCGTTGGCTCGTCTCTAAGGAACGGTATGAGGACGCATTGGACATCCTCGCCTACTATCACGGAAATGGAGACAAGAACAACGCCACCGTTCAATTCGAGTACCGTGAGATTAAGGAAACTATCAGCTTGGAGATGCGCTTCCAGAAGAACAGCAGCTACTTGGACTTCTGCAAGACCAAGGGTAACCGTTACCGTTTGGCACTTCTGATTTCCCTGGGAATCATTTCCCAGTACAGTGGCAATGCCTTGTTCAGTAACTACACCAATTTGATCTACAACAGCATGGGTATCACCGAACAAACCAAGAAGATTCCCGTTCGTTTCCCCTTGCGATCTATCCCATGGCCCCTCACTGACATTTCATAGCTGAATGGCGGACAAACCCTACTCAGCCTGGTTGTCAGTGTTTCCAGTGCATTCTTTGTTGACCGAGTTGGACGCCGACCTCTTTTCCTACTTTCCACAGTCGGTACGTGCCAACATCATCCGCGATAAATTTACCGAGTTACTGACTTTCTCCTCTCAGGAATGGTTCTCATGTTCCTCGCGTGGACTGTCGTTTCCTCCGTCTTCGAAAAGACTGGGGATGTCGCAAAGACCGGCTACCCACAAGTCGTCTTTGTCTGGCTCTTCTCTGTGTTCTACGCCATTGCCTGGTCGGGTCTGCTCGTCGCCTACTCGCTCGAGATTCTGCCCTACCGCCTGCGCGCCAAGGGTGTTATGATTATGAACTTGACGGTGCAGGCATCTCTGGTTCTTGGAAAGTAAGTTGCCTTCTATATTCATTCCTGCTCATTGGACCAAACTGACCATCCTAGTTACACCAATCCAATTGCGTGGGAGAACCTTCCTCACCACTGGAACTTGTCGATGATCTACACGATTTGGATCTTCGTCGAGCTCTGCTTCGTCTACTTCTTCTACGTTGAGACCCGTGGTCCCACTCTTGAGGAACTGGCTAAGATCTTCGACGGTGAAGATGCTGATGTGGCTCATGTTGATCTCCAGCAGGTCGAGAAGGAGATTGCAATCACCGAGAAGGAGTCACCTGAGTATAGGGAACGTGCTTGATTGTTTGTCTGAATGTTCGTCGTTGTGAAAAGATATCCATTTGTCACTTATACTTGCTTGTTACTCAACTTGAATTAATTTGTTGATAATTTACTCGATTCTATGCTATAATATGATCTGGCATAGATATTAAAGATGTTTCGTGTCTCGCATCGGTTGGTCAAGCGGTCCACTGCTGATTGCCCAGAGATTCCGGTGTTCCTCGAGTCTCGACTTTTATGGGGAAACTGCCAATAGTTCGTTTGTGCCGTCGCCCTGGCACAATCTTGCAAAAAGCTGCCAACTGGTTGTAAGCGATTCAAAATCCCTCCTAGTCCACACACATTATATTTCTCCTTTCAGCCTGTTCTGTAGACCTACATGTTAGTATATATTCGTACATATTAGTACATTTCAATGATCACCATATCGGTTCATACCTGAAATGCATTGGATGCGCTTGTGGCATAGGAGTCGTTCTCAATCTTTTCATAATAGCTGAGCCGGTAATCGCAACAAGCCGGTTTATCTCGAGCTATGAACCCTAGAGACAGCATTAGTCCTCATATGTAGAGCGTAGATAGCTCTATATCTAAACCTTCACTTTAGCAGAAAGAGAACAGAAATCGAGCTTCATTTTCGATGGCTTGTTGGGGTGTACTGGATTTGAAGCATAGAAAACTGGTGTGAATGGAAGAAAGCCCAGTACTCATCAGCATAGACAGAATTATTTGTAGACGCACATGGAAACGCTGGGAGGAGATAGTTGAAGAGCAAAATTCCAAATGGACCAGGAAGTATACGGCTGCTCCTTCTGTTTATGAATTGCCATACTTCCTGGCTTCGTCTCTTCATCTTCCACTCTTTCATACATCATCAACTCTGCTATTGTAACCCATTGATACCATCCATCCTCATTCCAAACACTTTTCTTAACAATATGCACTTCCACATTGCCACCCTTCTGGGCGTGGCCCACTTGACTTTTGCTGCTCCGTTTCTGAGTGTGTCGACTCACCCTCTTCCGGGTGGAATGCCTAATCCAAGTCCCAGTGAGCTGGAGATGATTGAGCTAAATGCGCATGGAACTCTGCCAAATGGACCTGCTCCTGCTGGTATCAGCGAAGGAGGAATCGTTAACCTCAAGCTTATCGCATTCAACGAACTATTTGAAATTGCCTTTTTCGATCAACTGATCACAAATATCACCGACAACATCTTGGGGTATCGCTTCTCTGATAAAAACGATTACAACTTTGTGCTGAATAGCTTGAAGGTGATTCTGGCGGTATGATATGATATTCCCCCCAGTGTCGCGCGGTGATATTTACTAATTTGATATAGCAAGAGGAGATCCATGCCCTAGACGCCAACAACGCCTTGGCCCGTGTTGGAGTTGACCCAATCGAGCCTTGTCGCTATACCTTCCCCGTCCATGACTTTGATGCGGCCATTATGCTCGCCACTACCTTCACAGATGTAGTGTTGGGAACCCTGCAGGACGTTGTGGAGAGATTTGCTGTCGGTGGTGACATCGGACTCGCACGCGCAATTTCCTCCGTCATTGGCCAGGAGGGAGAACAGCAGGGCTGGTTCCGTGTCATGCAGGGCAAATTCCCTAGTGAACTGCCTTTCTTGACCACCAGTGATCTCAACATTGCCTTCACTGCCATCGAGACGTTCGTCGTGCCTGGCACTTGTCCCAACATTGACTCCATTCCGCTCAAAATCTTCCCACCTCTCAATGTTATCAAAGGCCCGACCGCGGAGACCGGACACATCAAGGTTTCCTTTGACGATAGCGAGGAGATTGATGACGGTATACTGTGGCTCGCCTATATCAACCAACAGAATCTGCCGATGGTGGAACCACTACATGTTGTCTCAAAGGAAAATGGCACCATTATTGCAAAAGCTCTGTTCCCCTATGATGCATATGAGATGAACGGGTTGACCATCGCTGCAGTGACTGCCACGAAAGGACCATTTCTTAATGCACACGGTGTGGCAAAGGAAACTCTCGCCGGACCTGGCCTTTTTGTCATCGACTAATTGAACCATATCCTCGCCTACCTCGAGCAGATTACTCGCGACATACGCACATCACTATCATTATCAGCCCTATGACTTGAGCACAACTTGTACATCCATCAACTTGAACTAGTTCTAGTTCTAGTTTATTATTCTTGTCAATATATAAATGTTGGAAGCTTATGACTTTCTCAACAAGAATACCAGTGGATCACATAGGAACCGTATAAGCTTAAATGACAGACAATTCTCAACTACAACTCCCATCCCCAGGAGTACCATTCCCAGAAGTATTATATCATACCAACTCCACCTCAAAGCTTACCCTGTCCAGCATTAGCATTAACACTGGCAACAACAGAAGTATAAGCCGCCGCAGAGGCAATATTCTTCCCAGCGAAGTTAGCCAAGAATCCAGTATCGGCCTTGCTGAACGATCCAGACGATCCAAACCCGTTAGTCTGACACGCGCGGCCGAGATGAGTGCTGCAAACAGCATTGGTGTTGGTATCCGGGGATGTAAACAACTGTCCAGAAATAGGAGTCTCAACAACAGCAGCAATGTTCTGGAACACATTGCCCTCAGCGAGGACGTATCCGCCAGCACCGATCTCGAAGGCGTGGCCGACGTTCTGGTACCAGTAGTTGTTGACCTGGTGTGTGTGTTAATTTGTTTTCTTGAAATTCCAAAGGAATTTGATCCAGAGACAGAGAAGGGGAGGAAGGGGGGGGACTACTCACAGCATGCAAAAGGGTATTTCCCTGCACCTTAGGGGCACGTCCACTGGTGTGGAAAATGTAGTTACCCTTCATGGTAACGAGGTCACTAGATCCATCGAGGTAAACACCCCAGTAGTGGTAGCCGTTGCAGGTAGCGGAGTAGGTGCTCGTGCCGTCGATGACGCTGTTGGAGATTGTCACGCGCTTAGAGGCCTCGGTGCCGAGAACGATGTGTTGGCGCGAGATGCGGGCGGTTGTGACGTGATCGATCCAGACCATGTCGGCGTTGTTAATGGTGATTGCATCACCGCCCCAGACGTATTTGGGGTTGATGTCGGTGATGGCGACGTTCCTGTTAGACATTAGCTGGGGTTTGGGCTTTGGGTTGTGTATGGTATTGGCATGTTGTTTCTTACTGGATGATGACGTTGTTCGCACCGCTGACGATTCGAAGACCCTTGCCCTTGATAACACCCTTGTTGCCGGAGCCGACGATAGACTTGTTGGATTTGACAGTTATGCCGAGGGTGCCGGCGTTGTCACTAGGAGGGTCAATCAATATGGAGGAAGAGATTTGGTTTAGAGGTTATACGTACTAGCTGACAGAGGCGGAGGGTGCATTCGGCTCGTAGTTGTGGCACCAGTTGTTTTGGTTGATAGCAAGCTGGCAACCAGCAGCAGTACCCCAAGGCGCGCAACCAGTGCCGGTGGTAGTTCCCTCGGTGCCGGTGAAGTCGAAGGTCTTGGACAGGATGATCACGCGCGGTGAAGAGTCACCCAGGTACGAGACTAGCTCGGCTGTGGTGCTAGGGTAGACAGGGGTGGCAGAGCCACCGCCAGTGACGCCCTTGGCGAAACCCTCTGCTGCGCCGGTAACACCGGCGGCAGCGGCTCGCACGGCGAGTGCTGCGATGATGGCTGCGATCTTCATGGTGCAGTTTCAGGGAAGTTGGTCTGGTTGGGATGAACTGAAGAAAACATGGGCGTGGAGGTGATCTTATATAGAAATAAGCACTCGAATAGAGATAGTTCCGAGCTAAGACAAGCATGTTTGAGAATATGGGCAATCTCCGGTTCGGTGAAGATATTGACCCGCCGGATAAAGAACGACGCCATATCTAGGCTCGGGTTTAGCATGAAAACGTGAGTCCCAAGTCTTACTTTGGGTTTTTCACGATCCACAATTTTGCGGAGAAAAATCGCCATATGCAGGGGTGCATTTGGGGAAAAGTCCGGCGGAAGAATTGCAGGCGCGTGCCGTGGATGATAGACACACCAATAGGGTGTCTCTTTGGATAATTCGTATACCAAGTCCTCCGTGAAGCGTGCAAATCAATTCCAGGAATTAGAGTTGAGTGTAAATCAATCCAGCCCTAAAGGATCGGCTCCGGTGTCTGAAGATGTTTCACATCTGGGATGTTCCCCACGTGTGTGTCTGCATAAAGTAAGCTTAGCTTCGTAATCGGACTCTTTACTCGGATGAGGATGGTCTCCGAGGTCCAGTCTGTGCTCCTTTTCGCATGGTATGGTCTGTGTTCGATTTTATGGGCTTACTCCTGTCCCCTTGAGTAGTCAAGAGGGGTCAGGTGTGAGGTTTGGGAACAAGAATTTCTCCGTCTTGGCGAACAAGTGATTTTCTGTCGATCTTTGAACGGGGAGTTTGTGATTGCATGAATCGTTTAAATCTACCTGAAGATCATGAGGTCCACCAGAGCTGTCAGATGGGATCCACTGGAAGCTCTTCTGTTCGAACTAATTTCGGCGATTTGCTGGAGAAATTTAAAATATAGTGCTTCATCTATATGCCTTGTGGGGGGGGAAAAAAAGAAAAGGGATGGCTATAAATGAATTCTATCCATTAAAAATGCGTAGTCTATATAATGATGGGTGATATACAACAAGAAGCAAAAATGATCACACAGCTGTACATAACCATAGTCAAAGAGAATCCACTCCGATATCCTAGAAGGCGACGGGCAGAGGACGCTCCAGGTAGCCACGCCATTGAGGGAGTGCGCGGTCGCCCTTGGCGCCTTGGTTCTTCTTCAAGTCCTCAATAGCACTGGCGTACTTGATCAAGGTGGGCTCGGAGAAAGCAGTGTTCATGATAGCAAGGCCAAAGGGCATGCCAGAGACATCGCTAACACCAGCAGGCAGAGTGATAACGGGGTATCCGGCCTGGGCAGCGATCTGAATGCTCTGAGCGACATCGGGGGGCACAAGGAGACCATCGAGAGCAACATTGCCCTGCTTGAGAGCGGCATCGATACCTTCCTCGCGGGTGGTGCGCTGGCAGAATTCCAGAGCCTGGAAGTAGGTCTTGTCCATGCGACCCTTGGACTCGAGGGAAGCAACGAGACCGTCCTGGCCAGAGCCGAAGGCAGGGTGGATACCGGGGAGACCGCCCTCGGAGCCGTAGTTATCGATGTTGTACTGGACGAGATCCTCGACGGAGCGGACGTTGGTGTTCTCGACCTCGGAGAGGTAGTCGCGCAGGTTGTTGTAGAAGTCGACCTTGATGTAGGAGTATGAGGACTCGTTGGCATAGCCGCGGGTGGTACCGTAGTCCCAGTTCCAGCCATCGGGTGAGACAATCTCCTTGTAGTGAGGCAGCTCGGTACCGTTGATGACTGTGGCACCGGCAGACTTGATCAGCTCGACCAGCTCGAGGAGCTGAGCGATTTGGTCCGAGTCACCGAGAGCCCAGAAGGACTCCCAGGGGATACCGAAGACGGCGCCCTTCAAAGCGGTCTGGTTGGTCAGGAACTGGGCGTAGCCACCGACGGGGGTGAGACCCTCCTGGGCGGAGGTGTAGTTGTCACGGGAGTCAATGCCGTAGATGGCATCAAGGGCGTAAACGGCATCACGGACGGTCTTGCCGAAGGTGCCGACGGTGTCCTGGTGGGCGGACTCGGGGATGACACCGGCACGGGAGGTCAGACCAACAGTGGGCTTGATGCCAACAATGGAGTTGCGCTGAGCAGGGTTGATAACACTGCCATCGGTCTCGGTTCCAAGAGCAATGGGAACCAGGTTAGCGCCGACAGCGACACCAGAGCCAGTGCTGCTGCCACCGGGGTTTACGGTGAAGTTATAAGCACTGCGGCATTGACCACCACGGGCACTGAAGCCTTCGGAGTAGTTGTTGGAGCGCATGTCGGCCCACTCGCTCAGAGCAGCCTTGCCGAGAAGCAGAGCACCGGCCTTGCGCATGCCGTGGACGACGTATGAATCACGGGGCACGACGTTACCGAGTAGGGCCCAGCTGCCGGCAGTGGTCTCCATACGATCTTTACTAGCGATGTTGTCCTTGACAATGAAGGGGATACCATGGAGAGGACCACGAACAGTGCCATTAGCACGCTCAGAGTCGAGCTTCTGAGCAATAGAGAAAGCATCCGGGTTCACTTGCAGAATAGCGCTAGCAGGACTGTTGGTCAACAATTCTATGACAGGGATTAAACATAACATACTTCAAGTAAGGCTGGGTTTGGTGGACACGGTCCATGTAGCACTCCAGCAACTGGACCCCGGTAAAAGTGCCAAGCTCCAGCTGGGCCTGGATCTGGTCAATAGTAGCCTCCTCCAGCTGGAAACCATGACAGGGGCGCATAGGGAACTGCGAAGCACCCTCACCACCCAGGCGAGGGAAGTCATAGAGGTAGGGATCGGTGAGGATCTGAGAGTCGACCAAGCTGTCGGACTCCTGAGCCACAACGGAGCTCACCAAGGCGAGACCGCTCACCAATGTCTGAATTAAAGGTGCCATTATGGGAATTAGATTGCAAAACCCCGCCAACAAACCATGGGGGAGTTCGTGTTGTTATACTCCTCACGTGGGTCCGGCACACCATTGCGTGACTAATCAGCGATAAACCCGCATCGAGGACATTTTTACTGTTTTCATATTTCTCAATTCCTTTTTACATCTAATTTTTTTTTTTTCTAATTGTGTCTGCTTTGATTGACATTTCTATTCGCTTTAATCCCATTCAGCCCACTGTTTCCGCTGTACTATTGGGAATTGTGGCGTTCAGCAAGAACCTTTGAAAAAATGGTTCAAAATGACCGAAATGGTCATTTAATCTAATCTTATTATTAATTAATCTATATCTTACCGAACCAAGGCACCTGGCCTAAAATTGCATGTTACTGGACCTGAAGAGTCCGCCGACCCCATCTCGTACCAGCGATGACCTACTGGACATGTTTTGATTGGCGGTCTTGCCGAAGGGCCCCATTTGTGCCAAAGATTTCTACCCAGCTCGGCTTAGCTCGGCCATTACGCGATAGACTTTGATATTAGAGAGGTTTAATATAGCGACGGGGCCTATCAAAGCCCAGGATTATGTGGAAAAACTAGCCGCTTGAGGTCAAGTCGCGTACTAAGCAATTTTCGCCTGGAAAAAGCATGTGGCATTAGCTCTGTAGACTTGGGGCTCTTAATTTACTAATTTACTGTCAATTCTGACAGATGACAGATAACAGCTTTTTAACAAATGAAGTAGGTGTCCCGAGGTCGTATACTCAGGTTAAGCTCATGATTACAGTAATTCCTTTGAAAGTTCTCTTAACCGGAATGTTAAAATGTAAAGAGAGTTTGCATCAGATCCACAGGATTTCGATTGTCTGATCCTATGGCTCCAGAAGGTGTGTTTGGTACGAAGACCCCGTTGGCCACTGGGCATCGGGACTCCTTGGGAATTATGTATTGAAAGTACCCGCTTTCCATTGTCCCCAAATTGTTTGCCATGGTTCCTTGGGATATAGTGAGCCTTGTCCCACCTGTCGGATACCGTCATTATTCCCTTGTAATGTTTTTGACACTTCATCTTTCCCATTTCTGATCATGGTTTGAATCTGGTTATGCTTATACCCGACGACATCCTTGCTGCACATGCAGCAGGGAGAATCCCGAGCAATGTCACTCTCGACTACCTCGCAGAGTCCCGCGATAGCCCCGCCATTGTGGGAATCATTTTCATGATATGCTTCACTGGCCTGTTGATGATTGTACGATTATATGCCCGGGCATTCATTGTGAAGAAGATTGGGTTGGACGATGCACTAGCAATTATAACTTTGGTAAGATCATCCACTTTCCACCCCAGATCTGCACTAAATATGCATGGCCATGCATGGTGGCTCGATTGTCATGCACGACAGAATTGGCTAGAAATAGTTACCAAAAAGCATAGTATCTAACAATGTCTCTCATTGCAGGTATTTTACATTACCTTTGTCGTCCTCTCCATCATCTTGATCAACTTAGGAAGTGGTCGCCACATCGAATACATCCAATATGTGCTATCACCTGACACCGTCCGCGACACCGAAGTCTTAGACTTCGTCGCCCACATTCTCTACACAACGGCTCTATTCCTCTGCCGTCTCTCCGGTCTAGCCTTTTACTACCGGCTCACAGCTCGCTCAACAAAACTGCACCTGAGCATTATCATCGCGGCACCCCTCCTTCTCGCCGCCTACCTACCCCAGCTCTTGCTCTTGATCTTCCACTGCCAACCGGTAACAGGGTTGTGGCCCTACGAGTGGCAAGTCGAGCCAAAGACCTACAAATGTCTCTCATGGGGACTCGTATACTCGGTGAACTCGGGGCTATCGCTCGCATGCGATCTGCTGATGTTCGCGATCCCAGCCGCACTCATCAAGGGACTGCACGTCTCCTTACAAAAGAAGATCAAGCTATCGCTTGTGATGTTCCCCGGTGTCCTGTGAGTAACCCCCTTTCCTCTCCTTCAATTCTCAAACAAGCTCCTAACACCACACAGCGTAATCGTGATCTCCGTAGTCCGCGTCTGGCTCGTAGCAGTGGGCCAATGGGATTCCGACGGCAGCTGGGCCTATAATCCAATGATGTGCGTCGAAAACGCCGAGATCGCCGCAACCCTAGTCGCGCTCTCCGTACCAGCGCTGAAACCCGTCTTCGGGAGCCTGTTTGCGCACCTGACCGAGTACACTTCCAGCCACACGCGCACACGCTCGACAAAACTGCACAGTCTAGGCCATACCAAGACTATGGGCAGTGGTGCGGTCTCCAACAATCGGGATAGCAAGCGTCTCATTAACTGGTCTAAGATTGGGAATGATGATTATGAGATGATGCCTTCCGAGGTCTCGGTTTCGAGAGATATTAGTGGATCGAGCGGAAGTGGTCGCAGTAGGGAGGAGAAGAGGAAGCATGGTTCGAGGAGTCCCGGGATTCGGGTTACGAATGAAGTTAATATCAGTCGTGAGGAGGAGAGAGTTAGTGTTGATAAGCCCGGGTCCAGGGAGAGTTAGAAGGATTTTTTCTTTGTTCTAATAGATATATATAGATATAGATAGATATAGATATAGACTACGTATATGATGTTAAAAATCTTTCTTCGCTATGATATCCTACCCGCCCTCTATATATGTCGTCGACTGCCTTTTCTTTCTTTTCTAGTGAGACCTCCCTCTATCAACAGACACGCCGTATGAACAACATGTTCATCCAGTCCTTTGTTGCCATGGCTTTAGAGAGTTAGGCATGAAACGAATACTTGAATCATTATAAACAACCCTGGGGTTTTTCCTGGTTGAAAAGATATCTCGATATTTGGATGTGAGAGAATCAAGCGCTCCAGGTTCGGCGAGTTTATCGAATTAACCAACAAGCTTGCGGATCACAAGATTAATCTGTTGAAACATCAGGTGTAAGACAAGCTGACGAAAAAAACGCAAGCCTCCTCTGATAAAACCCCCTCCGGTGCAGGTACAGTGCAAATGTGTGATAGGTAACGTGATAAACGAAAGGGGTTCTTCGTGGCTTGGTTTTCGCAAATAGATGAGTTAGTAATTTGTTTGGGGGCCATTGGAGGTGTTCAATAGTGCGGCGCTTAGGTTGTTAGTGAGACATGAAACGGTATTTTCTCGGGTTTAGTCATTATTCGGGGCTTAAAAAATGTCTTAGAGTTACTCCGTAATGTGGGGAGGCACTAGATGTCCAATGAGTTTGGGGTGGATATAAAATTGCATTGGAAGCGCCTCGGTCTTCGGCTTCTCCAAGCCATAGTCTAAAAGAGAGTTCCTAGTGATCCTACAGTGCCGGATTCCGAGATCAAGCTTAATAAATGTTGTTAGGTTAGAATTCACATGAAGATCAGACCGGTTGGCTTCGTGGCAAAATGTGATGGCCCCCAAGACTAACCAACGCCAATGCTAGCCCCAAGTGCAACGCTGTCATTTAAATGCATCAGCCAACCACTTTAGGCTGTAACTAACTAGTTCAAGCTGATTATCAATTCTTTGCTTACCAATATGATCAAATAATCGAGACCGGTTCTTATACGAGGCTGGTGACAATGAACAAATATCATGCAATGAACGTTTGATCTATAAAAGCGCAAGAAGACTCGGTGTTCTACGGAATAAGACACATACTTCACTACATTCTTGACTTGTGCCAGTGATCCTTAGTCAAAAGATGACACTCAAATACCTTATTACAGGAGCGACTGGAGGCCTCGGTGCCGGGGTCCTATCCTACCTTGTTGCGAATCTCCCATCATCAGCATATGCCGCAGCGTCCTCGAAAGAGGAGAATCGCAAACAATTCGAAGACCGAGGGATCGCATTCCGATTGGCAAGCTATGACGACCCCCAGACATTAGAGACCGCATTCGAAGACGTGGAGAATATCTTCTTCGTTAGCACAAGCACCTTCGACATCGAGAAGCGACGCAAGCAACACGAAAACTTTGTGGTTGCAGCGAAGAAGATGAACGTGAAACACGCAAGTCATCAATCTCCCCTCACAACCACCCCATCTAACATGGAAACCGCAGTTATGGTATACATCTCTGGCATTCGGCGGATACAGTTCCGATTCTAAGGCTGCTGTCCAGCAAGGCCATCTGATGACAGAGAAAATGATGAAAGAGTAAGTCAAGCCCCGATCGTGACAATCTAGCCAGCCCCACTAACATCAACCAGAGCCGATATCAACTTCACCTCCATCCGTGAGGGTCTTTACACAGACGCCTTCCCGGTCTTCATGGGCTGGTATCCAAGCACATCGACCGTCTACCTCCCCTCCGACGGACCGATTGCCTTTACACTGCGGTCGGAACTAAGCGAGGCAAATGCGCGACTGATGATTCGGGGTGGACACGATCGAGAGACCGTACTGCTCACTGCGCAGCAGACTATCACATTCTCTGAGATCGTGGATCTGATCAACGAGACGACTGGCCGAAACGTTCGGTTCGAGCTTGTCTCATCGGAAGAGTTTGTGCGGTTGAAATCGGCTACCGACGAGGGCGGAAAGGGAGAAGGGTTCTTCCAGGCGCTGCTATCCTGGTACGAGAGTATTTCAAAGGGGGAGACATGCACGATTGATCCGCTCATGGCGGACTTGCTGGACCGGCAACCCGTGCCGCCGCGTGAAGCTATTCGGGCTTTGTTGACGGAGAATCGGGACTATGAATGGCATCAGAACTATGTTAATCGCAATTAGTTGGTCACTTGGGAAGTGGTTTGCTGTAATAATTGCATAATAATGTTGATGTGACAATGTGGCAGTTTCCAAAGGCATGTGAGTCGGCCGGAGTAGCCGTTATCCAGTCTCGGCAACCAGATCGGGAGTGGCCTTGGAGCCTGAGGCACCAATTTTGTGGGTTTTGACTGGGGAATCACTCCAAAGCTGATCGAAGAGGTTGGAGTAGATAAGATGGGAAAATTGATATATTTTAACAATCTTATCATACCGATATTTCCAATTGACTAATTTTCAACATATATTACCTATAGCTATGTGAGCGTAGTATCGGCAGTAGATTCAAGTCACCGCCGTGTCCGCCCGAGGCTTGTAAACACCCTCACTCTGATTGGTCGGGACCCGCTGATGTCAGCATCTACACACCCGACCCGTCAAACCCGAGGTTACTAGCGAAGAGACTCCTTGGACTTCATTTTACTGTTGAGGATCTCTGTTGGACCGTGAATCTCGACTTCGTCGTCGCTACGTTCACACTTTTGAAATCTCTCCCCTCTTCTTGTGTCCTTCTGCTGTCAATCCCACTTTCTCCACCCTCTCCACCATTTCTTCCTTTTCGCCTCGGTGTTTTTCACATTTCCGATCACCCGTCATGGCCTCCCTCCGTACCACTTCGCGATTGTTCGCGGCGTCGCGGCCGATGTTCCGCCCTGCCTTCGCTCGCACCTATGCGACCGTCGAGCCTACTCCCTCCGAGCAGCCCAAGATGAAGACCTTCAAGGTCTACCGCTGGAACCCGGACACACCCAGCGAGAAGCCCCAGATGCAGTCTTACGACCTCGACCTGAACAAGACCGGACCCATGATGCTCGATGCGCTCATCCGGATAAAGAACGAACTCGACCCTACCCTGACTTTCCGGAGATCTTGCCGTGAGGGTATCTGCGGTTCTTGCGCGATGAACATCGATGGTGTTAACACTCTTGCCTGCTTGTGTATGTACCCAGACCCGTACATACGCTTTCTCGAAGCATCCGACAGCTCCCGACTGAATGCTAATCCTTCATCCGTATAGGTCGCATTCCCACCGATACCAAGTCCGAGTCTCGCATCTACCCTTTGCCTCACACTTACGTCGTCAAGGACTTGGTCCCTGATATGACCCACTTCTACAAGCAATACAAGTCGATCAAGCCATATCTCCAGCGCGACACCCCCACCGAGGACGTGAGTTATCTTATATACCAGCATCACCTATAAATCTAACAACTGTCAGGGTCTCGAATTCCGCCAATCCCCCGAGGACCGCAAGAAGCTCGACGGTCTCTACGAATGCATTCTGTGCGCCTGCTGCTCAACCTCCTGCCCATCCTACTGGTGGAACAGCGAGGAGTACCTCGGACCTGCTATCCTGCTCCAGTCCTTCCGTTGGTTGGCTGATTCCCGTGACGAGAAGACCGCCGAGCGCAAGGCTGCTCTCGACAACAGCATGAGTGTCTACCGTTGCCACACCATTCTCAACTGCACACGGACTTGCCCCAAGGGCCTGAACCCAGGTCGTGCCATTGCCGAGATCAAGAAGATGTTGGCCGTCTAGATTTGTGGATATAAAACGGAGTACCGCGGAATTTTCTTTTTCTGTCCAATGCCTTTCCAGTCGTCTTTCCTCTGTTTCTCTATTTCCTATTTTCGTTTTACTTTTTTTTCCGACTATTCCACGGATGTTTCTATAGGTGTAAATTGTGGACCTTTGTTTCTTACAGGAATGCATTGGTAGTCCATTCGGCTGATGATAGCGCAACCTATACCTTTGTATTGTATCAATCTATCAATGTCGTCGTCTGATATTTCCTTGTAAATTCTTATACAACAATCTGCAAGTATATATTTGATCAACACTATAACTATTTCCCTCATAACAGATGTTAAGCGAATCCTCAATACACTTATCCCTGTATGGGCTAGGCTTACTCGGCTATGCCCACACTAAGACCACTACCACGCTAACAACCCCATTTTCTCCACAAATCATGATGGCGACATGAGCGACACTCAATTGGGCTGTTAGCACAGTTGGTAGTGCGCCCGCTTCGCATTATGCGAGCGTGCGGGAGGTCCTGGTTTCGATTACCAGATAGTCCATTGTCTCTAACTTTCTTTTTGGATAAGTCTTGTACAATTGTTCTTTGTTTTTTGCTTTGTCCTCTTGTTGGCTGCAGATAAAAGCGGGCTGTGAAATCCAACACCCCAATACCAGGATATCCATTGGCCACTCGAATGATGGACTCACATGGAGGGTGGGTATATCTGCCATACATGCTGTACCCCGTCATCTACATATCCCATCACATCCATTCAAACCCAGGGAGTGACCCATTGTTCCCGGGCTCAAGGCCAAAGAGGAGTGTGCTCGATCTGACCCTAGCGTTTGATGCGCCTGCTTCTGCACAGTGGGTGAAATTGGATAGTACTCGACGAATGATAGCCCTATATAGTACATTAGCGGCCCCTTGGGGACGTGTTGGTACCTAGGCATGGTTGCATTGTCTAAATAAGCGTGTTGAATCAGGAAAGAGATCCATTGTATCCTGTACACTAGTTAATGCACTATGCACTATCTATGCACTACCTAACTCGTGGGGCCATTTTTCCATCTGAACCCATGTCATCGCGCCCCCTATATAATAAACGGCCTTCGCTCCTCTTCGTCGCTATCAGTGAGCTATTCGCCTATAATGGATCCCCCGACACTATTCGTGTCCTTAGTGACGTTGCCGTTGGGACTGCTGGCTTTGCGCATTGTGTACCATCTGTACTTCCATCCGTTGTCCAGGTTCCCCGGTCCAAAACTCGCTGCTGCAACCTCGCTCTACGAATTCTATTATGATGTAATTAAAAGCGGCATGTATATCTGGGAGATCGAGCGCATGCACGAGAAGTATGGTGAGTATATAGATCCGATGCGGACTAACCGAAACATACCAAAATGCACAAGTCGCCAATAACTCATCCAGGTCCCATCGTGCGCATCAGTCCACGAGAAATCCACATCAAAGACTCAAACTACTACGATGATATTCACGCCGGTGCCTCGCACAAACGCTCCAAAGACCCTAAATACGCCGTAGCCTTCGGTGCGCCCAATTCCCTCGTAGGAACAATAACCCACGATCACCACCGCTTCCGCCGCGGCCTGCTGAGCAACTACTTCTCCAAGCGCTCGGTGGTAGATCTTGGCCCGTCCATTGACGACAAAGTCAGCAAGTTAATCGCGCGCTTTGAACAAGCGCACCAAGACGGCGAGGTGCTGCACCTGCAACTAGACTTCGCTGCGCTGACCGCAGATGTCATTACCGATTACTGCTACGGCTGGAGCTATGGCTACCTAGACGCCGAGAAGGGATCGCGGAGCAACGACCTCGTCGACGCTGTTAATGGATTGATGGTCATGTTCCACATCAATCGGTTCTTCCCGTTCCTTATTACCATTTTCAGGAATACGTCGCCTACCCTACTACGCTGGTTACAACCCCAGATGGCGGATTTATTTGATGTGAAGGCTAGGCTTAGACAGCAGGCGAGAGATACTCTGCAAAAGCAGAGTCTGCGGAATCTTGATTCTGACGCGAGGCCGACTATATTTGATGCGTTGACGAGTTTGGAGTTGCCCGAAAGCGAGAGGACCCTTGATCGACTAGAAGATGAGTCTGCGCTGCTGCTTGGAGCTGGTACGGAGACTACGGCTAGGTCCATCACTGTCGCGATGTTTCATCTCATCAACAACAAGGAGATTATGGCGAAACTGCGGGTGGAGTTGAAGACGGTACTTCTGACACCGCAGTCCAAGGCTTCATGGGTGGATTTGGAGCGATTACCATACTTGGTAGGTTATGTCCCTTTCTTACTTCCATTTTGGATTGCTGATTTTGTCATTTTCTAAACTAGACGGGTGTGGTTAATGAAGGTCTGCGTCTCAGCCATGGCATGACAGCCCGATTGGCTCGTGTTTCACCGACCGAACCCATGCTCTATCAGGGTTGGGCTATCCCTGCAGGCGTAAGTCAATGATATCGGTTCACTGGCTATAACCTCCCGGTGCGGCTCCTGGGCCTGACATATGATGGCGGGCCTAAAGGCGGCTCGTTTTCTCTGAGAAAGTTACTGATAATTTTCTATTACAGACTCCGGTCAGTCAGTCGAACTACTTCGTCCATATGGATCCCACGCTATTCCCCGAGCCGGAGAAATTCGACCCGAAGCGTTGGATCCGCGCTGCAGAGAAGGGGAAGTATCTGAGTCGGTATATCGTCTCGTTTACCAAGGGGAGTAGACAATGTCTGGGAATGAAGTGAGTTATACTTATACGTCACCTCGCACGTATATACTAAGTCTTTATCTAGTCTTGCCTATGCGGAGATCTACTTATCTTTGGCACATATCGCTCGTCGCATCGACTTTGCGCTGTATCAAACTACTACTGATAATATCTGTGTTTATCGTGATATGGGCATTGGATGTCCGAAGGTTGGTTTGTTTGGTGTTAGGGCTACGGTGGAGGGTCTTGTCAAGGAGTAAAATTGTGAAGTTTCCTCCTTGATGATAATTATGATAATGATGTATGAGGGCTGAGCTTGTATTTTTGTCGATAATAGTTTTTTGTGGTACTTTTTAACGTGCGTATTGGTTATGCAGGTAACCGTGTTGTGGGGTATATTTCACTCGATGTATATTGTACTCCTTGGCAGATATTTCGTTGGCAGATTTGAATGTGTTCATTTATGATTTAATAAATGCGTTTGCGAAGATACTGATTGTGCATGTCCAATCAACGTCTTTTGCCTTAATGATGATTTGGATATCTCTTTTATATGTCTGGCTAAACAATAACCTCTATATTTCTGGATATTGAAGCTATTTCCACCTCAATTCTCGGACTCATCAACTCCCTAGCGTTAAATTACTTATTCCCACAGCGGTCGAGATGATAGGCCCAAATACACGAAGGGTCGCGAGCTCAGTCTTAGGGCACGCCACGCCGGAGCTAGCGGAGACAGAGAGCTCTAAGACTAAGATTTAAGCGGAAGGAAAACGACTTGGTCAAATACGGAAATTTGTACGGTGGGCTTTAACGCTAAGTATTTGATTCGTCTAGGAATGTGTGCTGTGAGAATAGCACAACACTCAAAGCCCCTTAATCCGGGCGATCCATAGTGTCATACTAGATGAAAAGCTTATTTCATATGAAATTACATTGGATCATTGGAAAGTTGCTAGTCTTTTTTAAAATTGACTAGATGACCTATTGTAAATCCCCCCAAGCGGAGGTTTGAAACATTAAATTTATTGAATAGTAGGCGCAAGATATGCCAGCCTCGGCGCATATTAAGCAAACCAGCTAATGCCCCATGCAGCCCAATAGATCAATGAATGCATTGTCAAATCCCAAGACCCATTCAAATCTGACGCGATCCTGCACCTATGTGACTACAATACAGGAAATAGAAAAACACAAACAGTCTGAATGCAAAGTAAGCTCGTACATGTGGACTGGCTGTCACTGCAAGGGGTGATTAGGGTTGCTAAGGGATACCTTCGCGTGCCAGAATAACCCCTACACATTCATCACCCTTTGAAGTTTCGAGAGATCTGACCACCTTCTACGTGTCAAGACAGAAGTAGGGTTCCCGAATAGTCCCGAAGACTTTATCCTATATGAAGTACTCATAGTACCAGTCTACAACGCAGTCTGTTCTTTCGGGGGACTATCATCCCAACAAGATAGAACTTGAGCAACAGTCTGGTTAGGAAAAACGATAACACCTCTTGCTCTAGATCGTAAAATTTAGGTGTTTCTCAAACGACTCGTATCTACAAGGGGTCTGAAAAGAGCTTTATATGTGCCACCATGTCAGCCTCATCCATTGCCTCCGGTATAATCCAGCCCGTAAGGGTGTTGTACCCTTTCTCTAGATAAAATGATGATCGTCGGGTTTGATCCCCAGCATTGAAAAGCTTTCCTTTTTCCTAAGCAGATCCCTGGGCGATCATTCCACAGGAACCGAGCATACGCGGCAATTGGAACCCTTTGAAGCCCCTCCATAGGCATAGGCGCTGCTATGTGGTCGTCATCCCTAGCGATGTTGATCCCTATCTAAGAGCGTGAGGCATGAAAGATGCGGGACAGCAATCATAGCAGTTTCATATCGCCCACATAAAAGCCATTATAACCCTTTCTCCTGCTCGCCGGCCAGTCCTTCATTTGTCTCTCTCGCCATCTATACTCTCCTTTGATCCCCAGTACCCAGGCCACTCAATCAACAAAAATGCACATTTCATACATCTCTCTGGCTTTGTTCGCCGTTGGCGCCATCGCCGCGCCCGCCGCACCCGCCGCACTCGCCTCTCCCAAGCCTACCAGCAACGCCGATGAGACCGCTACCGGATTCCCTTTCACCCCAATCGGCTCCTTCGATAATGAGGACATTGAGGAAGGACTTGGACACTCATTTTCCTCGGCCCTCGAGGCAATGAAGAAGTCCGCTCAGCACGCAGCGTCCTCTACGGCCACTCCCACCCACGAAGTCGCGACCGTCCCGACTCCTGTCGTCTCCCAGGCCTCAACTCTCTCTCACGCCGCCCATGCCGCCTCGCAGACCCCTGAGGTTTCCACTTCCGCCTCTACCACTCCCACACCAACTCCCTCTAAGAGCAAATCTGCTCCTAGTTCCTCTGCTTCTAGTTCCTCCGCTGCCACTCCTTCCCCTACCAAGCCTGCTAAGAGTGACCCCCTTGGCGATATCAAGAATCTTCCCGTTATCGGGCAGCTCCTAGGCGGCCCCATGGCTGCCCTCGGTCTCCATCGTTGAAGTAGTGTCTACATGATGTGATGTCTGTGCGGTGTGGATTATTATCCTCTATATCAAATGGTTGATCACTTCCACTCTTTTCTTTTTGCACTTCAGTACCCTTGACAAGGGATTTATGGCTTTTTCCTTCCTTCTTTCTCTAGCAATCACATATATCCAACAGCTTTAGTTTCCAGAATCTGAGAACTGTTTTTGACTCTAATACATTCTTGGATCGGTGACGTTATCACACAGAATTGATCTCAACACATTGAAAATAATACACTCCAACCTCATCCCCTAACTCGACGGGTATCTATCCCCAGACCCCAATCGATCAATGCATCCCTCAACAGCCTTCTGCATAGCATTGGTCGTCTCCTCCAACAACGTTGTCAAAGGCACCTTCCCAGCCTTCTCCGCCTGAACCTTCACATACTCATTATTCAACACCTTATTAATATTGACCTTGCTAACCCCACAATCAATGCATTTCTTAAAAATCTCCTCGGTAAACGGGTCCGCCCCATGAAGCACAAGCCTCACTTCCCGGCCAACAGCCTCATTAATCGACTGCAACCGCTCATACTCCAGCTGAATGCCCCGTGGCCCATACTCGCCATGAACATTTCCAAAAGCAGGCGCAAGCCAGTCAATCCCCGTATCAACAAACTCCCGACTCTCCTCGGGCGTCGTTAGCAATCCCTCAAGATCAGCTGTATCAGCAACTCCATCTTCACCACCCTCAATCCGACCAGGTTCAGCCTCAGTCGCAATCCCCCGCGCATGGCAGTACTCCACCAGCTCGCGCGTCAGAGCAAGGTTCTCCGCCTTCTCGTAGTGAGACATGTCGACCATGATGCTGTCGAACCCGCCCAGGTCGGCCGCGTACCGGATGATCTCGGGTGTTTGTGCGTGGTCCATGTGCACGGTCACGGGCACGGTGGCTTTGCGCGCGGCTTCGGCGGCGGCATGCACGAGAAGTCCGTCGGCGTAGTGGATGGCCCAGGGGAAGAGGAGGATCATTGCTGCGGAGCGCTTGGCTTCGGCGGCGCGGACGGTGGCTAGGATGCCTTCCACGTTGTAGCAGCACATTGCGGGGATGGCGTAGTGGTTTGCGGACGCATGGTCTAGGATGCGCAAGGCGCGGTTTTCTTGGAGGGTCATGTTTTGGTTTGGGGGGGAAGGAGGTAGTTTAGGAAATGAGGGGTTTGTAGGTTTGCTTTACTGTAGATCAGGGTCTATGGTGTTATATAGACTTGTGTTGACCGAGCTGGTCGCTTCACTTCCGAGCGTCGGAGTTGCTCCGGGCTACGTCACTTTGAGCTATTCGGGCCTATACAAAACATGCACCGGAGTAAATAGCAAGGTTTCTTAGGTTTTGTTTTAAATGTTAAGTGTAGCTATGGCGATATCAAATCCAAGAACCCCTTGGTTACATACATGTATGTATTCAAATACCCTGTAGGCATTAAGTGTAATGTTTTGGCCCTGGTCGGCCCACATCCGACCTTCTACTACTAGAACAATCAGGCTCAAATCTACTAACCGGCAATCAACAGCCCTCAAATTTCAAAATCAGACCCTGGCAAAGCCATATTATCCTTCGGCAACAGCCAAATTGGCCGGCTCGGACATGCGCCGAAGCATCCCGCGTTTCCCCCAATATCTCCCCCTCATAAAAACCCCCCCACGCAGGTCGAACCAGTTTATTTTATTTTATACATTGACATTCCTAATTGTATACATTTCTTCCTCTTAACACCCACTACAACAGCCATTACAACAATGTCCAAACCTTCAATTGGCTTCGTCGGCCTAGGCGCCATGGGCTTCGGAATGGCCACAAATCTCGTGAAAGAGGGCTACCCAGTACACGGCTTCGACGTGTTCCCAGCCTCGGTAGATCGCTTCAAGGCTGCCGGTGGAATCCCAGCATCATCACTTCAGGAGTCGGCCAAGGGAAATGATTTCTATGTTTGCATGGTCGCCTCAGCGCCGCAGGTGCAGAGCGTCCTTTTCGGCGATGATGGCATTGTCGCAGGTAAACACCACCACCTTAAACCAGAGAAATATATAATATCGAAACTAACCGTCAAACCTATCCAGCCCTCCCCCAAAATGCAACTCTCCTCCTCTGCTCCACTGTCCCAGCATCATACGCCCAATCCGTCGCCGCAGAGCTCACCTCTGTCGGCAGGAGCGATATAGCTTTCATTGACGCACCCGTGTCTGGTGGTGCACTCCGCGCCGCGGCCGGCACGCTGTCAATCATGGCTGGCGCTCCCGATGCCGCGCTGGAGAAAGGCCGGTTCTTGCTGCAGGAGATGTCAGACGCGAATAAGCTGTACCTTGTACCCGGCGGGATTGGCGCCGGTAGTAATATGAAGATGGTGCACCAGGTGCTGGCAGGTATTCACATCTTGGGTGCCAGTGAGGCTCAGGGCTTTGCGGCGCGACTAGGATTAGATGCGAAGAAGACGGCGGAGGCGATCAAGTCCAGTGGAGCTTGGACTTGGATGCACGAGAATCGGTTGCAGCGGATGCTGGATGAGGATTGGCATCCTGGTGCTAGTGCAGTGACTATTATTCTTAAGGATGTGGTAAGTATCTTGGTTTGAGTTTGGGGCTGAGTTGTGCTAATTGGGGGTTTCAGGGGATTATCACGACATCTGCGCGCCAAAGTCAATTCCCGACTCCGCTTTGCTCCACTGCTGAACAGGCTTATTTGTCTGCTTTGTTGCAGGGATATGGAGCTGTTGATGACTCGTCTATGGTGCGACAATACTTTGCTGACCCGATCACGAAGGTCGCCTGTACCAAGTCTGATGAGGAGACGGCGGAGGCGTTGCAGTTGGTGCTCGATATGATGGAGGTGACTAACCTCGTTGCCGCTGCTGAGGCTATTTCGTTTGCGCGTTATCTCAAGGTCGATCTGAAGCAGTTTTATACTCTGGTCGCTGATGCTGCTGGTGCTAGTCGGCAATTTATGACCAAAGGATTAGAGATTATTGAGGGGCTTGGACAGGGTGCCAATGGGGAGACTATTGATGCTGCTACTTCTCGTCTGGAGAAGGCTGTGCAAAAGGCGCGGGATCTCCACTGTCCTTTGCATCTCGGTAATGCTGCTTTGACTGTGTTGTACATGGCTAAGAAGTCTGGGTTAGGGGCTGAGGGGAGTGCTAGTGTGGTGAAGGCTTTTGAACAGTAGTATAATCGTGGAGATGAGTTATGAATCTTTATAGTCAGATATCAATCTTATGTACAGTCCAATTCTATCTTGATGCTTCTATTCACTGCTTTTCCCGCTCTATAAGCGCAGCCAGCTATAGATTGACCACATGTCACTCCGACTGGCTAACTTTACTGGGCAGAGCTACTATTTACAGCTACGTCTTCCCTAGTCTCCTCACAGGTTGGTAAAAGAATGTATTGATAGTGTCAATAAGAATAAAGAAATAGTGTGTGGGTATCCAGAATATTATATCCAACCGTAAGATCAATATGTACAGCCCAGGAGACCCCCGACAAGCGCGGGAGTGTCCAAAAGCCAAAGAAGAAGAAGAAGAAGAAAACATCAAGTATACCAAAAGTCCCGACCCATATCTTAAGACGACTTGAACTCATTTCGCATGCCACACACAGTAAAATTTAAACCTCAATTCCCTTGAGGTTCTCAACCGAACCAAGCGAAGTCCTCCGATCTTTAATAAACTTCGGCCAAGTATTCGTAAGCACAAGGTACTTAATACTAGCCTCGGCAGCATCAAAGATCGAAGCCTCAAAGCCCGCAGGAATATCACCCCAGTACTGCACGCGGTCCTTAATTGAGCCCGCCATCTCAGCTTGCATAGTCTTCCCAGAGTCCGTAGAAGCCGGCGACGGCGGCGGCAGATCGAAAGTGAATTTATCAAACGGACTAGCGGGGTCACAGTCGCGCTCCTCGCCGTACACAAGACGCGTCGGTTTCTCGAAAACCTCTTCTAGCTTCCGCAGGTCCTGGTGTGAGATGTTGACGGGGAACTCGGCATGGCGAACGCTGATGAACTCGGCATAGATGTGTAGCGCGCGGTTGAAGTGTTCGCGGACAACGTCACGCTTGCTCTTTTCCTGTAGAGCGCTGCCATCTTTGATGGCTGAAGGGAGTCGACTGCGCCATTCTGCGATGCTGGTGAGAAAAACGATGTTCTCACCGGAAAATTCGCGTAAGGCGGAGAATTCTTGGAGGGGGGCTGGGTTGCGCTCGAGGACGTGCTCGAGGGCGCCCATTGTGAGGATGCTGTCGCGAGAATTGATTGTGCTCGTCGAGCTGTTCGATTTCCAGCCTGACATCCTAGATGCTACCATCGTCATGTCGGAGTGTAGGGACCTTTCTTCCGAGCCGGCGGATTTGACTTTCAGTTCCCAGCGCGCGATCGACTCGAGGGTTTCTTGTCGGAGGGATTGGTGACGCATTACTTCCCAGCAGGGAAGGAAGACTGTGAAGATTTCGATGAACATGATGGATAGGCAGATCCTATATAGTTACGTTAGAGAAGGTCTTTATCATGATGTTAATTTGGAACTTACCATTGAGGAGGAACCCAGACGGCGTTGACTGGGGCCATGGCGGGGACGTAGAGACCGATGAGCCACAATGGGGTAGCGTGAAGGTTGGCAACAGCGCAGCCAATGGTCTGGACTCGCCAGCCGTGGGTATCGTGGATGTTGCGAGACTTCCAGAGGACAACAGGGGCAACGATCCAAGACCAGAAGAACTGCGAGACCACACCAGGCCACCATTCCCATCCTGCACCTTGTGCCACGAGCACCTCTTTCGGGGTACCATGGACTTCGGTGCCGGGAATACCCCATGAGCTATGGTACTTGCGCGAGATGACCCACATGAGGATAGTGAGGAAGACCTGCATGAGATGGCGAGTTAGATAAGACGTGTCACATGCATGAAAGGGTAGATCGGTAGATAATCATACCTGTGCAAACATTGCGATCGCAACATAAATAAGAATCTTGGTGGTATATCTAAGACCACGGAAACGATTGATCCATCCATCCTTGTGTTCCCCGACGGGCGATTCAGTAAACCGGTAGCCGTCCAGAGCATACTTTCTCTGGAGCTTTGCGACATGTTGAAAACGAGTGTTGGAGCCGTGGAAGAGCGCCATGCCACAGGGCAGCAGGGTCCCCATAAGCCAATAGGCGCCATCACCCGGCATGAGGGCGCCGACCATAGTAGCGAACTGGGTCGGGATCCAGTATAAATGAAGGACAACAATTGATGTTAATGAAAGAGCGAGGCCTCGGATGCGAATGGTCGGCATATCCCGGTGTATGATCAGATAGATCATACCGGCCACAACGGCCGAAGTCCAGACACATGCCCAGACCACCCACCAGATGGTGACGGGGCCGAGATCGATCTGGGGTTTGGACTCGACGGTGATACCGTACTCAGACCCCATATTAACAAGTGCTTAAAGAATGTGTGTGAAGTTGGATAGCGCCTTAAACCCAAAGTGCCGGGTCGTCATGTCCTTATGTACATACATCTCGGGGTAAGCACTTGCACGAGTAAGTGGGCCCCCCAAAGGTTTTTTTGGTGGTTAAGATGTCGATCAAAATGGCTAAGATATCCATTTTTTTCACTCCATAGTTTTGCTAGAAGATATAACGTGGAGTATTCTGGTCGATCGTGGTGTAGAACTGCTCAGTTATGGGCTCGCTTGGGTTTCGTTACTCCATAGTCCCGCGATGAAGATCCACCGTCCTATTTGTCAATAGAATACGAGGCTATGATTGGCTAAGATGAAATTAGATCAAAGATCTCTTGGCTCCTTTTCTTTTTCTATTGAATCCGCCCGTCACACTATTGATTTTCCTAAAACTGTGTTCTGGAAGATCGTAGCCCTAAGAGGCAGTTACTTTTTTACCTTTGGATGACTTGCACATGTCTTCTCTTCACTGTTATCACGTAAAATTCCAGGGGCATTGTTTCAGATGCATCGTACCTATGTCAAAGTAAGAGGCATCTACTATTGGTTAAATCCCAGGGTATCTGGTAAGATGTGATGAACTTGGATTTAGCGCAAAAGGCCAGATTAGACAAAAAAACAGGTTGACCAACATCCAAATTTAGCTTAGCATAAAACCAGACTATCGTTTCAAGGATTAAATTTGAGGCATTTGCAGAAAAGAAAAACCAGTCTATTCTCTCAAACGAAAAATGAATCGCATAGAAAACCTCAAGAGTCCGGCAAATATCCCGACTTATCAAAATCCAGGAAGCAGAACATTCAGACTCCGAGATCGACACAACCTCGGCCTTGGCACAAACCATCATGTTCGGGCTCCTTCAATCCCATCTGAAAAGCATCCAACTCACAATACGCTTCAACATACCCATAATAAGTCCCACCGTAATAATCACCACATTCCCCAGGAACCGGTTGTGCCTCACACAATCCCATCCGTCCAACCTCCTCCAGGGAGATCGCACACATAAACCCACTGTATTTATGAAGCACCCGCTCTGGCATTGTAAAAAGCGCATCCTTGCAACACCCCCACGGGTGGCGGATATCACAAAGTCCCATCGCGCGCGCGTGCCGCAAATCGTCAGCCCGCAACAACCCGTAGAACTTCCCATCCTCGCCGGGTATCCGCCGGATATCCTCCAACCAGCGTTTCTCGGCTTCTTCCTCTGACGACGCATGCATCACTCCGTAGAAGAGGTGAAAGTCGGCGCGTCGCTCGGAACAGCACCCTCGCACGTGGAGTGGGTCTAGTAGCCCCTGCCGGTTCGCGTCGTCTTCGGAATATGCCATCATGAATCCTTCCCACTCACCTGGGTAATTGCCATACGGCCGGATCTCGCGTAGTCCGCGTTGGTAGGCGGATTCTTCGTCGGCAAACATGCTGCCCATGTACATGTGCTTCTGAGGTTGGGGGTCTGGGGTTGGGGCCTGTTGACTCTTGGGGGATGGGTAGGTGTGAGGGGAGACCGGGGTGCTATCATTATCGGGGGGTACAGTGGAGATCCCTGCCTGCCACATTCGGTCGAGGGACTCTGTGTCCCAGAGATGGGGGTCCTCTTCGATACCCAGCTCGGCGTTGTTCGCGCGCCGGTCGTCTCGGTCCTTCTTTAGAAGTGCCGCGTCGAGGAGCTTGGAGATGGTTTCCTGCCGGGCTTCTTTTTCCTTGTTCTCTTCAATACGCTTCAGGACGGTCGCTTCAATACGCTGCTGCACAAGGTCAATGTCAAGAGGGGGCTGGTCATACGAGTGATGGTCAGCTTCAGAGCTATCAGAGCTCGCAGGAGACATGTCCTCAGGATCAACACAGGGGCCATATACGTCAGTGTCGTGCTGTTCATGGTCAGTTTTCAGCTCCTGTCGCTGTTGCTGCCGCTTCTCAACGTATTCGTCAATTCTCAGCTTAAGTATATTATACCTTATCAAAGAAGATCCGTAGAGCGACGAGCCAGAACTATCTGTCTCGCAGCTGCTATTATCGCTGGGGGATGCACAAGCATCGCCCTTTGCATCATTGCTCTTATCACCACTGTGTGTGAGATGATCCGGACTGGTCTTGACAGTTGCAGACACAAAATAGTCATCTACACCCATCTCCGGTGAACTGGGATTAGTACGAGCAAAGTTAAAAAGCGTCACAGAGGATTTATCGGAATGTGCTAGTCCGCAATTTGACTTCGATTCGCCGACAACAGCACGCAAACAGATCTGACCATTGTCGCTGTGGCCAGTAATGTCTGCGTCCCCATTGCCCAAATCACCAACGGCAGCACCCAAGAAGACCTGACCATTGTCGCTGTGGTCAGTACTACTTGTGTCCCTGTCGTCTGGGGTGGGATCACTCACCGCGTTCACTTGAATGATATTGCCTGTAGCGCCCAGGCCCTCAATGGTCCGGTAAGGGCTTGGGGCTTGGGTCTGACTGTCTCTGGGAGAAGAGAGGTTCTTGGCCCGCTTGCTCTCGCACTCCACGCACATGTTGGGGTGGGTGGGGGGAGGAGGTCGTGAGAGATATCGATCTTGATGCAGGATACGCTGCGCTCTGGTCCGGCCAGGCGGAGGTTGTTGGTGTATTCTTGGCAGCTGGTCATGCTCCAGTTGGAGATGTGTCCGCAGCTGGGGTAGTGGTGGTAGGAGTAGTTACACATTTTAAGGAATGGAAAGATGGGTTGAAAGTAGAGATGATATATGAGATGAGAGGAATGCTCTGCTGCCATGTTATATCCGTGCGAGGGTCAAGGTTTATATACAACTTGATCTGGGGGTATCTGACGGGCGAGTACAAAGCCGAGTCGATGAACAAAGGTAAGTGGTATAACAAAGATAGTTTAAAGGCATTGTGTTGGTGTCAGTATGAAACTCTTTGTTCACAACAGTCTGTTCACATTTATTAAATGTAAAGCAAATTCCTAAGGATTTTTGTTTGCTGAACGTGCTGTTTCAATGCCCAGAGACATTTGTGCTAAATGTCCCATCTTTATTGTATCTAAATCATCTCATGGCTATTAGTATAAAACATCGTTGATCTTCTTATGGGTCATACCCTGATCTAATAAAGATGAACTGGAAGGGAACCAAAGATGTAGGAAAAAAAGTCCTCCTTTGGCCTTCTGATTAAGACAATGGATTTGGAAAATTGCAATCTACCTTTCCTGCGCTTTCTCAGCCTCCCAGTATACTTTATGGAGTATCTATTTTACTGAGTCTTCCTTGGGATAGGATAGAATTATCTTCTTTCGCTTAACTCGGTCAAATTGTTTTTGTAGGATCTCCCACTTCTAGCAAACTGGGCGTTTGCTTGCTAGATCCCAGGATATAAATATCCTACTTTTCACATAGTCAACAAAATTTCTTTCTCTCCCCGATCCCGCAGCCTGTAGCTGTAACGGTTTTCTTTCCCGTTTGGCTTCTCTATATATTTCTAGAGATTCACAGGTATAAAAGCCCTTTCTCGTATTAATTTATTCCTATTTCTTTCTTATCTTCTACCCATAACCTATCCAACCTCCCATCCAACCACACTCAGGACTCTCTTCCAATCACTCATCACTTCTACCCATCTTTAACCACTTTACTAGTCACTGAGTATATACTGATGTGCAAGTGGCTTGAAGTGAAAGCTACATCAACCTGGGTTAAAATAGGCCAGTTATAGTCTCAGTCGCTATACGACAACGGGAACCTATATACAAGTGCGTGGGTGGTTCGTCTCAAGCTGCCGACCCCCAACGCGCAGCAACCATGTCGAAGGTAGATGCCAAATAAATCAGATAATGCTCTCTACAATGATGGCACTCCTAACATGATCTGCTTTGTTGGGTGTCAGAAAGACATCAACAAGGACATCAACCACAACGTTTACATCACCGTCAACAATGCCGCTGAGGAAGCGAGGACTAGTTGAATATCGGTATCCACAAGGTTGACTCATTCCAAGGCATGATCGCAATAGTCGACTGAGTCCGGACAAATGAGCTCGGATTCATGCGTGAATTCCAGCGACTCAACGTGGCTTGTAGCCGCCGTCGCTTTGTTTGTACGTTTATAAGTCTGAGCTTTCAATATTTCAACTTTGAGAGTGAGAGTGGGTGTCCGGACCATGGCACCTGGCCCCCGAACCCTTGTACTGAGACACATATCCATTCTCATCCGTTTACTCTCGGGGAAGAAACATATCAAAGGAAACATGTGAGCATACCTTATGGTATGGAGATATGAGCTCAAAAAAGGACATCAATTTCAGTGATATAAGCAAAGAACCTTGTTTGAACTGGCCAGCCCAGGGATGACCAGGTTTGGGATACATTGGTAAGTCTTTGTCGAATATAAGCCAAGTTCAAAAAGCTGTTTACTAACTATGCCTTTCAATTTCTAGCTGGTGTCTATGGGGACATGCTCCAAGTAGTCCACCGCTTGGGACCGAACTCGATCCCAAGATCTCAACGGACAATGAATGAGTCACATTTCAAGATTCCCGCTGATATGGACCAAGAGTTCCAGTGCGGAAAAGTGCCATACTAGACTATATCATCCTTCCCTCCGACGGCGTGTCTGGGTGCGGGCTTACCATTGCTGACCAGGGCGCCCGGTTCAACCAGACCATGGAAGCAGACATACATGTATACTCAATAATCAAGATTCAAAGGTCAGACTGTCAAACTGTACATCATAATCGTAAACATAACTCATATTGCAAGCAAGAAATCGTATTGCCGTATTAACATTACGCTCAACATAGAAGCATCATTAACTACCAGACCATCCAGAGCTAGCTCCAGATAACCAGACGAAACCCCACCAAAACAAGTCAGGCACCCTCCAAATCCCCCAAGTACCTAACCCCAGAGTCCAACAACCACCAAGAAACCATCTCATGCATCCACCTCAAAGTAGGCCTCTCCAACGGCAGTTTCCTAACCTCGTCCGCTCTCTTCCACATAACAGTCTCACTACAAAACACAACATTCCTCTCTTCCTCCTGAGACCCGTCCTCTTCATAACTAATCGCCAACCTCCCCTGCACGAAATCCACAGTCTCGACTTTAATCTCAAACTCAACCCGATCCCTGTTCCGCACCACAACGCGATAAGCCCCACAAACCAAATCCCCAACCTTGAAATCCAGTGCGGCAAGATGTCCCGCTTTAAAACTATCCTTCTGCTCCGGCGTCTTACTGGTCATGGCAAGCATAAGCGCCTGCGGGGACCGCGAGAAAGCCTTCATGTTGCGGCGCACGAGTCTTGTGAAGAGCACGTCTGTAGTCTCGCTGTTGGGGAGAGAGGCACGTGGTACAGACTTCGAGGCATGGTCGTAGATTGTGAAGTACTCATCGCCGAAGACAGGTTCTGGGATTGATTCTATAGCTGTTCGTTTGGGGGCTGTGGAGAGGGTTCCGGTGTGGGACTTGTGTGTTATCCGTTTTGATAGGCGGTCATGGCAGATGTAGAAGTAGAGTGCCGAGGAGCTAGTTATTATTGCTGTTGTCGTAAAGACGAGGCGAATCATTTTTGCTTGGAGTTATGAACTGTTGATTCAATGTTGTGATGTTTGGGGGATTTGAGAAGAATGTCAAAGTGGTCGCATCATCGGATACGAGGGCAATACGAGGTTGGCGCGTCATCTGCCTCTACATCATCAATCTGCCAGTTGATATATTTTTCATTACAAATTCTGTTCTGCATGTTAAATCATAAGTTCGAATCTGTGATCTAAAATAAAACAAGTCAAACCCTGCATAACACCCCCAAATTAATGACGTCAAACACAAAGTGGTATCATTCTCAAAACAAAAGCAAAGTAAACAGCTCACTTCCTTGCCCCATTCTGCAAGATAACGACACGGCCACTATTATGCCATTTCGCAAGCTTAGCACCACACTTCCCACAAGAATGCTCAACATCCTTAAGCGATGACATCAAATAAGGGATACAGCCGAGACAGCAACAAAAGCAAAGAATAGCAGCCCAACCACTATTCAAGAAAAGTCAATCACCATTCCAATATACGATCGATGGGATCCAACTTACTGTGTAGTCCCACCGCTGACAGGCTCAACGCGGGTCATCTCCCGCGTTCCACAAACAGGACAGTCAACTGGACACGGCGCAGACTGGACAGCGTGCAACGGGACGGCCGTGACATATCCACTCGGATGGCCGGAGGGCGTGTAGAACTGCTGAGGTTGTGCTTGTGCTTGTTGGTACTCGGGTAGGGGCTGGCCTGAGTATGCCTTCTCGGGAGGAGCAGCCATTGATGTCGTGTCGTAGGTCGGGACTTGACCGATGGAGTCGGGTTGGAAGGGGTATTCTTTTTCTGGGGGGCCGTTTATGGGTGTTGGGGTGTAGCTGGAGCGCAGGGCGTCTGGGAAGGATTGTCCGGTGTGTGAATGGTCGGAAGGTGGGCTCACGGGGCCGTGGGTTGGGTGGTCTGGGAAGACGGCTTCTGGGGCTTCGCTGTATATGGGAACTTGTGCTGGGGTACTTGACGTTGGCGAAGGGTGTCCGGGGTTTCCTGGCATTGTTGCTGTTGACTATGGAGTCTGGGGTATTGGGGGGGAGGGTAGGTGAAATGTTTCACTTTGGTCCAAAAATGGGGGAAGGGTTTTTAAGTGAAATCTAAGTGAAATCTAACAGGACAAGAACACATAAAAATAGTGTAGGATCGTCAAGGGCTAATATGTAAGATGTAAATACAGTGGATACCTGGGGAACCCATGCACTGCCTTGAACAAGATGACCAAGTCTAAGCCGCTCTATTTGTAAAAGACTACAGAAAGGGTGTATGGAGTATTCTAAACAAGGTTTGACAGGAATGCGGCTTATTTTGCGACCAACCTTTATATGTATCAGTTTCACATAAGGGATATGCACTTTATACATCACAAGGGATATGTACTTTATACATCACAAGGGATATGTACTTTATACATAGTATATATATTGCAGAACAATTCTATTGATATTGCTATCACAGTTCATTCTACGTACATAATATATCATAGTCAACCTATAATCAAAATCCATTCCGTATAGCCCCTTGGTTTAAGATTATTACACCCGATGGGGGCGATGATCCTGAACGCCAACCCACACGGCAGTTAGACTAGCGCCGATCAATTCCCATCTGGGCGCCCCTCTATGAGCCTTTCGAGGCTGAGTGGGCTTAGACAAATGCTCCATGCAGGACATATTCGGGATATTTGGCCCCCAATCAAAACATCCCGGGTCCTGCGATAACCATCCTGAGAAAGTGAACTGGACGATTATACCACGAGTTCGTACCTTGCAAAAAGTCTTCCACTATGTATATCTAAAACTGTCCCTTCCTAAGATTATATAAAAACTCACCGGTCGGGGATTGCCTAGGAGTGGTTCGAAGAGCACGGGGTTTACGCCTATAATTAGCCCCCACGCTCACCCGATATACGGAGTAAACCCTATTAAGCTAGTTTAGTGGCTATCAAAGGTTCACCCTAAACTGATTGAGAGAGACCGAAATGAAGCAGACTAGGCGTGTTTAAGCGTTGTATAGGCGCCATATAGGATGCACTTGATCAGACTCAATTTGATCCGATCTGTACCTAGCCAGTTGCTTACTACGCGGAAAAAGGTTCATTGCACTAACACTAAATATTAATCATACGCAAAACAATGTAATATTGATGGAGGGTTCGGAATACGTAGCATTATCTCGATCACTGCGTCACGATCAATGTGGCGACGGCCTTATGAGGCATCATCACTCCCATGAAGGTGGAGTAAAGGGAGGTGGAAGATGCCAGGGAACTGCACCCAGAAGTTGCTCGGCAACGATCCGTCCACTAACGGGATCCCCATTGTCCCCAGAGAGAGCGACGATCGAGCTCTGGAAGAGGAGCTGAAGATCACGGCCGAGCTCATAGAAGACAGTGTCACCGACAGTAAGTGCAGCCTCGGTAAGGCCAGGTATCAGACGAGAAAGCTCTCTAAGCCCATCAAGCACTCGAGGGCGAAGATCAGGGCGAGATTGGAGCTCCATGATCTGGCGCTGTAGAAGCTGGATGAAGTTGTGCCTATCTATGCTATAAACACTACCGGCGGCACAGATAGCCATGGTGAATGGGTGATAGGAGTAATGGAGAGTTAGTACGGATCTGAGACTGAGAGGTTTGTTAGAGATACTGTTGCTTGGTGAGAAGAAGGTATCGAGGTGGGAATCGAGGCTATTTATACAGTTCGAGTAGTCGAGGTCGAATACTTGATGAAGCACCGCTTGGAAGATGTGAACAATAGAAGTATCAAAAATCCTTTGTTTATATCTTGTCTTCTTAGCCCCGGGGTCAATGTAGACACAAAGGCCATGGTGATAAAAAGAACGGAAGAAGCGAGTAGACAAAGCAAAGGACAATAGTTTTTGCAACTATGAAGAACTTTATGAGGCATTGAATGATCATGGCGTGCAACATAGAGTGGGATAGCACCGATCTAATAAGGCTATCCTTGTTAACCTCTGGGCAGCTATGGTATATCCTCTTTCTTCAAGATTACAACTACAGTTAGAACAATATGTCCCAACCCTCAACTCCAAAACAAGGCCTACTAAAGATCAAAAACCGAACTGAACAAGAATCAAAATCGGTTCACGCTAGATGCTATATATCATACACAAACTCCAAAGATTCCAATCAGAAATATTGATACCGAACCTGACCCCCAGAATGATACCCAAGCTGCTCAAAAATCTCCAAAATCTGTCTCCTCCCCGTATCCTTCGCAATAGCAAAAACCGTCTTCTTCCGACCAATCCCCACCTTAAGAAACGGATCCGCTCCATGCTGCACTAAAAGCCTAACCATCTCAGCCTCATCCGACTGAACAGCATTACACAAAGGCGTCTGCCAAGGATACCGCATAAGATCAACAGCTGCACGCCGATCAAGCAACAACCTTGCAACCCTCATATTCCCATTCAACGCCGCCAACGCCAACGCCGTCTCCCCCGTGTTATTAACAGCGTCAATATCAGCCCCGCAGTCCAGCAACAGCTCCACAATCCGGTCCTCCCCGTACGTAGCAGCCTGCGAAAGCGCCGTCTTGCTAACCCCCTTGCCCACATCCACGCTCGCGCCTGAGGCAATCAGAATTCGCACGATGCGGTCGTGGCCGCGTGCCGCGGCGATGGCGAGCGCGGTCTCGCCTTTCATGGCCTGTATGTTCATGTTCGCTCCGTATTCGAGTAGGAGGCGGGTTATGGGTTCGTGACCGAAGGAGACGGCGGCCATTAGGGCTGTTTGGCCATCGGTGTTTTGGGTATTGGCATCGGTGCCCTTGGAGAGAAGGGTTTGGACCATTTGGTGTTGGTTGGCTTTTACGGCGGCTATGAAGGTTTCTTTGGGGCCGTTCGGGTCCCACAACATGTCCCGTAGCATGCGGCTCATTCGGTGGGACTTTTTTGAGCGAATTGGAACTTTGAAGGGGTGGAGGTCTATTGATGGATTGAAGGTCCTTTTCTGTTTCTCAATTGGTACCGTTACCGGTTCTGGGAGGTGCATGTCGGTGTATTGTAGAGTAGTCTCTGTGGAAGCTGGGATGGGGAAGTTTTCGATTGGTAGCGCTTGTTTCTGTGTGTCTGTGGAATCGTGCATGTCCAACATCACTGGTATTGGAAAGTCGTCGACTGGTAGCGCTTGCTTCTGTGTATCTGTATCGTGCATGTCCAACATCACTGGTATTGGAAAGTCGTCGACTGGTAGCGCTTGCTTCTGTGTATCTGTATCGTGCATGTCCAACATCACTGGTATTGGAAAGTCGTCGACTGGTAGCGCTTGCTTCTGTGTATCTGTGGAATCGTGCATGTCCAACATCACTGGTATTGGAAAGTCGTCGACTGGTAGCGCTTGTTTCTGTGTATCTGTGCAATCTTGTATATCCAACCTCTCTGGTATTGGAAAGTCCTCTCTTATTGTCTCTTTTCCCAGATATGGCTGCGCTTGGCTTGAATATGATCTGCGCTTATCTAAAAATGAGAAGCCTTTCGGCGGGAGCGGGAGAAATGGAAGGCCAGCTGGTTCGTCTGATAGCCAGTCATCCTCGTCCAGGCTTCTCTGGCGTTCTAATTCCAGGGTCGGTGCTGGTGCCGTAGACCCACAGACTTCCTCCACTGGAGCCGTGTTCCCATTGTTAACAGGTAGTGGACCATCTGTCTGTATTATCTTTTGAAGCGTCGAGATAACAAAGTCACGGGTCAGAGTCAATAAATCTGAAGCAATACCAGTAGCGACCAACTCCCCCTGCAGCCGAGTCCAAGCTTTAATTTCCTCAAGCTTTGAAGAATCCTTCAAAATGTCAGAAACAACCGAACCATTTCTCTTGTCAGCGCGAATTTCATCGACAAAACGCTTCAGCGCATTCTCAATAATCTTCTGTGATGATCTGTATCAATGTTAAAACTTGGATCAACGCATAGAACATCGGCACGAACACACATCATCATATTCAAATTCACCTCATCAAGCCCACAAATAACCGACGAGAGGCGCGCGCGAATGTCAGAAATCAGACTCTGAGCCCCGAGCGTATCTGGATGTAGCACCAGCTTCTGCAACTCCCCCAGGATGACATGGCATGTCTGCAATCTTTTTTTCAAGACTGTGTAATGGACGCATTCTGCGCCTAGAGAAGAAGTATACGCCTCAGTCGCGCTTAGTCTGCCCAGAAGCAGCCCAAGCTCGTTTTGGGTCTGGTTTGTTAGGGCCGTTGACCCGCGCGTCGACTCATACAGGGAGTCGGTTAGCAGTCGGATTGCGGTGGCTTGGTGGCATGGCTGGTTACCCGCCACTGCTTGTAGAGACATTGTGGATTTGGGGATAAACAATGGGACTAGGCCTGAGGTCCAGTGCCGAGTGCGACATCCAAAAGGGGCCCGTGCAGCCACTTTTGGCCCCATCTGGGGATTTAGTGATTATGTCATAGATGTGAGGTGTCAATGTGTTTTTTAAAGTAAATAAAAGGCAAAGAAAGTCGATTAATTCAATTCAGGGGGGTTATCACGACATGGGAAAGAGAGTGGGAATGGATCGAATCCGATTTGAGATTAGATCCATGTGCGTAGCCAGGGAATGCAGACTACAACCTTCAAATTTCATCTCAACAGGCAAGATCTTCTAAATTAGCCTATCTACTGCTTGTTAGTCTGATTGTGCCTTATTGTCGCCCTCGCAGTATTATTTTTGTCCACGAAGATTAAGCGCCCGCCTTTGTCTCCCTGTCCAAAAACTCGATAAAGGAGTGAATAGAAGGACTCATGGCTTTTGTTCCTTTGTCGGTTCATTGAACAAGCTCTTTGTTCAATTATTCCAGTCAATATCAGCTGGAAAAGGATAAATGGATGGATTCTCCCGTCCCAATATATCTTTCTCATCATCTACAAAAGCCAAAGACTCGAGGTGAACAAACCTACAATTCATACTTCTAATCAATCCCCAGTCTATTTCTTACCAGACAGTCAATATGAGCTCGAATAGATACCCAGGCACGGAAGAGGTTGACGAGATGGACTACGAACAGCGATTCCTCACCGCATGCGCCTGCTTCAAGTCCTGTCTATACGAAGAGTTCCGGTTCCTAGGTCTCGGAGACGGCATCCGCTGCGAGGTCCTTCCAGTCCTCCATAAGCTGGTGAGGCTGCTGGAGGCCATAGTTGTTCTGGGTGAGGAGATGGCACGGTCATGTCCGCACTGTCGCACTGTTCGCATTAGGCCCGAGGACCACTTCTTGGCTGAGTTTGAGCGCCTGTGTCGCGACCGCATCATGGCTCCCTTGATGAAGGCCATTGCTGATCTTGAAGCTGACCAGGCATCGACAGAGCCGAAGACGAGCGTTGACTTTATTGTCGCTTCGGATTTGGATGATATTCGTCCCAGTACCATCTTGCTCTCTGATAAGGCGCTGCCTCTGGATATGAGCTCCTGTGTTCAACTGCAGAATCTTTCTCGTCCTTGAGGTTCTTTTCGTTTATTTACTTGCTTCGTTATTGAATAAACCAGATGTATCCGCTTGACTTTTCTTCCACTGTAGACCTCCATCCTGTATCATATAGACCTTGTTTTGTGTTTTGAATCCTCATACACTTAGACTCAAAACTTGAGATATAGGCTTTCTTGTATTTGCTCAAGCCCTGACGCTACAGCACGAGCTATTTCGTGTATACCCCGGTAGAAAGTCTACAATAAGCCTTTTCAAAATAGTTGCCCTAGCTCCAAGTCGCTACCCAGCTCCAATAAACCTTCATATTCTGGACTCATAGGCATATTAACATGAATCACAAGGACAGGACTGCAGGGGTTTTGCATGGTAATATGTCGACATGAGGTTGTAAAAGGCAGACCCGGTAGAGAATTTTCATCCCCTTGGCGTACTTAGCTCCAATAGAAAAACACAATATACTGGCGGTTTTCGCCTTCAAGGGATAATACATGAGCCACGAGTCTGGACTAAACTAGGATCAAATTACACATGTCTCAATTTGCAGTTCCAGGCCATGGACCGAGCACTTTTGAAAAAAAAAGTATTATACAAGCCCCTGTGCCTTAGCGGGTACCTACATAGTGTCACTGATATAAATATAATCCGGTGAGAAAATACGACCAAATGCAGTCCGAGATACCTACTCCGGAGCTTCGCACGAAATTTGCCGCTACGTCATGGATTTGATTTTTCGTAGGCTCAGAACCCGAAGAGTCTGGTCTTTATTCTCTCAAAAACAATGTTATAACTTAGTATGTGTGCCTGAAAATAGCTCTGTACCTGGCGGATCCGTTCCCGCTCCACATCCCCACTGGAGCTCGAAGTCCAGTCCATATGCCTTGCCTAGATATTACATGCATATGCATTTGAGGAAATAAACTGGAAAGACAAAAAAGACAAAACCAAATTTTCAGAAGGACAAAGCGTTGAGGGGTTGATGTCACATGGTCCCCGCTGGGTTTCCTTGATCTGGGCCTCTCCACCTCCAGCTCTCCCCACCAGATATGTCTTCTACAACTGACAGCTCGAATATTCCCAATGATGGCACGGGTGAGCTTGTATTTACTAGGTTCAAAGGACATCTCAATTCTAATCAAAAAAAAAATAGGTGTTATCCAGCTGGATCCTTGGCTGGAGCCCCATCGCGATGTCTTGAAACACAGATACCAGGTAGTCGAGACATGGGCCAAGACCATCAATGAGACAGAGGGTGGCTTGGACAAGTTCAGCAAGGTGAATTGATCTCCATTGATTGCTTTCCCATGTACTAATGCACTTATCAGGGCTACGAAACCTTCGGACTCCATGCGCAACCTAACGGAGACATCAAATACCAAGAATGGGCACCCAACGCCAAAGAGGCCTCTTTGGTTGGCGAGTTTAGTACGTTATGTACTGATCATATTTGAGGAGCATGAACTGAGACTGGCAGACAACTGGGATGTCAACGCCAACCCCATGACGAGGAACAGCTTCGGCATCTGGGATGTAACGGTACCGGCGAAGAACGGTGCTGCCGCTATTCCCCACGATAGCAAGATCAAGGTAAGCACATCAACCCGCATAATAGAGCACTCCCACTAAGAACTCCGACAGATCACAATGGTGCTCCCCACCGGCGAGCGCATCTACCGACTCCCCGCTTGGATCAAGCGCGTGGTCCAAGACCTGAGCGTGTCGCCTGCATACGATGCCGTTTTCTGGAACCCTCCTGCGGAAGAGGCTTACAAGTTCCAGCATGCGCGGCCCAAGAAGCCCAAGAGTCTGCGCATCTACGAGGCGCACGTCGGCATCTCGTCGCCGGAAACTAGGGTCGCTACATACAAGGAGTTTACAAAGAACATGCTGCCTCGCATTAAGTACCTAGGATACAATGCAATCCAGCTAATGGCCATCATGGAGCATGCTTACTATGCTAGCTTCGGGTATCAGGTGAACAACTTCTTCGCGGCGAGCAGTCGCTATGGATCCCCAGAGGATCTGAAGGAGCTTGTTGATACCGCTCACAGCATGGGCCTGACTGTGCTGCTCGATGTGGTTCACAGCCATGCCTCCAAGAACGTCATTGATGGACTCAATGAGTTCGATGGAACGGACCACCAATACTTCCACGGCGGCGCCAAGGGCCGTCATGAGCTGTGGGACAGCCGTCTGTTCAATTATGGCAGCCACGAGGTGCTGCGTTTCCTTTTGAGTAATCTGCGCTTCTGGATGGAAGAGTATGGATTCGATGGATACCGCTTCGATGGTGTGACCAGCATGCTCTATACGCACCATGGTATCGGAACGTACGTGCATTTCTCTACTATCCTTTAGAAGCCCGCTAACTGAAAGAAACAGTGGCTTCTCCGGTGGATACCACGAGTACTTCGGGCCATCCGTCGACGAGGAGGGCCTCACATACCTCACCCTCGCCAACCAGATGCTGCACGAACTCTACCCAGAGTGCATCACAGTCGCAGAGGATGTCTCGGGCATGCCCGCACTGTGTCTACCCCACGCACTCGGCGGTTCCGGCTTCGATTACCGTCTCGCAATGGCCGTCCCAGACATGTGGATCAAGCTGTTGAAGGAAAGCACAGATGACGAGTGGGACATGGCCAACATCTCCTTCACACTCACCAACCGTCGCCATGGCGAGAAGACCATTGCCTACGCCGAGAGTCACGACCAAGCGTAAGCCAAATCTCCCACCATCCCCATCCAACCAACCAACTAACACACAACCCCACAGCCTCGTCGGCGACAAGTCCCTAATGATGTGGCTCTGCGACAAAGAGATGTACACACACATGTCCACTCTAACCGAGTTCACCCCCGTAATCGAGCGCGGCATGGCCCTACACAAAATGATCCGCCTAGTAACACACGCCCTCGGCGGCGAGGGCTACCTAAACTTCGAAGGCAACGAATTCGGCCACCCCGAATGGCTCGACTTCCCCCGCGCCGGCAACGACAACTCCTTCTGGTACGCACGTCGCCAGCTAAATCTAACCGAAGACCCTCTTCTGCGGTACCACTTCCTGAACGACTTCGACCGCGGGATGCAGCTCACCGAGCAGAAGTACGGATGGCTCTCTGCGCCGCAGGCGTATATCAGTTTGAAGAACGAGAGCGACAAGGTACTTGTCTTTGAGAGGGCTGGGCTGCTTTGGATCTTCAATTTCAACTCCAAGCAGAGCTTCACCGATTACCGTGTTGGTGTTGATGTTCCCGGTACCTACCGCATTGTTCTTGATACGGATGAGAAGGAGTTTGGTGGGCTTGGACGAAATGTTAAGGAGACGCGCTTCTTTACTACCGACATGGAGTGGAATGGACGGGGGAATTTCGTGCAGGTTTATATTCCTACAAGGACTGCTTTGGTATGTGTCTTCCCCTTCTTCCCTTGTTTTGGTCTGGTTTACTGACTTTCTGCGTTCTTACAGGTCCTTGCTCTGGAAAATACCCTGTAATGTGAACGCCAATCCATATCTGTGTCTTTCACGCAGCCGAGTCGAAGATTGAGCGTCCCGTGCTAGTTAATCCTGGCATTGAGTGTTTGTTCTTCGCTAGTTCTTCGCTAGTGTGGCGTGATTTGACCTGACTTCGTCATTGTGTAATGTCCTGCATTTTGTTCCTAATCACAGCTATAACTATCTACCTCTAGTAGTCTCATATCATATACATTGTTTTTTAACGCATTTTGCATTATAGACTAGACAGGGCTTTTTAAGATGTTGTGTTTCACGACTTCTGTATAGACACCATCGAGAGAGAGATCACATTGAGTTTGGAAAAAGCCTATAGCGTAAAGGATAATGATCAGACCTACGAGCTACAGACAAGACCAGTCGAATGGTCAAGTTGGCAGCGGTATAGGTACGAACGTACCTCACCCCATCTCCACTACATTACATCTACAGCATACCCAAAACCAGGACGCCATCACAAAGGAAATGTCGAGAATCAGGTTTTGAACTCTAAATACACAAAATAATGAAACAGGCCGGTCGAGGGGGGGTTGTGTAAGGTATCTCTCCAATCCAGACCGGCTTTAAAATCCCATCAACGCTAAGATAGAACGCATCACCTTCCCCCCCCAACCACCAAAAAACCCCCCAAACCATTTCCCTCAATCCCAAACACCACGATTCAGCTCTCAGTAAAACCCAACACTTCATATTCCCTTGCTCGGGTTCCTTTCGGAGCGAGTCTAGAAAGAACCCCCGGTGATCTCCGACGTTGACGCGACGACCATGCAGAAAGAAAAGTGAAATCAAATCCCTTTATTGTTGCATTGGTTTTTCTCCCTTGGGTAATGTACATGGTAATATACACGCCTCGAACAGGGAAATAATGTTGTCGCGTACAACGTTGGAACATTTTGGGTGTTCTGACAAAGGGAATTAAATGGAAGGAGACACAAGAGAGAATAGGTGAGGGAAAGAGAGGGAAAAAGGAACAAGGAGCTTGAAGATGGAGGGGAAGTTAAGACGGCGCTAGCTAGCAAATGACAAAATTACATTTAGGCCTTGTTCTCAAGCTCAGCCAGAATCTTCTCACCCTTAGCGCGAGCAGCGTTGATGTCACCAACCATGTAGAAGGCGGCCTCGGGGAGGTCGTCACCCTCACCAGCAATGATGGCCTTGAAGGAGGAAATGGTGTCCTTCAAGTCAACAAGGGTACCCTCGATACCAGTGAAGACCTGGGCGACGGCGAAGGGCTGGGACAGGAAACGCTGGAGCTTACGGGCACGCTCGACGGTGAGCTTATCAGCCTCGGACAACTCATCCATACCGAGAATGGCAATGATATCCTGGAGGGACTTGTACTCCTGGAGCATCTGCTGGACACGGGTGGCGGTGTTGTAGTGCTCGTCACCGATGATACGGGGGTCGAGCATACGGGACTTGGAGTCAAGGGGATCGACAGCGGGGTAGATACCCAACTCGGAGATACCACGGGACAACACAGTGGTGGCGTCCAAGTGAGCGAAGGTGGTAGCGGGGGCAGGATCAGTCAGATCGTCAGCGGGCACGTAGACGGCCTGGACGGAGGTGATGGAACCCTTCTGGGTGGTGGTGATACGCTCCTGCATGACACCCATGTCAACAGCCAGGGTAGGCTGGTAACCGACGGCAGAGGGGATACGACCGAGAAGGGCAGACACCTCGGAACCGGCCTGGGTGAAACGGAAAATGTTGTCAATGAAGAGCAGCACATCCTGACCCTCCTCATCACGGAAGTACTCAGCAATGGTCAGACCAGTGAGGGCAACACGGGCACGGGCACCGGGGGGCTCGTTCATCTGACCGAACACAAGGGCGACCTTGGAATCACCCTCAAGCTGGATGACACCGGTCTCCTGCATCTCGTGGTACAGATCGTTACCCTCACGGGTACGCTCACCGACACCACAGAACACGGAGTAACCACCGTGGGCCTTGGCAATGTTGTTCTAGAAGGTCAAAAAGCATAAGCATTTGATGCTAATCCCAAGGGGGAAAATATGGGAGGGGGGTGAATCCTTACAATCAGCTCCTGAATGAACACGGTCTTACCGACACCGGCACCACCGAACAGACCAATCTTACCACCACGGGCGTAGGGGGCGAGCAAGTCGACAACCTTGATACCGGTGACGAGAATCTCGGCAGAGGTGGACTGGTCGACGAACGCAGGGGGATCGGCGTGAATGGGAGCGAACTTGGTGGCATTGACGGGACCACGCTCATCAATGGGGTCACCAGTGACGTTGATGATACGGCCGAGAGTGGCAGGGCCGACGGGGATGGTGATGGGAGCACCAGTATCAGTGGCAACGACACCACGGGAGAGACCCTCGGTACCTTCACATAAGCGTTAGTTGAAGCTCTAATATACGGTCGGGTGCACGGTGGGTCCCCCAATCGGGTAGGGAACGACACGGTGGCCCAAGAAAGGGGGATGAAGGGGGATGAAGCTTACCGTCCATGGCAATAGTACGGACGACATTCTCACCCAAGTGTTGCTATAATGCCATTGTTAGCTTTGCGATTTTGGATCAAGGTTTCAGCCAATGAGATCACGTACAGCAACCTCCAGAACGAGCTTCTGGCCGTTGTTGGTGGTGGTGATGGCGTTGTAAATGGCAGGGAGCTTCTCGCCGCTGAACTTCACTGTAAGATGGCGAATAGAAAGTCAGATACGGTTTTGTTGATGATTTTGGGGTTGATTTCGATGGTTTCGGTGATGGATTGGGTCCAGGGAAAAGATTTTCGCGAGGTCCCATTTCCGTCAGGAGTCGACAACACGTACCGTCAACGACGGCACCAATGACCTGGTGAACCTTTCCGGTCAAGGAAGCATCGGAGCTAGCGAAACGGGCAAGAGCCGGGAGAGCATTGGAGCGGATGGGCTGGAAGGCGCGGGCGACGGGGGTCGTCCGGGCAAAAGCAGCCCTCCCAAAGGACCGGGCGAGACCGCTAAAGAAATTAAAAATTAGTTTTCAAAATGAATAAGAAAGTAAGATTTCCTAGAATCATACCTCTTGAACATAATGACGGTGTTGAAGAGTGTGATGAAGGGGAGAGGTGAGGTTGGAACGGGAAAAGAGGGAAGAAGAGGAAGGGAAGAGGTTGGTGGATGGGGACTGGTCGCCCTTAGCCTTTCCGGGGCGGTTTTGCCGACAGATCCCGTGATGAACCGAGCACCAACTTGAGCTTTCTACAATGTAAAAGAGCTTAATTTTCTTATTTAGAATAATTTTTATATATAAATTATGGTCTTCATCGTTTTGAATTATCCATTGTCACTAATATTTCATGGTGAGGTGGTGGCCGAGGAAGCTCAGCCCGTTGCCCTGGAATTCACGCACACACACCGGGGCTTGGCGGCCGGGTGCAGGGAACCACCTACGGGTTTTTCTCTAAATGACATCTTTCGGAGAAACTTAGGTATATAAAGGGAAGTAAGCTGTCTAACGGTCAAAAGACCATATATCATGAAGTCCAATGGCCCTTTGGTCCGAATATATCCATCGGAAAATCTCTGACGTGTTGGGTCAACCCGTTCCGCGTAAGAATATACAACTTATGGAATTTATAAACTTATACTATATTTGAAGCTAGTATTATGCTCATATTCATTATGCTCATTATAATTAAAATCCGGATTATGATCTATAATTCCATTCTATTTCCCATCTCCATAGAAACCCTTAGTATTCTCTCAAAATCGTAGTCCCGCAGGGATTCTCCGCACTTACGTTGCTTCCGAATCACTCCGTAGACCACGCCATCCCGACAGGGGGAAACACATACTACATCCTTTATAGAGTCAATCCAAAACACATTCTCTATGGCTACAAAAGAGATACATTGATTATAGCACAGTACGGGATACACGCATTTTCGAATGCTTGCCAAAAAGGATAGAATGGGGGAACAGACGACAGCTGCGCGCACGGGAGGCCCATCCTCCGATACAAAGACATGCTGAACATGGCTATGGAAAGAGCTTGGAATAAAAACGACTTCAAGGTCGTGCGATGGATGCCATCCGTCCTGCGTAGATATCAAATCATTCCCGGTCGGGCGATCGGTACATCTATGACTTCTCAAGAGGAGGGCTCTGGACGAAGCCCTTGCCTTCGTAACCCTCTTTGCTGATTCCGTGGATGGGGTTGATCTTCTCTTTCTGTAGTCGGATAGGTTAGCATCGTCCAAGTTGGCTGGGGCAGAGACTTCTCCCGACGGCGGTCGGAAAGGGCGGGAGGGATATATATGTACCAGAGCATATTCGTTGGAGGCCTCCTGCCACTCCTTGGACATAGTGGCGGGCTGCTTGCCGGCAAAGGAGTGGATGCCGTAGAAGACGGCAACGGAAACGGCAGTGAGCTGAAGCACCTTGGAAAGCACGCGCCAGCCCTCACCCTTGGGGGCCTGGGCGCGGGGGCCGTGGGCGCCGAAGGCAATGTAGTAAGCTACAAAGAAGAGAATTGATGTCAGCGAGAGAAAAAAAAAAAAGCCTACTTGTAAAGACAATTGTGGAGGTTCGAGGAATCGGGCCATCCCGAGACAGATAACCTCGGAAGCCTCAGGGTAATCGAAGCGAGAGGCTATCTTTCAAGCACACCCGTTCTAGAAATAGCACGTACCGGCCTTCTTCTCCTGCAGGGTCATCTGGTGCCAGTCGACCTTCATGCGGTCACGGAGCTGCATCCAGAGCTCGGCCTGCTCCTGAGGGGGCATGACCTCCCAGCGCTTCTCGATGTTGGCGAGGGTAGGGTTGGGGATAGCATGGTCCGAAGCAGCGCGGGTCTGCAGGGCGTTCACAGCAGGGGCACGGATGGCCGCGGTGCTGCGAGGGACAGCGCGAGAGACGGTGCGAAGAAACATTGTGCGGCAGGCGGGAGGTGGAAGCACCACGTCGAAATGAGGTTCAATTGAGGTAATTAGAGTGGGGTCGGGGGTCTAAAAGCCAGAGAGCACGCCAGGGCACGGCTTAGGAGAGAGTGGAGGAGGGTCGTGGATGGAGATATGACTTGAAGACGTTTCTTGTGGTTTGAGGTGGAAAGGCGAGGAGCCGGTCGGGACTAGTGCGGTTTGGGTTTGGCCGCCTCCTCATTGGCTCATCGCCCAAACCGGCTCTTCTCTACCAGTGAGCATCATCATTTCAGCCATATGGCATGATGTTATTATTTGATATCTTTTGAGAGTATGATATATTTTTTGTCTCTTATTTTGACCGTTATTATATCTTTATTCGCGAAGTTCCCCTGTTTCAACCAGTCGCTCAAGTCTCTTAATGTCGTCGGAATCTTTACCCACCTAGAAACTTAGCCCAGTCAAGCAACAACCTTTGCAGCAAAAGCCAGAACTTACCCAGTTGCTTGATTATTCTACATTCAACAGCATGCTAGTCGAGACTTTCTCACCCACCATGTGTAATATAACCAACAGACAGGAAGATTATATGCCCGATTAACCAAATATCCTCATCCAGAGGGAAACCATTCAGAACAATTGGAACAAGCTGGAAGTGAAATCAAAAAGACTCTTCAGGCATCTCGCGAAATGAAACAAACACGGGCCAAGTCGTAACGGTCTTGCATTGCAACTAAGAAAATGGGAGAACGGTGTGCAGAGAAGGTTATGAATTTGATCGTTCCGCGGCGCCGTCAAGGGCGCACCCCTGTCAGCCGCGCAGCCCGGATCCAGCCGGCGCTATCATTTATGCCTTGCCACCGCTGGCCTCCTTCAGGACTGTCTTCCACTCGATATCGGACTTGTCATCGGCGTGGATGGAAGTGACGACGTTGAGGGCGTTCTTGAGAACCTCGCGGGTGCTGGCGTAGATCATGGACCACTAGAAATGAGATGAGTTATTGCGGATCAGCCTGGGGTCTGGTTGGGAATCTTACGAGAGTGGGGGTCTCGCTAGGCACCCAGGAGATGAAGATAATCTTGCTTCTGTGAGAATAATCAGGTCAGCGGGGGGGGAACTTGTGAATTGCGATTGTAGGAATGCGCACCTCTTTCCCTCGCCGGGGATCTCGTACTCGACGTCGTAGACGGCGTAGCGGGGGGAGGCGCGGCCCTGGCTGTCCTTGGCATCGGCGAGCTCGTTGCGGAAGACCTCGTAGTCCTGGTCCTTGCCGACTGAGTCTACGACAACCGACTTCTTGTCGTCGGCAATCTTGTAGATGATGTACTTGGTCTTGCCGTGGCTTCGGCTGAAGTCTTGGAAGGTAGTGATGCAGTCATCATGAATTTGGACACTGTAGGGGGCACATTGTCAATAAATGGTGAAAGTGAGGGGAAACCAGTTGCAAGCGCGGGAACCGACGACTTACCCGGATGCGAGCTGCGCGATATCATAGTCAGTACTGAGTGTTGTAAAGCATGAGTTTGAGTGCGAATACTAACCGACATGATGGCTTATGTAGATGAGGGAGACAAAAAAAGGACGGGCTGTCAACTATGTCAGTGGCTGAGATGGCAAAACTCAGGGGGTTCCCCGAGCTTCTCGAGTTGACCTGAGATGTCCAAGTAACATGCACTCCAATGACTTACAGGAATTGAAGGAGGCGGAGATCAAGGGAGACGGGTGAAACGGGGAAGATGGAGTTTGAGGGGTGAATAGTTTCCCAGGTGTTGCCATGGCCATAGTGGGGGTGGCTGCACGTGATATCAGACTTTTGATAATTTAAGTGCTTGGTACTTGTTTACAACTGGAGTGACATGTTGGGAATTGATCTAATAGGCTTTATTTTTAGGATTTCTTGACATTTCCGAGGATGTTGGGGGTTTTGACTTGAAAATGACATCTAGTGTCTGGTATATCTTCATATTCAACAATATTTAGGTTTCTTCACGAGTATTTCTTTGTACATCGAAGTACTAGGTACTTATAATAGTACATGTTCGAAATCATAGCTGCATAATATGTACATCCCTCTGCTTTTATGAGCCTCTCCAATGTGGGTGCGAGCTAAAATTGGCTGGTTCAACCATGGGACACGTCAGTGGCTATTTTTGTCTTGGCCCACCTATCTACTCCGTATATCTAAAGGATTTACTGCATCTGCCTATGTCGTAGGTAGTTGTTTTATTGCCTACATTTGTAATCATCGATACCTAGGTACATATGTAGGTACCCACATAAATATATAACGCGTAACGAATATAGCTTCATACCAAACCGAACCAATATATATATATATTAAACGAAAGAAAAAAAAGATATATCACATCCGACAAATTCATTTCTCATTCCTTAATGGATCCAAGATCAAGACTAGATACATAAAATTAAACCACCTAAACCTTCGCCGCCGGCGCAAACCTAGCTCTCATCTTATCCGCCACAGCCTTCTCATCATAAATAAAATTAACACTCTCATGCGCAGCCGTCGCCTCAGCCCAGCGCTTAAACCTCGGAGCCTGCTCTAGCAAAGTAGTCAACTTAGCGGAAACAAGACCATGTTCAGGCTTCGCGAAGCTCAAAATTCTCAACACGAACGAGCCTGACTGAACCTCCGCCAGTGTCAATCGATCACTACCACCAAAGAACGGGCCCTGGCCATCCGTGTCTTCAAGGAGGGGTTCGACCTCCTTCACGATACCAGCAACCAGCTGCTCGGCGGCGGCATCGCGCTCGGTCTCATCGGCGGCGCGGATACTGGCGAATAAATGGGGCACGACTTTGGTGAAGAAGGCATCGACGAAGAAGGCGACACGCGCGCGGTAGAGGGCGTTTGCGGTTGATGTAGAGGGGGGTAGCAGGTGGGTTTGGTGTGCGTCTGCGATGAATTGGGCTACGATGCCGGATTCGGTTATTATGACTCCGTTGTAGGAGATGGTGGGGACGAGGCCGCGCTGTTGGGGCTGTTAGTATATAGTTTACTAGTGTATGATGTGTAGTATGCACAGATGGTGGGTGTGGGGAAGAGCGACTGTCACTTACTGGGTTGATCTCCAGATACCACGGCTCACGCGGCTTGTTCAGGTCGATTGTGACTTCTTCATAGCTGAGGCCGCTTTCCTTGAGGGCGATGTGTGCGCGGTGGGCCCATGGACACAGGTGGTTGGTATAGAGGATGATCTTTGGGGAGGACATTATGGATTGTGTTTATTATGTGGGAGAGGATAGGGAAGGAAGTTATATAGAGAAAGACACGCCATTATAAAAGACATTACGAAATTGAGGGGGTGGATTAGTCAAATTGGATTGTTAATGGACCGAAATCCGTAAACTCCGTTTCCGGGTAAAGGAGGGACAGACATGGAATATTGGATTATCAATCTGAAATAATAGATTATTGCACCTTAATTAAGGTTCTTGGATAAATTGGTCTATGTACATACATTAAAGTGTGCACTGTATGTATCCGATATCTGACCTTCGGCGATCGGGGTATAGAAGTCAGTGACCGATATGTAGCACGTAAAAAGACCGGAGATGTGCTCTAGGAGCAAAAAAAGCACATTGTCCGAGTCCGATGCGCCAGCGACCGGTTCCACACGAATCAAATGGAAGAAGATAATTCAAAAAGGCAAAAGAAAAGACGAAATGACCGTCATAAAATGGGGGGTATATCAAATACGAGTATAAAATGAGCATTGAGCCGATCGCTAATATCGTTCGGGGGGTATGGCCAGCCAAGGTGTAAAATGTACCGGAAGACGGAAGGATCATGAGCACGCTGTCGTCAAGACGTAATTTTGCATGAAAACCGAGAATTAAGAACCGTGCTCAAACTTGCTCGTCTTCCTGGCCGCCATCGATGATCTTGTGCCAGTGCTGCGGTAGACAAATACAGACCAAGGGGAAGGCCTTGATCTCACCTGACGGCATCGGCGACGAAGCACCATGCATACGCGAGCCATTCGAGACACCACTGTCGCGTTGCTCGCGGTAATTCAGGTCTTGGTCCTCGGCACGCTCGGGAAGTCGCACACCCGTGGCCCAGCCATCGTCCCAGATGCCAATCACCCTTAACATCTCACCTCGGTCGAGTTCGAATTCGTCGCCCGCTCGTGGGGAGTACGCCCACAGGACAGCAACTTTGTCGCCAGCGTGAATCTCATCTGAAGAGTAGTAGTCGCGGAAATACGACAGCTGCTCCGATCGACCACTGGTTACTGCTTCGGGGGAAGAGTATTGATTTGTCGGGCCGGATCGAGGTGAGCTGTCGCTTTCTAGTCCTGCCAGAAACGAGTTGCTCGAGAGTGAGCCATGACGTTTCCCTGTCACTGGTGGAATGCTCTTGGACATGGCTCCTGGACTGGCGCCCATGCCTTCTGAGTCTGACGTGTCGCTGTACTTGGCCCCACCACCGTACATAGCTGCTGAGGTACGCGAATAGGCGGGCGATGAACTGGGCATTTCGCGCAGTGCAGACATCCGTGTGACTCGGCCTCCTGGGACCATATTGTATGACGTTGGGCTTGGGGGCTGCTGCATTGACGGCGATCCACCCTTTCTTTGCGGGTTTGGTTGGTTGAGAGCAGCCTCGTTCTGGTTTTCACGACGGCGGCGGCGCATGAAAATACAGAGGAAGGCGATGAGAGCACCTAGAATGGCGGCTCCTACAACGGCACCAATTACGATCCCAGCAATTGCGCCGCCCGACAAGCCATGGCTAGAATCTCCAGTGGCGGAAGGCGAGGGCGTGAGAGGTGGTAGAGTGACAGTCGGTACTGGGACACCGTCACAGCGACTCGCGGCGTTGGATTTCGTGCAGCAGCTATCGGTGCCGTTGGCACAGAAAGTGCAGAGACCAATGGTATTTGTCGCAAAGCCACAGTTGTCAGGCTCATTCGCAGCTCCCTTTACACAATCTCCAGAAAGGGCGTCGGATGGTTTTTCGCAGATGGTCAATTCGGCGTAGATTAGGTCCGTGTAGTCCTTGTCGCTTTTATCGCATAAGTCTGTGTTGGCCATGGTCTCCTGCTCACTTCGGGCCCAAAGTGCGCATGTGTCGACGCAAATTGGTAAGGAGTCGTCCGTGGAAAGTTTACAGTCGGATATGGAGCTTTGCACAACACTGCTGCACAAAACACTGGTTGTATACTGGGCATAGTAGTTGTTTGGCGCACTCGTATTGAGGCCTTGACATCCTAGTAAGTCGTCATACCTGGGAGCGTCTGTTAGTGACTCTTCTCCCGGTCCATTGGTGCCAACACGTACTTGGTCGAGATGTATGACCCACGGACATAATCCTTTAATGAATTATCGAAATCTGTCACATTCGATACGCCTTTAAGGAAAGGGCTAACAGCGCACTGTCAGCAATCAATTTTTCCATGCTTAATCGGGCGCGGTTCCACTCACAAGCTCGCATATAAACTGGAACTAGTTGAAATGGATGAGCTACTCCAGGCGGGACAGGCACTTGACCCTGACAGTGAAATGCAAGAGTTCGACATGTCGGGCAAAATGGGCGGTCTGGCCTTATAAATGGACCCCTTTGGGTTATATCGCGGAATGTGTCAATTGCGATCGAGAATGTCCCAGGCGTGCGAATCGGATATTCGAAGAGATGGATAGAACGGTCGACCCCAGGCCGAGACTCAAGCTCAAGAAGAAGAGAAAAAAAAACGCGTCAAAGGTAAACGAGTGACTCGGGTTCTGAATGCCCGGAAGGAAAGGTCAACCGAGCCCCGTAGGCGCTCTGGATTCGAAAATTTTCGAAAAGGAAAGAGAAGATGACAAGACGAAGTTCTAAGATTGGAAAGACAATCTTCAAGATGGTCTGGGCTTGGTGGATAACAGGGGGAGATGAACCACTGGGAAACGGGCAGGAATTATGAAACAGGCACCGGCTGTACAGTACACAGGTACAGACACGCTAAACTCAATCTTGTTTCTTACATATAAAGGCCTTGGGAGTTATACGGAGTAGAGATATGAGAAAAGGGGGTGGGGGGAAGTTATCCCGTGTTTACCTTTTCTCTCTCTTTATTCTCCGGACCCTTTTAGGTATCAAAGTTCAATTTGGACTGAGATTCTACATGTATCTTGTACAGAGTATTCCGTACGGAGTATAAATATAAAGCCAATTATAATTGGCAATGGCTGTTCTTATTGTCAGATTCTGACCGGTTCCTCGTAACCTGTTAGCGGCTAAGGACGATCGTTATCACCTGGAAAACTCGGCAATACCAGGCTTTTCTGGGGCTTCAGATTATTTTCCGAATTACCTTACCTCTTGCACTTGCATCCTGCATACAATTTAGCAATCGATATAGCACATTTCAACGTTATATGTGAGCTATCGGGCGAGAACGCGAGGGGGCTCGAATCGCACTTACAGGATATGGAGTACAGGGTACCTCCTTACAAGCGGCAGGTACCAGGCAGCTGCATGTACCAGGTACATACATATAGTACGTGTGAGTCAAAACTGCCACCCCCCCCCCCCCGCTTCGGTAGACATCTGACAAGTCTGATTTCTACTCTGTACAGATCATTAAATTAGTAGTATGTTAACCTTGCTTTGAACAGGTAGAAAGTACATATTGTAGAAAGCCATATAGTATATTGAAGGTCGCTGTGGTACAATGTAGGGCTCTGGAAGATTATAGTCAGGTGACCACTGACATCATCTGATTTGGACCACCAGGCTGCCGTGAGACATGCGACTCGTCCAAACTTTGGAAAACCTCCAACCATTGCAAACTTCCCTAGATACCACTCACATTTTTTATCAGATCGCAGAGACACCGCCATGTGCAGCTCCGACATTTTCCTAGCGGTACTCGCCGTCTTCTTCCCACCTATCGCAGGTAAGACCAAACCTGCATACCAACACACCCACACTAGGGCTCAATGCTAATCAAACCCCTGCATCTACAGTCTGGGTCAAATCTGGATTCTGCTCTGCAGACTCGATTATCAACATAACCCTCACTCTACTCTGCTTCTTCCCAGGCCTCATCCACGCATGGTACATCATCCTCAAGTACCCGGAACAAAACGATGACGAAGTAGCCTACGAGCCCATCCCCGGTGGTGGGAGTCGACGTCGTGATCTAGAAAACGGAAACGTTACATACTACTATGTCTCACACCAACAGCAACATCCCCCTCAGCGTGGATATGGCACAGTTGACAACCACGGCCAGCAGGCGCCCGGTCCGGCGAACAAGCAAAACAACCACACCGAAGAAAGTGGACATGCCGGGAGCAGCAGCGCCCCCTCCACCAACTTATGCTGAGGCTGTGAAGGGTGACAATAAGCTGCAGAATCATGATTAAGAATGAGACTGGGCTCCTTGGCTGTTACTTGAGGGTGACGTCCTCGGCTTGCCATTGTCTCATCGGTCACTTTGATCCCGACCATGTTGTATTATCCATACCCCCTCCGCTTTGCTGTTCTTGTACACGCAATTCTCAAGAACTGCATCGTTATGCTATGACTTTGATGAAGGAATGTTCTATGTAATTCTGAATTTTTGATTTTGTTCACTGGTTTCTGGTTATGTATTTTTTTCGACTGTATGTTCTTTACAAGGCGTGATTCTATACGAACACTTTTTATCCTAGCCTTGGGAGGCATTCGGCACTGAATAGGCCTTTGGTTCGACAAGTCCTAGATATAAAAGCTCTTTCTAGTGCTACGTAGTGTCAAGCCTCGGTACTCGGAAGTTCTTAGCTTGGCCAAATCTTGTGGATTGCCTAGGCTTTTAGCCTCTCCTATGTACTGTGTAAATAATAGCGAAGCGTATGATCCGGAAAATATTGCCCCAAAGACAAAGCTAGCCACTGGCGGCGCTCTATCTGGTATTTGGGCGATGGTTTATTTCCGCCAGGCGTCAAGTTTGACAACTTGGTCTTTAGGGTCACCAACATTCGATGATGAAATTGATGGATCTGATGATTTTGGTGACAGGAACGATTGATCAGGAGACTCATGAACTCAGATGACCTATACTAGGTCAGTTATGGCCTCTTGGGGGTACTTTCTATTCCGAATAACATACCAGCTATATCTACATGGAATGGCAGATATACTTATATGGTCACCATAAAAGACACTATTTATACCATTTAAATAAGTATTCTTTGTCTTTTTTTTTTTGGCACTTCAGACCAAATCTGGGGGAAGTTAGGGGAAACAATTTCACTAGATCCAGAACATTAAATACTGACCAAATATATGAACAATAACATTTCAAGACTATATTCGTAGAACATTGAAATTCGCTACACAGCAATCTGATAAGACTGTCGGAGGCCAAAGTCCCGTCCCGAGATGATCCTCATCCTCTCTTTGCACCACCACCACTTCCTGCCACGAGCCTGTGGCCCTTGTTTTGGCCATGCAGTCTATGCCACAACTGCTCAGGCAATCACTTCGGTCAAGCCTACAACTCACAAGCACCTCCCCAGCACGAGCGCACTTCCGCCCTGCATTCTCCGTCAACAGACCGACTCCGCGGAGCTTCTCCGCCTGCGTACAATGCCAATTCCGCCGACAGCCGACCACATACTTGGCCTACAATGACCGAGAAAAGTTCTCCGCTGACACCGAGAGGTTAATCAGGGAAAAGGAGAAGGAACTCGCCGAGCAGGAACTCGCTAAGCAGGAGCTCGCTTCCCGCGACCCGGCCCCGATCCCGGGTGTGGAGGCGGGCAGTTCTGGCGATTCGGTTCCTCCTGCCACAGAGACCGATCAGACCACTGCACCACCACAAACGAAGGAGAATGAAAAAGAGCAGTCCATTTCACAGGAGGAAGAAGCTAGTGCCGGCGCGAGGAGCGGAGGTCTGCCCTCGTACTTGGAAAGCCGTCGATCAAAATGGTCTAAGCAGTTCAGCACAGTGATGGACAATCTGCAATCCAATGTTTTCGTAGCGGGTCAGCGTTTAAATGACCTGACTGGATACTCCAGCATCGAAGCTCTGAAGAACGATATCCAGTTCCACGGTATGTAGCATCGGCCTGACCCTGCTGCGAAATCACAGACACTAACCCCACGGGATATTCCAGAGGGCCGACTCCGCACCGCCCGAGCAAACGTCAAGAAGGCAAAAGAAGAGTACGCCAAAGCCATTAACCGTCGCTCAACTTCCCAACGCGAAGTAAACGAGCTCCTCCAACGCAAGCACGCCTGGTCCTCAACCGACCTGGAGCGATTCACCCTCCTCTACCGCAACGACCACACGAACGAGGTCGCCGAGACCGAGACCTCACAAACTCTATCAGCCTGCGAGCGCGAAGCTGAAGAAGCTGCCGCGCAACTGAGCAAGAGTATCCTCTCACGATACCACGAGGAGCAAGTCTGGTCCGACAAGATCCGTCGTATGTCGACATGGGGAACCTGGGGTTTGATGGGCGTGAACGTCCTGCTATTCCTTGTCTTCCAGATTCTCGTGGAGCCGTGGCGTCGGAAGCGACTCGTCAAGGGTTTCGAGGATAAGGTCGTAGAAGCGTTGGAGAAAGAGAAGGTCCTGAACCGGGCTATGTTTGCTGAGAACGCTATCTCGATCTCGGCGCTGCCGAATACCTCTATCCTCCCCGAGATCGTCGATTCGACCTCCGAGAACACAGCTGGGGCCACTCCTTCTCTTTTGATTGAGCCAAAGGTTGCTGCGAAGGAGATTGATCCGTCCACTACGGGATCTATTGTCTCGGTGACTGATACCGATGCCTCCCAGTCTCTCCAGACCCGTCTCTCAAATATTACTTCCCCGGTTCTGTCGCGCGAGTACTGGAGGCAGGTGGTTGGCGAGTTCTTCAGTGAGCGCAGCATTTCTGTCTCCCAGTACGATCTCACCACTGCAGCTCTCCAGAGTGCTGCAGCTGGTGCAGCTGTGACGGGCCTACTCTTTGCCCTGATCGGATCTCGGTAAAAAAACCCCATTTCATTCGAGCATCTTGCATTGCCAGCGAGGAATCAGCATTTTCTGGTTCATATCTGGTCTCGTTTTGATAATTGCCCTTTTGGTTGGGGTGGTTATGTACATACATTTGAGAAAAATAGATAAGCAGTTGGATATAACGATGGAATCGATCTAAGTGTATGACTACTGGAGCATTTTTTGGAAAGCGAGTATATATCAAAATATATCAAAATAGCGGAGCATTGGCGTTAGTTGTTGCTTTTACACAAGAATTACTGAAGTGTGGATATAGGACAAAGGAAATAACATGACTAGGTGATACACTAAATAAAGAACATATGTACTCAAGGAGACCATAGGACAATCCTCTGCACTGCCAGGCAAACCCCGGGCCTGAGTATCTCCGACTCCACAGCTCGGGTGCCATGGAGAAAGATCAAGATCCAGGAAGATAGGGACAAGGAAAGAAAGAGGCTCATTTTTTGTCCATATTAAAACACAGGTCTCTTAATCTTGACAAGACACACGGCCGCTCTGTCTAAAAAAGGGAAGAAAAACACACAAGCACATACACAGATAGATAGGATACATAATCCCCCCATCTTTATCTCATCCACACTTATAATGAGACAATCCGGCGATCAGAAAAAGGGTGTATTCAAAAATTCGCTTAACCGATAACCAGGGTCTCCTCCTCGGGGAAGCTGTAGGCGGGGACCTCCAAGTTCAGAGGGGCGGGGCCCTTGCGAATACGGCCAGAGATATCGTAGTGGGAACCGTGGCAGGGGCAGAACCAGCCGCCGTAGTCACCGGCCTCACCGATGGGGACACAACCCAAGTGGGTGCAGACACCTGTAGGGAGAAAGGAGAGTTAGAAGGTTGTGGGTTGTTGTTCGCGAATCGCATGTTCACTTACCGAGCATGACGAGCCACTCGGGACGCTGGACGCGGTCCTCATCGGGCTGGGGGTCACGGAGACCCTCCCACTTAGACTCACGAGCCTCATCGATCTCGGCCTGGGTACGGTGACGGATGAAGACGGGCTTACCACGCCACTTGATGATGACCTGTTGGAAAGGATGTTAGATAGGGATCATGGGGGTACTGTAGTCGGTCTGATGAAGTGGTGGATGGAAACACGTACGTTCTTGCCCTCAGGGATGGAACCGAGAGCGATCTCGACCTTGGCCTGGGCCAGGACATCGGCGGAGGCGGACATGTTGACCAGGAAATCTGGAGAGAAAGGATAACATCAGTCGTTTGTTCAAAGTCGCCCGAATTTCCCCGAGTATTCAAAAATCTTTGCTCAAGAATCTCATTCAATCGTTCTATTCCATGCCAATGCTGTTCCCATTTCAGATTCCAAGAGTTGACAAAAACCTACCCTGGACAGTAGCCTTGGCACCGACAGCGGTCGCCAGACCGAGGGAGCCGGCCATGAAGTAGGAGAAGACCTGGTTGGAGCGGGCCGAGTTCTTGGACTTGTACTTGCTGAAGTCGGGGATCTTCAGGGTCGAGCCGGCCTCGTTAGCGCTGGCGAAGGGAGACTGGAAGGACGACTTCGCATCGGCAACTCCCCTCCGCTGCTGGCAGGAGGTGACGGCGGCGCGGGAGGTGGGGAGCTGCTGCCGAGCGACGGTGCGCAGCAGGGTGCTGGAAGCGGAGGAGAGCGACATTGTGAGGGCAATTGACCACGGGGGGAATTGAGCCGCGAGTTGTGGAGAGCGATGTGAGGATAGAGGGTGGATGAAGTCGGAAGTTGAAGTTGGAGCCAGAGCTTTCGCTAGCGATCGGAATCACGGGGCCTGTCATTGGCTGATCCGTTCCCGTTCACTCCCTAACAAGAAAACATTCTACAACTTCTATATACTATGAATATGATTTCTATGATTGATATTGATTAATTATTGATGTTTCTGCTAAATTTTGACTCGTCAATTGTATACTATCTCGTTTTCTTTGTTAATATCTAACCTGACCCAATGCGACCATACAAATCCCAAAAAAACCAATGCGTAGGGAAACCCATCAGAAAACTCCTATGCAAATAACAAGATTCAAAGAAAAGGGGACGATATAGTGCAATCAATCTTGCATTTCCACATCATGGTCATGGGCTGGCATGGGCTCAGCTGTCCGGTCCGCAATCAACGCGCTTACAGGGACCATCGGCCGAGGAACCGACGGAGATGTTGTCTTTGAATATTCTCTTTGTGGGGTGGCATCTCCCATACCTGTTCCATTTGCTGGTGAGGGCGCACCGGTACCGTTGAGAGTGCGTTGGCCCTTCTCGACGGCGCCTTGATTCGCCGCATCCTTCGCCTTCTTCTCCTTGAATTGTCTGTAGGTCGTAGTCTTAGGGATCACGTCGGAAAGGAACTCGAGATTATCGGTGTGTGATACCGCCGAAGCTAGTACATGTTAGCATGCTGTTCGACCTCTTGCTCACCGGAGGATAGCGTAACGAACCAAGATCTTTGTACTGAACAGTCTTGCGTGGTTTTCGCTCGGCTTTGACCACGTTGTGCCCTTGCTCAGCAAGATACTGGATGAACATCTCCTAGATCTAGCATTAGTCGGTGTTTGAGGTATTTAGGTAGAGGGTGTGGCGTACGGTAGCCATTGCGATGACGAAGGTCGCGTTGTTCGAGCATTGTACGATATCCTCGTCCAACTGGATAATCTTCTTAATTCGAGCAACTATAGAACATTATTAGTATGTCAATCTAAAATAAAAGTAGTGTCTGGGACTTACTCGGAAGTGCGCTCTGCCCGGTGATCTCATCCGGCTCTCCCACTGTCTTTGGAGGCATGGTGTTGAATCCTGGTGAGATAAAGTACTGGTAGAATAAAAGTATTCGATTTGCAGTGTGCGCTAGTCAAATATTCCCGTTGCAGAAGCAAGTTGGCGCAAGCGTGGAGTCGAGAAAGAGCAAAACGCGTGGCCGCGTTATCTCAGGAGGCTCCCCGTTATCGATCCATACTTGGCGACCTCGCTTTGTCACATCATCTACTTTCAAGAGCTCTGTCCACCCCTGTCTTCTGATTGTTGCTTATACAGCGTTGAACAGTAGTATCGAGGGGGAGCTGACTTCGAATTCGAGGGTTCCCATTCTCACAGCGGAGTGCGGCGTCCATTGCGGACACAGATCATCGAGTCAACTTTAAATTGACTATGCTGACTCTACCTCCTCGATCAATGTTATGACATCTCCACGCCTCTCCCCGACCTTTAATAGGTCCCTTTCATTTTCAAGAGAGCGGCGCACCTCGCGAAGGCCATCCGGTCGTTCTATCCCCTCCCCCATCGACCCACGAGCCGACTCCGACGACCAAGAAACCCCCGCCATCCCAGAGGAAATCAATGAGGTCAAGCGATATGAGGATTTTACAACAATAGACTGGGTCCAAGATGCAGTTTATGAACAATCACGGCGGCGCGCGAAAAGGCGCAATGGCTCTAGATTCTGGGATCAGGAAGGGATCCTTGGCTGGAGACGGAAAATGTACGAGTCATACGATGCAGGCCAGGCATGGCTTGTTGTTACGCTTGTGGGCATGGCAATTGGATTAAATTCGGCTGTTCTCAATATCATCACGGAATGGCTCTCTGATATTAAGCTGGGCCATTGTACTACCGCGTTCTACCTCAATGAGTCTTTCTGCTGCTGGGGTGCCGAGAATGGTATGTTCAGCAGGTTGTACGACGAGCTTCTTAGAAACTAACCCTTTTCCTTGATAGGCTGCCCCGAGTGGAAACATTGGACTTCATTCTGGCTGATAAACTATGTTTTTTATTTCTTTGGCGCGGTAAGACGTGTGGCTGGTTAATACCCGTGAAACTATGAATTCATAGGCTAATTTGGAGGATAGTTGCTGCTTTCATCCGTCGCCGCAGTTCTGGTCAAATCATTTGCGCCGTACGCTGCAGGCTCTGGTATCTCAGAGATCAAATGCATTATTGCTGGCTTCGTCATGAAGGGCTTCCTAGGTGCATGGACTCTCCTAATCAAGTCAATTGCCCTTCCACTGGCTATTGCATCGGGCTTGTCTGTTGGAAAAGAGGGACCTAGCGTGCATTTTGCTGTGTGTACCGGAAACGTGATATCACGGTTCTTTGGTAAATACAAACAAAATGCATCGAAGACGAGAGAAATATTGACTGCCTCGGCGGCAGCTGGTGTGGCTGTCGCTTTTGGCAGTCCAATTGGAGGCGTTCTGTTCTCCCTGGAGGTGAGTTCAATGGCGCGCTAGCTCATAGGATGAAAGCTGACTGTTAACAGGAAATGGCAAACTATTTCCCCCTCAAGACTCTTTGGCGCAGCTATTTCTGCGCCTTAGTAGCGACTAGTGTGCTGGCGGTACGTTTCCCATGTTGTCAATTGATTCTGGGCCATGCCTAATCCATTCTAGGCTGTTAACCCTTTCCGAACCGGTCAATTGGTCATGTTCCAAGTGGAATACAATCGCACATGGCACTTTTTCGAGTTCATCTTCTTTATTGGCCTCGGTGTCTTCGGTGGGCTTTACGGTGCATTTGTAATGAAATGGAACCTTCGAATGGCCGCATTTCGCAAGAAATACCTCTCACAGTGGCCTATAACCGAGTCGATTGTTCTCGCGGGACTCACTGCGATACTGTGCTACCCCAACATGTTTCTGAAGATCAACATGACCGGAATGATGGAGATCTTATTCCGCGAATGCGAGGGTGGCCATGACTATAACGGACTATGCGAGTACGGATATACCCCTCCATATTCATGAGAGGACATTGCTAACCCATTGCAGCTCCGAGAACCGATGGTCGATGGTCTTCTCACTAGCTATTGCGACTATTCTTCGCACTGGTTTGGTGATTATTTCCTATGGGTGCAAGGTGCCAGCCGGTATCTTCGTGCCTTCCATGGCCGTCGGAGCTTCGTTTGGCCGTATGATTGGAATCATGGTACAGGCATTATATGAGTCGTTCCCCCAATCTGCATTCTTCGCTTCGTGTGACCCAGATGTTCCTTGCATTACACCGGGAACGTATGCGTTCCTGGGAGCTGGGGCAGCCCTCAGTGGAATCATGCATCTGACCATCTCTGTAACGGTCATCATGTTCGAGCTGACTGGCGCACTGACCTATATTCTACCAACCATGGTAAGATTTCATTCCAAATGCTATTGTTTCATCTAACCATGTTGACTGTTGTACAGATTGTGGTAGGCGTCACCAAAGCTGTTGGCGATCGATTCGGCAGTGGCGGTATTGCCGATCGAATGATTTGGTTCAACGGGTTCCCATTCCTAGACAACAAGGAGGATCACGTCTTCAACGTGCCTGTATCACATGCAATGACCACAGGCCCACTCTCGCTGCCAGCATCGGACTTCCCCGTGCGCGAAGCAGAACATCTCCTAAACGACAACAAATTCCAAGGCTTCCCTGTCGTGGAGGACCGCACTTCCAAGATCCTGGTCGGATACATCGGCCGAACCGAACTCCGGTACGCCATCGACCGCGCCCGCAACCAGGGCATGGTCGCGCCAAACGCCCGATGCGTGTTCACCAAAGACGCAGCCGACGCAGCCGTTGCGCGCAGGGCATCCGTCTCACAACGCCCTCGGTCATCTGACACATTCGATGCAATTCAGAGGAGTGCAGGTGCTTCATTCGTCGATTTCTCGCGATATGTGGACCACACACCGCTAACCGTTCACCCGCGTCATCCCCTCGAAACAGTCATGGAAATCTTCAAGAAGATGGGCCCACGAGTCATTCTCGTCGAGCACCGCGGCAAACTCACCGGCTTGGTTACCGTCAAGGACTGCTTGAAGTATCAGTTCAAGGTCGAAGCCGAGGAACATACACTGGCAGCAACGAGTTCGTCTGAACTTTCTGCGTTTGGTGGTCACCTGAACACCCCTGCCCCTGAAACACTGGAAGATCGCTTGTGGCGGCTCATTCAGACCGTCGCTGTGTTTGTGTCTGGTAAGGTCTCTGGCCGGCCGGTCCGGCTGCGTGATCGTACTGTACCTGGGCAACCGGGGCCGTCGGATATCCTAGAAGGGAGGGATGATGATGCGGTGGTAGAACTCGAGGACAGAGAGGATCGGCCGATGATTCCATGAAAAGCAGGATCGCTATGTTTCCATGTTATATTACGTTGATAGAGAGTTATTTGCTACATAATAAGCGTTGCTCGCCTATCCATGTCTCCATCTATTGTAGGCTCTAATGTGTTCAAAGTGGAGGCAAGACCTAAAATCCCCCATATCCCATCAGAGTACAAAGCGCACAATAAATCTACACTCGCCCTCGGCACCTTCTTGCTGTTAAATCATTTGATACGGAGGTTATCGGGAGTAGGTACCACTTTACCACTCCAAAGCTGACCGCCACAGTCGGATATTAGCACTTGCATGCTTTGGGACTTTCTTTTCAGCCCGGACCATATTTTTTTCGGCTGTTCGCATCGCAGGGGGGTTGAATACTTACACTATGGTCATTTCCTTCATGACAGCTTCTATAATTGTATGGACTTGGTTAAAATGTCGAGTTTTTTGGTCTGCTCCCATATTGTACAGAAAAGTCCAGGTCAAGGGGACCTACCTACAGGCTTTAATCGGGCAACGGGTTGCCTCTCATGTCCACCGGCATTTCTCTTCCGGAGCCCAGTCGGTTTGAGACACGTCTATCCAAGGGGCCGAACCTTTCTTCGTGTATCCGACCGTAGGTCACACTAAACCATTTCACTGCTCGCTCATCTGCGCAGCTATCGAGAATATCGTTATTCACCTCAAGGTATGCACACATCATAGCCACCCATGTGCTCAATCTGTCTCCCCAACCAGAAAACTCGGCATTCTCATCATTTTGATCGTCAATAACACACTTCACAAAACTTTCCACCAACGCCTCTTCAAGTGGATGGCATATACTCCTGTATATGTCGTAGCCCTTGGTAGACACGTTATTCTGCTTTATGTCACCAATCACATCCGGTATGGAAAGATTTGCGAAGGAGTTTGGGGCCAAGGTCAACCGTAGACTCCCAGCAAGGTGGTGATTGAGTGGATATTCGAACGTCGTAGTTGAGTTATCCAGACGTTGATACTCCCTCTTGACCTCTTCAATAGCCTGCTCTGGGTCTGGGAGTGTCGCTAAAATCTCGGGGAGAATCGTGCGGTCGGGGATTATTTCATAAAATCCAGAGCCCTTCAGCTTCTGGCATGCTGGCTCATAGTCCTCATCACGGACGACAACCATAGAAATCTTGACATATTGAGTAGCAGGCGCTGGAATATGAATGAGCAATAACCCAACTTATACCTACTACAATAGGAACACCCAAGTAGTTCATTGCAAGCGGTCCTGAGGAAAAATAACCAGCGGTGCAAGGAACTGACCTATTTCCGAGGTGATCGGGTCAGGCTGGGGATTACGTGGGTGTTGAATCATGTTCAATTTGTGCAGGAAGAGATCAATTTCGTGGTCGGGTTTTGGGTGATGTGAAAGACCGAAGTAAAACAAAGCGTGTGGGGATGATCTTCGCGCACGTGATCGTTGCCGCATAAGTGGGCCTGAATGTGGGGACAAGGAGTCTCTGAGAACACAAAGCGACAAGATGGAAGGTGACTGTATTGACTATCTGACGCAGGGGAAAGGAAGAGAAGAGAATGAGCTAGGTAATCCACACAAGTCCTGCAGAATATGATCACATGACTCCGGGTTCCAGCAAATTTCCCAGCATGTACGATTGACTCACTCGTCTAACCAGGTACATTCTCTTCTTTATACTTAAAAGCTATGGAAATCCCGCGTTCCATTCGGAATTGGAAGAAAGCCTGGCCAAATCACCTGCACGCTTGACGAATCCCGAGATCTCAGAGACATCAACCCCTTGATTGCTCAATTTCCATAGATTCTGAGCCTCTCGACATTTCCGAAAATGTTCAATGAATTCGTCATAGGAGTACACTTTGTTTCGCCGACGCCAAGGGTTTGTCGACAGAATACTTGGTGGCGACGAGCCGACATCATCTTTTTCTATGGCAACTTGGCGGCCACTGCAGCATATTCCATTCTGGACGACGCCACTTTCAACATCGAAATAGGGTTAGTCGGTCATAGGTCTCGCTATCCCCGGCACCCCGGAGCTCAGGGGAAGAGCAGTTTTATTAACTTGACGTTGTATTATACACACTTTTCGGCCTTGGAAGCACGCAATGCCAGCGTGTTTGCTCACGCGGCTTCTCCAGACTGTACATCTGTCGCCCTGGGCCATCCTATCCCGATGACCGAGTATCCTTTCGGCACTGTGCGTGCCATTGAGAATTTGCTGCTAATCTTTCCCACGGAGGTGGCGCAATCCCCTTTCTGGCTACCCGAATCGCTGGCATGTCCTCCTTTCCCTCGTTGGGTGGACTGTCGGTCCCTGAATCCATGGCCCAACTTGCCAGATATTACTTTGATACCGCTGCCTCGACTTCTGCTATTCAGTTGGCGGCTCTGAAGAGCTTTATTGGCGCGGGCCAGAATGTGGCTGGAAGTGACTGTAAGTGGGCAGTGCCAGGAACGCTCTCGAAAACGTGCCGCTGCGGTATACTAATGCATACAGATCCGTATGTTCCATTCTCGCAGGCCCAGCCGGCATTAGCTGCGATCGAGGGTAATGGCTTATAGGTGGGTTATTACTAACATAGAACACAAGAGCTCTTTGAATTGCCGCATTTTTCATTGGGGTTTTAATGACAGTCTTATGTGATAGTGATATTCAAAATCAAATATAACCCTGTTTTGCATTTGATATCGCTAACTATGTAATTCCCACTCTAGGGTAATTCCTACTCTAGGCATTTCTTACAGAGATGCGCTAGAATCAAGGATAATGATATAGTTGGCTTGACTGTAGTTATTACGTTGATAAAGGCCAAAACCAACAAAAGACAGACACATATGACAACCTCTGTCCAACTCATGCCTCGTCCTAAGATGACTCTATAAGGTCAGCCACTCTCCGTATAATCTGGTTGAAATCCGGTCCCGAGTAGGTGAAGACCACATCCTCCCGTTCAGAAAAGCACAGTTGGCCCGGATGGAATAGTCTCCTGTCTAGGGGCCTGACCGCGAGTGCGTAATGTAGAATCCTCCGGAAGCTCACGAGCCTCTGAGATTCTACCACACGAAGCAGAATCAAACTGTTAAGTCGGTATACATCTCCACTCAATTCGCGGAGAATAGAGCGCCAGCCTCGAGGCTCCAGCTGCACAACAGAAAAAATAACAGAGCGAAGAGACTTTCGAATGTTGTAAAGGAACATCCCCAAAGCAGCCGAAGAGTCAATTGACATCCGCGAAAAAGTCAACTCTTGTAGTTCCGGCAAGCATCCAACCGACGAAAGCTGCGAGAGAAGTGAAGTCGATTTGCAATTCCAGCTAAAAAGGATCCCCAGCTTTCGGAGAGATTTGGCGCCTTGTATCGTTTTCGCCATCCAATTGATAGTCTCCGTCTCGGCATCCGGCATCGCAAGGCTTAGTTCCTTGAGCTGGGAAAATGCCGGGATCCTAAAAGTGGCGAGACCAAATTGCGTTATGTTTTCCTGTTGCCTTCTATCCCTGTATCTCATAACATCTATCGAGAAAGATTCCATCGGAATGTTCGTGGTGGATATAGTTTCGAGAAGGAAGCCAGTGGCCGCGTCAAGCGTGATGCCATCGCCGTCGGGATGCAGTGTTGTATATGTTAAATAGTGCAGTTCGAAAGATCGACAGTTCACCAGGCGTTTTATCACATCGTGCCATGATTGAATATATGTTTCGTTTGATGTGTTATCCGGGGCGAGTTGTCCCAGGCAATCTTTTGAATTCCTGATGATCTTTAACTTGTGGACACAGGGGCCAAAAATTTCATCGTTGGCTGCTTTCTCGACGCGGGCAAGTGATTTTGGTGAAAGATCGGTCTTTAATGTGTGTACAAAGGTTTGAGTAAAGTAGCGAAGGCTGCTATGGTACAGCGCTCGGCAGGTGAGCCGAAGAGCGCATAGACCAGAAGCCTCGGTGTGTCTGGCGATGTCCGCTAGTAGCTCAAGTGGGAGACTATGGATGCCTGATGCGGGCGCTATTTGGGTACCCATATTGAACTGAGAAGTAGGCCAAAAGTAGGGGACTTGGTAAGAAAACACAAAGGATACTGGTATAGGGTTCGTAGGGGCGAATAAGATATAGTTGGATGGAAGAGAGTGGTAGTTATTTTGGATGAAAAAGAAATGTAGTTGAAGGACACGAAGGTAACGAACTAAATCGAAGCTCCGGTCCCGTTTTGGGAAGTAGAAAGTTTCTCGATAAAAGGCAATATAAAAGCAAAACATGGTATGCTAACCTGACATCGATCATCAGACACATCAAGGCCGCTCCCTTTTGGGTATATAGGGCATCATAATTAGATCCAGCCTAGGTGTATATAGTTCCACTACCGTACTATGACATCGGGAAACACTAACATATAGCAATGTAAAAAAGTGCAAAGTAAAAGATGACTCAATTCCAGGGTCGGAATTGAGCGCTTGGCACGGTTAGTTAACTACCTGCCTAATCAGCGAGTTGGGGCGATATGCATGAAAGCCTGGATTGTCAGGCAGACGTGTTGGCAAATACATAAAACAAGGTGGATGAACATAACCCCCTGTTATGATTTGATGCCAACATGATAATACAAAGTGATGAAAGGGAATTGAACAATTTTCTGCCCACTGTGAAACGTCCAGTTGGTGAGGTCAAGGTCTGGCTGATCCAGCAGTTGCCAGGTTTCTTTTGCGGTGCGAGTTCGGAGACAGGATATAAACCCATCAATCAAGATAGTCAGAGGTGCCACGGGAAAAATGAATGTGAAAAGGAGATGGATAGGCAAATCCCAATACCAAACAAGAGTTACAAAGAAAGTATAAAAGAACACCAAAGGCGAGCATAGACAGGTCCAAAGATCGCGTGACGTGATTTCGAATATGCTATAGGGGATCAAATTAGCTGATGAAACAGATGATATCAACGGAATCATAACTTGCATAAACGAGTCAGCAGACTCAATTGCATTACGCAGAATTCCTGCTGCATCTTCATCTCCAAAGTGGTGAAAACAGATATTGAAGATCCGACATTCTTTTTTCGAACTTGCTGCGAATCGAGGAACAGCTCGAGCATCCACCGGGCTCTCGATATACGTGACATTCTGCTGTTTCTTTGAGATTCGCTCCCACTCTTCAATATGGGGATACAAATCGGTCAAAACAAACTGAACAGGGCCCTTGCCCTCGGACTCGAGTTGTTTATTGAGTTCCGATTCGAGGACTGGGGTAGGCCCACCGGCGCCAGCGCAAATGTCCAAGACTGTGTACGAGGAAAGGTCTTTCAAGTGCTCTTTGAACACCGCACATGCCTGTTTCGCAAGACTTCCACGGCTCCACCAGGGGACTCGAAGATTCCACAATTGGGTGAGAACTAGTTGCTCGTGCTGGTGCAGCCATGAGGGGCACCAGCTTTGGTCGCCGATTTCTAGTAGCTGCGATCGAGGCCAAGAGAATAGTTGCATTGTGAAGATAGAAGAGTTGAGGAAAGACCTTGAGGCAAGGAAATAGCTCAGTCACGTGCCACACTCTGCTTTATACATGAACAACTGTATAGTATATACCGGACAGGCCACGGTGCCGCTTTATGGGGGTATATTTCACAGACATTACTTGCATCATGACAGTTTCACAGCTATGTATATTACCTAGATAGGCTTAGTAGCTGTTAAACTTTACCGGTGACAGTAACACGGGTATTCTCTTTCCTCGCTGGACGAATATCTCTGAAAGTCATCTTCTCGCTACAGCCATGAGTCTCCTTGAACCTGAATCCTGAAGACCAGAATTTCCAAAGTTCAACCCAAACGTCCAATGTCTGCAGAATCTGAATCATAACATGGATGTTCTAAGCCAATCAATGGAATCCCTCCAAACCGAACCAGAAGCGATCCGAGTTCTTAAAAAAAGAAAACACGAACTGACAACGGATCTGACGAGAGCCCGAGGACCCTGGCGGGCACATGGGTCGTTTGACCTGAAGTTCTGGAGCCAAGCAGTGCAAATTGAAAAGATCAACCTTGAAAGGTCAGACGTTGATCGAAAAATTTCTCTTGGAAGTTTTAAAGGTCTGAAGGACGAATGGGAGAAGACAGACGAGGCCAAAAGCATATTCGAAAAGATTCGGGCCCAAGAGCAGACCAGGAAAATCTGTGAAGATAGGGTTACTCAGCTGAAGAACCTCCCACCTCGTAGGGGTCTGAGGGCATCGTTTATGAAACTCTTCACCACCTCCACCATGGGAATGGCCATCAAGGGTACAGGCGCAGGAGGTCGAGACACAAGGCAGCAGGCCAATTTCCGAAGCACTATGATCGAAGTATACGGGGCCAAACATCCAACTAAACCGTGGCTGTGGGATCCTATCATTGGGGATTATCTGGAGAAGGAGGTTATCCAAGCATCTCATCTGTTTCCCGATATGAACGGCCAAGATACAATGGACGCAATCTTTGGGAAAAAGAGGCCAGCAGAACTTTTCTCCCCTCGGAACGGCCTCCTTCTACATAGAAGGCTGGAGAGCTATTTTGATGCTGGAAAATTTGTTATAGTTCCTGATATCCCGAATTATGATAACGCCATGGTATCTGCGGTTAAGTACTGGCTCGAAGGTGAGCCCCGGGAGTACCGTGTTCGGCTGATCGACCCAGACTGGGAGAAACTTGACGAGCCTGTCTCTAGATTTTCGGATCTGACATTCAGACAGCTAGACGGCCGTCTACTGAAGTTCCGTTCAGGCTTCCGACCAGCAGCTAGATATCTGTACTTTCATTACTGTGTGCAGATACTACGGATGTGCTGGCAACATAGCAGCCGCAGCAAGTCAAGCCAAGCCACTGCAATTCTACAAGCAGAAAAAGGGAAGCCATTCTGGGGGACTGCGGGAAGATATCTCCCGCGCAATATGCTCTTGGCCCTCGTGGAGGAGATGGGCCATGAATATGCATTCGTTATGGATGGGGCTGCGAGAAGTCGGGATGACGATAAACTTCTACTAGGCGTGCTTTCAAAAAGCGTCGAGGCCCGGCCATCTATTTTGAACCCGGGGGTTTTCGATGGTGTTTGGTCGGGGGAAGACGTGTCTGAGATTGACGACAATGACGGCGATGGCGACGAGGATGAGTAGGTTTGCTTCATTCAAAAATAGCCTGGGTACATGTATTATTATCACCTCCAGAATTGCTGTACCAGAATTGATTGAAAGTTACCATCTTGTATGATCTTCCCGGGTTGATGGTCACTAGCTAAAATCCAGTGTATATGTTTAATTGCTTGATGTCTCTATATTGTGTCGCCTTGAATAATACATGTGGATCCAGGACCTCAGGAGGTATTGCCAAATCCACTCCATATACGACTTCCATCACCAGATAAGTCTTGACACAGCAGATTGATTTTGTTTCCCACGCAAAGCCTGAATTCCTGTATATGTCATATTGTCTGCATACGAAGTGCACACAAGGTGGTCTGAATCGGAATTCCCACTAGTCCTAATTCGGAACCCAACGCAGTCCGGGGGAACATCACTTTGACATCAACAGAGATGAAAGTCGTTGTTGTCGGCGGGGGGCTAGGCGGGCTGGCCTGTGCAATTGCTTGTCGCCGTGAAGGTATCGACGTGGAAATTCTCGAGCGGTCACCCGAAGTCCACGAAGTTGGAGCAGGCATCCAAATCCCACCAAATGGCGCTAGGATAATGTGCGACTTTGGCCTACTTCCCCAACTATTGGAGCACGGAAGTCAGGTGCAACAAGTTCATTTACGGAGGTACAAGGATGGCCGTCTTCTGCGATCAATGCCGTTCGGGGACGATATCACGGATGAGTTCGGGGCACCGTGGATGTACGTGGTTGATTGGCCTGGCCGTGATGTTGTCTCTAACCCCTTTGCAGAATTATTCATCGGGTGGACTATCATCGCATCCTTCTTGACGAAGCAATTCGACTTGGTGCCGTCTTTCAATTGGGGGCAGAAGTAGAAGATGTTTACACCGATCAGCCAGCCGTTCTTCTCGCTGACGGGAGATGCATATCGGCAGATGTTGTGATTGGCGCTGACGGTAAGTAGATAGATCATTTGCCAGTTATATTCTCGACCATCTAATCTGACAAGAAAAGGCCAAATGTCCACGGTCAGAAAAGCTGTTCTCGGATCTCCTCATTCTCCAGTCCCCACAGGTGACATGGCCTATCGGGCAACCTTTTCACGAGAGCAGCTGGAGGCTTTGGGAGACGAGGAAGTAAACAAACTATGTCGGGAAATTGCGATCACAAGCTGGCTCGGACCAGAGAAGCATACCATCTTCTACCCTCTCCGTGGTGGAAGGGAGTTCAATCTTGTTCTCATGCGGCCCGATAACTTATCATCGGGCTCTCGGAGAGAGCAGGGTGATATTACAGAGATGCGAGAGAGCTATGCCGACTGGGACGGAACGTAAGGATCCCTGGAATAGTCGGATCCAACTTCGCACTAATATGGTTCTCGCTTTCTAGATTGCAAAAGCTGGTTTCCTGTGTGCCATCGGTGTACAAATGGAAATTAACACATCTCTCCGAGCTGGAATCGTGGACCAAGGTCGGTATATCACCATGTCTTTCCAACCACGAACCTACTAACTGAACTCGCTAGGGATCTGTTGCTTTACTTGGTGATGCCTGTCACCCCACTCTGCCATATCAGGCACAAGGGGCTGCGATGGCCGTTGAAGACGGAGCAGTCATCGGCAAGCTTCTTGGTCTGTTGCAGGCTCATTACCTAAACCCTAGAAACCATGGAAGCGATCCCTCAGTATCAACGCACTCCTCAGCTCAAGATCTCACAGCTGCTGTACTAACTCTTTATGAAAAATGCCGGAAAGCACGCACAACCCGAAATGTTCAAGGAGCAATCATGAATCGGAAGCTTTTTCACATTTCAGATGGGTTCTTGCAAATGATCCGGGATTTCATATTAGGATATGCAGGAGTTACCCCGAAGAGCGATTGGACATGGCTATTTTCATTCCGACAGGGGCAAACCCTTGGTCTGAATGTGCTGGAAGATTGTGAACGGGTCTTTGAAGAGTGGAGATTGACACTTTCATTGCACAGAATATATCAATAAAGCTTCCTTGCAGCCAACAAGAGTGACTGTATATGGCTGCGTTCAGTCCCACAGGAGCAAACTACTTTTCTGAAAGAAGAAAGCACGAGAGTGGCGTTTTAGCCTTACCAAAGACAACGATATCGAAGAATACGAACGGGGTTTTAGTTACTGGTCTGTACAATTATATCAGAATGAGTCAATTCTTGAACTAAAAGTACATCAAGGTCAATGTTCCAGGGCGCCTTAAAGACAGACGAATCTGCATCAAAACGGGTCTCCAGTCCTGACTCCCCGAATTCTTGATTTAGATCAATCATGGGATCGGATCGGAATCAGGCAAGGATAGGTAAGTCGATAGAGCTCGAAAAAAAAAAAAAAAAACATCTTCGGGATAAAATAGAGCCGATTAACTGACGCCCTATCTTGTTTGGGGATATGGACCTGGAGAGCAGAGCTATCAACCGAGCAACAGCTCCTATCTGGGAACTACAATTCTGTCGCCCTTTTCTTACAGCAACAATCTACCCTCAAGATCAATGAAAGTCGTCCCATACTCCCCCATACTAAAACCACATATCCAAATTCTCTAAATTATATAGATCCAATATAACACCTAACCTAACCCAACCTCAATCCAATCTAAGCCCCCTCTCTCATCCCAACCAAAATACACCCAGCCCCCATCATCGCAGCCCCCAACCACCAAAGCCCACCAACAGCCTCCTGAAAAACAATCATTCCAAACAACGCTGTCGCCAAGAAATTCGACGCTGTATTGGTGATGGAGACTTTGACCGTCGACGGACCAGCTGTTAGCGCGCGTGTGAAGAGGGCCCACATTATTATGTTGCAGATGACGTTTAGGCCGAGACATGCCTATGCATAGTTAGTATAACACAGTGATGTGTTGTGGAGGATCCATAAAGATAAACATACACCTCGAGTAAGCATCTCAATCACAGGCGATGATTCCAACCCGAAGAGGTGGGCGAGGGATTGGGCAAAGGCTGTGGTGTGGTCGTCCGTGGTTCTGTGGGACGTTAACATTGCAAGAGCTGATAGCTGGTAGCTGGTAGCTGGTAGCTATAGCATCAATTATGGATAACGTACAATTTCGCAAAAACACCATTCAATGCAGCAAAGGCGCCGCTCGTGATTGCGAGGACGATCCAGGGGGATGTGGAGGGAGAGGTTGATTGGGAGGTGGACATGGCTGCGGTTGGGATAGAACTGTATATCCCGTGTTTCGAAGTGCTGTGTTATAAGATTACAGACTATATCCAAGTAGCGTAGGACTCAAGGGATGTTTCAAAGACGGAGTTCGCGTGCCAAGACTGATAGTGATGGCGATAAGAGATATGGATGATGCGATAGTTTATAGAACAGTTAATTGAACCCCCTAAATCCACTAGACATGCAGCTAAATCTACATCTATAGTCTATGGCGACAGTCTCTGAACTCGCCACTTCGCACCTTCCTCACTCTCAACACGAACATACCGGAACCGATCATGCAAACGACTCCGACGTCCCTGCCAGAACTCCACAGACTCTGGCACAAGCCTCACACCACCCCAAAACGGCGGCAGAGGAATATCCTCCACGCCCTTAAATCTCTCCTCCATCTCCTTCACCTTCGACTCAAGCAACGCCCGTCCATCCGCATCATCCGTCTGATCAATATCAGCCGGCACAATCGAATTCCCATCAAACGCCCCCTGCAACTTCGCCACACTCTTCCGTCGCTGGTTCTCCTCCATCTGCCCGGGCTCCGCAGACCACAAAACCCGACTCTGCCAACTAGCCCATCCACCAATCCGACTCCCCCGCTCCCGCGTCCGCCAATACAGCTCGCTCTCTTCACGACTAAGCGGCTCAAGCAAACCCTCAATGCGGACCTGGCGTTCAACGCTACCCCAGCTGAACGTCAACGCACCCCATTTATTCCCCGTCCCAACTTCAGAGGTAACGCTAGTGGGCTCAGGCATGGCGCCGAGTGTATCGGAGCCATCGAGACCAAAGACTTGTCCGCCTTTGCCTTCGCGACTACCCCAGTTACTGTAGATGACCCAGCCGCGCTCGTCGAGTTCTTTGAGGTAGACGATGCGTGCGCTGACCCGGCCGGAGGGGAGGGAGGCGGTTGATAGGGTGCATGTTTCCGGGGCGGAGGAGGCGGGGAGGCGGGGGGTCCCGGAACCAGGTGTTGAACTGGTGGAGGGGGTTTGTGCCGTGGATTTGGGAGATGGTTAGGGGTGGGTTTGTGCCGAATTGGTGCGCGCGTGCGGCGTGCGAGAGGACCTCCGTTTCCGTTGTGGAGTCGGGGGTTGATGTTGGGGTTGAGTTACGGAGGGCTTCTGCGATTTGGCTTGGGACCGGGGCTGCTTGCGGTTGAGGTTCTGGGGTTGGCTCCTCGGAGGTTTGTGCAATGTCCCCTGGTGCAACTTTGGGGATTGGAGTGTTAGCATGAGGTTTGTATGAGTGAGGGGCTTGGATGGATCTTTGTGTAGAGGGATGGCTTTGTGTAGAGGGATGGCTTTGTGTAGAGGGATGACTTGATAGACTTACAGATTAGCTTCTTCGGACGCCGGTGGGCGTCTGTCTGATATTCGTTTTGGTCCATTGTTGGTCGGTTGGTAGGTGGGTTTGAGGAATATCGAAGTTGGCGGGGTTGAATGCGGAGGAATGAGTCAACGGAACGGAAAGTGAAGGGTAAACGGGCCTGCATGAAAATCAAGGGATAGAATAAGTGTACCTCAATTGCCAATGATACCAACGATTTGAAGAAGTAAAAGTTCCTAGAAGCTGTTAAAGTTCCGTACAAATCCAAAATGTCAGCGGGAAGTTCCGAGACGTCATGCCATTCCAAGGCTTTTAGAGATAAGGCATGAAGATTACAGTAGAAATACCTTTGACTCATTCACTTTTTTTCATTTTGATTTTTGCGTCTATGACGCGGTGGGAGAGTTGAGATGTGACTATAGACAAAAAATGACAATGGTATACAGTGCTTCAATGCACGCCCTTTTTGAACGCCAATAAACGCCAAACCTTCGCTGGATGCAAAAAAAAAAACAAAAAGACAAATATCCCAGGTATATATCCAACTGCCCCGCAGACGCCGAACGGGAAAAATCCCACAGGGATCCAGCCCTAGCAGAGAGTTTGGGTGCAACATAAACATTAAATGGGTATCACCTGGTCACAATATAGGCAAGAGAATTTAGAGAGAGGCGGAGGCTCCACCGATGAGATCGACGATCTTGCCAGCCACCGCAGAAGGGTATCCGCGCGACATCATCTCCTGGACAATGGCGGCGGCACTAGTGCGATCGTCAACGCTCAGGAACGCACGGGTCATCGCTTCGTAGGTGCTGGGCTCTCGCTTCTGAATGCCGATACTGTCATAGATGACCTTGGCCTTGGCCACGTTACCCTCGGTGGCCCAGCCATGGATCAGAGTGTTGGCAATGTAGGCGGTCATCTCGACCTTGCGTGCGAACATATTCTGGACCACTTCTTCGGTGTCGGTGACGCGGTGGTTGGCGACCATAGACTCGAAGAGGGCTTGGTAGAGGCATGGCTGGAGGCGCACGCGGCGGTCGGAGACGACGGTGTCGAAGACCTTGCGCGCACCAGCAAGGTCGTGTAGGACACAGCCCTTGGCGTGCACGAGCGAGGCGTAGTGCACGGCATCCGGCTGGTGACCGGCGGCCTTCATGGATTCCAGCACGGCTTCGGCGGCGGCCATGTCCACTGGCTCCAAGGAAGCGTGTGCGTCGATGAGAAGCTTGTAGGTGTGGAGGGTGGGCTGGATGTTGCGTGCCTGCATGCGCTCGTAGTAGGCCAGGACTTTGCTGATGTCGCGCTTGGTGTTGAGGAAGTACTGGATCATGGAGTTGTAAGGCGCGGGGCGCGGTTTGTAGTTGGGCATGGATTCCATCTCTTCGAACATCTCCTCGGCGAAGCGCTCGTCACTGACACGGCAGAGAGCATTCACAATAGTTCCGTAGGTAACACTGGTCGGGCGCACATTGTTGGCACGCATCTCGGCGAAGTACGCAAGGCAGTCGTCAATGCGACGGGCCTTACCCAGCTTGCCGATCAGCGCGTTATACAGGAAGGAAGTGGGCTCCACGCCTTCGGCGACGGCACGGTGGAAGACCTTGAGAGCCTCAGTGGCCTCGTCGAAGGTCTTGGTGGACTCCTTGAGGGTGGTGATGTACAAGCCGAAAGTGTTGGCCGAGGGTGCGGAACCGAGAGTGAGAAGCTCCTGGTGGTACTGAGCAGCCAGCTTGCGGTCGCCAAGGGTGAGGCAAGCAGCAACCATGGCATCAAGAATGGAGACCCAGCCGTATTTGACAACGCTGAAGTTCATGTCGAGAGGAACATCGGTGCGTGCCATGTTGTGGATGTCGTGAGCCAGGGTCATGCGACCTGCCTTGGCCGCGGCGGTAATCAGCTTAGCATACGTAATGTAGCGTGGGTGGCGACCAATGCGGCGCATGTTGTTCAGACGAGTCAGAGCATCATTGAGGTGAGCCTCGCTGCGCCCGCTAGTCTTCTCAAGCTCCTCTGCGATGATAGCAGATCCGCGGAAGTCGGTGGCGTGAGCGTAAGGATCAAACGATTCGGGGGCCACAGACGGAGTGGTGATCGAGGTCTCCGCCATAGAGACGGGGCTTTGACGATCAGACGAAAGGAACGCCTGAGGAGGTGAAACGGAGGTCTGGGAGCCTGCCTCCAGATGATCTTGCCACTTCTTGACGACATCAGGGCGACTGACAAAGAGCTTGCCAACAGCCTGGTCGACCAGGCCAGTGGTATAGAGGTCCAGAGGGAGGGAAGAAGACAGAGCGACGTCCAACATGTGCGCAAAGCGAACGGGATGAGCGACATCGAACAACATGGAACCGCTGCTGACCAGCATGCCAGCCTGGACTTGGAGCGCCAGGGTAAGGTCAGCAGCCTTGAGCTGGGAGATACCGATGGGGCCAAGGTTGGCGACAGCGTGCTCAGCGAGAGGAGACACAAGACCACCGTTCTCTAGCATGGACCACAACAGTGACATGGATGATTGAGGGGAGAGAACCACGGCCGACTGCATAAGGACGCGACCAAAGAGATGGAGTGACTCGGTAATCTGTTCTCGTACGGGGTTGGCGACGGCAGCGTGTTGATCCTGAATGGCGGTGCGGATACGCTTGAACATATTACGGGCCTGGTGAAGACCTTCCTCGACATTTCCACTCTTGAGCAGAGCGACCGCATACATAGCTGTCGGCTGGACCAGATCCGGTGTTGCCTGACCCACTGTGTTCAGCATGATCCACAATGAACGGGCAGCGGAAACATTGCCTCGGCGCACTTGAAGGGCCAATAGCGAGATGGCTGGGTTCTGTCGTACGTCAGGTGCAGTGGGCAGACTATCATAAGCTTCGGACGCGGTGGGGAGATCACCCGCATCGGCCGCAGCAATGCAGATGCGAGAAATGGCCTGATTCCGAGCTTCATCATGCAACTCGTTCTTGGCCTGTTTTAATGCCTTGCTGTGGTTTCCTGTGTTGAGCGAGTGTTGCACAAATGCATCCTCGACAATCACGGCTTCCACTGCAGACCATCGGTCCTGGCGACCTTCGGTTACCTCATCGAATGAAGAACGGATCCGATCAAGGAACTGCATGGCTCCCTCCTCTTTACCACAGGATAGATAAGCACGGATCAAAGCAGCATAGACCTGGCCGTCTTGGCGCTGAACGATGCTGAAGACGCCGCTATCGTCGGAGACAGCGAGTCCTCGGTACTCGTTATAACATTCAACGGCACTCCTGAGATCCCCAGTGGAAGCAAATGCGGTGATCATGGATGGGAAGATAGTGGCATGTGGAGTCATCTTCTGCGATTCCATATGGGCGTAAATCCGGATCATATCCTCCACCTTACCTTCCTTGGAACAGGCAATGATAAGGTGACGGTACATCTCAAGCGGGAAGACAAGTCGGTTGTGTCGGGTCGTGGCGGTATCAAAGAGCTTCACAGCGATGGACAGAGAAGTATCCTCGGCGAGAAGATCCCGCTCCAGTTCACTCGACTGAAGCATGAACTTGCCAGGCTCCTCCATGCCACCGAATCGAACGCGTTCCTGCTCCAATGCCTCCTTGGCCTTGATGATATCGTGAGCCCGGGTGACCAGAAGCTGAATAAGAGTCTCGTAGGTATCTTCATCGGGAACTACCCTTCGACGAAGCATGTCAGAGTAGACATCGAGGGCCTTGGGAATAGCCTGGGCTGCATCAGGGTGGAGACGGATAGCCGCGACCAGCAAAGCATTGTATGCCTCGACGGTCGGAGTGAATCCCTCCCGGAGCAGAGTTTCGAACGCAGCGGGAATTTCCGCAAAGTTGTTGGAGTGAGCCAGTCGCACAATGCGATCCGAAGCAATCTGGTTGGCTTCAGACACGGCGACACCCTCGACAGTCATTTCAACACTCGCACCTTCCCCCAGCGCAGCCTCCTCAGCCTGGGCCTGCTCCTCCTGGATCTGAATCTCACGAGCCACAGCCTCCTCCACTTGGGCACTAACATCCTCGTTCACAGCGGCCTTGGTCGGATGAGGGGGAGCTACATCGGATGCAGCCCGGTCTTCGTGAACGTTATCAGCCTCCTCCGCCGAAGGCTTCCACCCAATACGGCGCTTGAACTCGAACTGGGTCCAATCGCTATCATCACCGGTCTGCTGAGCGTTCTGCCATGCGGCATAATAGGCGGCTAGACCGAGATCCCCATTTCCAGATCCTCCCTGGTTGGCCTTGGCGCCAGCACCGGACGAACTGGACGCATTGGAGAAAGCATTCTGTAATTGGGTTGTGCGGGAGAATTTCGCAGGTTGGGCGAGCGCGTTAAAGGGGGTGGTGGACGTGTAGGACTGCGACGCGGCGACTACGGATTGAGCATAGCCATGAGTAAAGGCTTTGGTGAAACTCTGGCGCGCGAGGTGGGTGAATGGTTTGAAAACCATTTATTTAATGAGAAACCTCTTCAGAGCAAAGAGGCAATGCTGGGACAAAGGTTAGCGGGTGTAATGATTTTCACGTGCTTTTTTTCCCTTACCGTGCACTCAAGATAATAGCGAAAGTGCAGGTTCATTTGACGACAGTCTGTCGCCAATGAACGCGCAAGTGCAAAATTAAGATAATATTATATTAAAAAAAAAGGACCTGTTGTTGACAGGGCCAAAAGATGTGAGAGAGAAGGACGGTAGCCTGGGAGGAAAAGAAGGGGCTCAAGTATGTAATACGGCTTCTTCTGGAAAGAGATGGAGGTTTCAAAGTGGATCAATTTTATTAGGGCCGATCTTCTCCGGAGAATCCTCTTGCGATACATTTTTGTGACCCCTCATTCAGATTCCCTACGTATCGAAGCCTTTTTACGAGTTGTTGGTACATTGATGCATTGTATCTTTCCTATCAGATCTTCCCTGCAACGCGGAGATACCCCATCGGGTCATCTCGAAGATACATCGAGGACAAGTACCTACAAGATACCAGCTGAGTTTAAACGTCAAACAGGTCAGGTGGCTGAAAAGTCGAAGAAAAACCGACACCAATCAGCATTGAGAGATTC